CCCCCCGGCAAGCCCCGAAGTCGAGAGCAGGAGTTGGGGGGGCGTCCGCTGTTTTTCATCTACCGAGCGCCAAGGCCTGGAGCCAATCGCCCGCCGCTGCTGGCGGATTTCCCACTAGTAGGGGTTTCTTGGGTGAGAGAAAAAGCTTGTCTGTCGCTGCCCCTGGCTGGTAGGGCGAGGCGCTGCAAGGATGGGGAGGGTAGCGCGTGCGTTTCCCTGTTCAGGGCTTGTTTTGCGCGTTGGGGGGGATGGATTGGGGAGGCGATTCTCTGGACTTGGGACCTGCTACCTTGGGCGAGGAGGCCCCCCTGGCGGACCAAACAAGAACAGCAAACATCGACACGCCGCACACGAGATGCTGAATTGGCAATGTTCATGCTAGCCGTCACCTGCCGTCACAGGGCAGACGCCCGCCGAGCTGGCCTGAACCGATGTGGCGGCAGCGCTTTCGGAGCTGGGTGTTGGTGCAGGGTAGCTGAGACTGCCGCGGCGCCAAACTGCGAAGCGAAACGAAACTCAGCGTTCGAGCTGCGCATCAGCCAGCCCTCTATCAAGAGCCTGGGGCCCGGGGGGCAAGTTCCGGGATGGCACACCAGCCAAGGCGTCATCAGTCGCCCAGATGAACACTTGTTAGACTTGCATGTCTGCATGTACCGGTACTTGCATCATCTTCAAACAACGTCCAGCCCGGCATTGTGGTGCCCCCGGGCCAATTGCAGGACTGACAAGGCCATGCCATGTCATGTCATGTCAGACACACCCGGCCATGGCCGCCGCCCTTGGCGTGAGCGGTGTTTGACCAAGCGAGCGATGCGGACGCCTGTCAGTGCGGCGGGCATGTCGCGTGGTGCACATACAGGATTGCAGCACCGCCAACAGCCAGCAATGCTGAACAGAAAAGCGAGCAAAGCGAGGCCAAGCCGCGCCGGTACGCATGCCGACTTGGCGCATCGCATCAGCCCGGCGCCAAGGTTTCGGCACACAAAAGCGAGCAACTCGTCATCGCTCGCAAACCGACGCCATGCCACGTCAGCCAACACCACGCGCGCGCGCGGCGGTGGTGCAAATGTATTACCGGCCATGACCTCAGTGATTGGATCTTTACGCCGACCAAGCAACATGGTGCTTTGTGAAATGTAGATGCCCCGTGCCCAAAACGCCGTGCTTACATGCCATATATCTGAAAACAAAAGACTTGCATCGCATCACGACGTAGTCCCCCGCCCTGGTATCCTCTTCAGGTCGTTGAACCACACGTACCGGCTCAGGACCATGTACAGGTGCCGGTCCCACGAGTATTGGCTGTCGTGGCTCGCAAAGGCGCCGCGCGTGCGCTGGTACCGGTGCCACGTGTTGGCGACGAGCGCCTTGGTGCTGTACTTGGGGTCGGCCGTCGCCGACGGGAAGCAGGCGGCCGCGACGATGCGCCAGGTAAAAGACAGCGCCGTCAGCGGCAGGTCCAGCAGGACGGTGTACTTGCGCAGCACGCCGGTGGTGACGAGCTTGTAAGCGGGCGGCGCCTTGCCATCGTTGACGACGTACTCGCTGCGGAGGGTAAGGTCAGCACGGGATAAAAATAGTTGGACCCGCGACGACAGGCTGGGCATACCTCACGGCCGCGCTCACGGCGCGGTGGTTGATGTGTCCGGACACGCCACCCTCGTCAAATGTGATGATCTGGGGTCGTCAGCAGCGAGCACGGGGCGAGGTGCAGACCGGCAACGGGGAGGGGGGCCGTACGGCGTCAATGTCCCACTTGTGGACATAATCCTTGAGGATCGGCTGGATAATCGACGTGTCCCACCAGACCTTGGGGTTGTCCTGCAGGTCCGGGTGGTCGAGGGCCTCGCAGCGCGTTGCGTCGATGCCAAGAGCCTGGCAGGACCCCTTGAGCTCCTGCTTGCGCTTCTCGCCGATGCCGTAGTTGTTTCCTGATGAGACGCTTGCGTCAGCGGACAAGCCAACAGATGAGTATCGCTCCTAGTGCAGCAGAATAACGCTGGCCGCGCGTCAACGCGCAAGCGCGCTGCGCAGGTCGGTCGAAGACCGAGCAGCAACCCAGCGCGCGAAACACGGTAGCGACGCAGACCAGGATTGGGGGGTTGGTTTCCGCGCAGGCAGGGCAAACAAAGCACAACGTACCCGTGGACATGACCAGCAAAGAGCCCTTGACGGCGTGGTTCCGGTCGAGGACGCCGAGGACGCTTGGGGCGAAGAAGAGGCACTCGTCGTCGGGGTGGGCGGTGACGAGCAGCAGGTTCTTGGCGCGCAGCAGCTCGGGCGGCAGTAGGCGGGCGTCGCCGCCGAGCAGGTAGGCGAGGACGAGCTGCAGGAGGAGCGGGACGAGGACGACGACGAGGCCGACGCGGACGAGGGCGCGGCGGCGGCTGCGCGTGGCCACGAGCCAGCGGCAGGGGCGGAGGAGGTCGGGCGACTTCATGCTCGTGGGCTCTCTGCGCTGGACTGCGATGCGCGTCGACTCGGCCAGGGGAGCAGGAGGGCAGCCCCGAATTGACGCCTCGATTCGGTTCGAGTCGACTCGGGTTTCCGGTTCGTCGAGGTTAAGTGACGATGACGACGGACGGACGGACGGCCGGGCCGGAGTGGACGGACCGAGCCAGAGACGCGACACAGAAGGACGCAGGTTCGGTGACTCGGTATGGTCCGCGTACGTACGCAGTACGAAGTGTACGAGACGGGCGGGCGACGCGACGGAACGAAGCGAGCGGGTGAAAGTCCGAGCGGCCGTCAATGCAATGCCAAGATGGGGGGGGGGGGGGCGAGTTGACAGCTGGGACAGCTGTGCTCTGGAATAAGGGCACCCTTCCTTGGGCAGGGCAGCTCGGACTCCGGAATGCCGAAGAGGCTAATGGACAGAAGAATGCGCCTCAAAGCTTGATTTCGCAACCAGCCCGCCGCGTGCGTGTGCCAGATGCAGCAGTCGCGGCGAGCGAGTGAGCGAGCGAGGGTGGCAGGGCAGGGCAGGCCCCGAGGAGAAACCGCCAGCGGACTCGTCAGCGGTGGGCGGTAGGTGGTGGATGGTGGGTGCAGGCGGTGCTCCAGTGAGGTGGTGGTGGTTGTGGCGGATCCCCCACTGTGGGCTGGAGATGACGCCAATTTCACTGGACGGACGAGCGGGCAGGTCCCCTTTTTTTGTCCCTTCCAAGGTTCCAAGGTTGTCTTGGGTGGGGGATGGAAGGCGGTACAGAAGGCTGGAAAGTGCCCGGCGTGCAACAGTGGAGGGAAATTGGATGGGAGCCAGTGGAGGGCCCGCTGTTGCAGTGGTGTGCGCAGCAGCGCAGCAGCACAGCAGCAGCACAGCAGCGCAGCACAGCGCCCACCTAGCGTAGTGCCCGCAGTGCAGGCAGTCGCGTGTGCGTGCCCATGCCCACTCGCGGTGCACCAGCATGTCTCTCCATCCATGTGGGCGGCATCGAGCAACTGACTGGCTGGCTCCCATTCCCATGCCCATGCCCACATCCACGCATCCCGGTCCGCCTCTCGGGCGTCGCCCCGTCTCTCGCTGGCCAGATCTGCATGGGTGCGTGGGTGATGCCCAGGTCCAGTCCAGCCCTGTGGGGGTACCGGGGACCACGCACAGCCAGGGGAATCGCATCGGCGATACAAGTCACGGATACCTGCTCGCTGCGTCACCCCTGCGGCTGCTTGATGGCGCGCCCACCCGGCTAGCGTCTGCCGGGGGGGCGGTGTCACTCCAGAGCGCCTGGCGCAGTCTCGGCCCTCGCCCGGGAGCTGGAACATGGAAGCTGGTCTGGTCGGGAGCTGGTGCTCCTGCCCAGGTGCGTTTCCTGCGATGCCCGGGCGGCGACTCAGGTGCAGTTAGGTGGGCAGTTGCTTCCTGCCTGCCTGCCTAGGTGGGTGCTTCACGGCGGGCGGCAGCCCCAGCCCCAGCTCCCGTCCAGCCCAGCCCGGGCAGCCCGGCAGCAACTGGAAACACCTCAGCACCAGGAGCCGCCCTGCTGGCTTCCATGAGGTGCCCGGGGGACTGCCCCAGGCCCCTCACCCTCAATCAACGCAAGGCCCAGGGCCCAGACGTCCAGTGAAGCACTCCCCGGCCCACTTCTCTCGGGCCGCGCGAGCCCACTAATTCCTGGTAGTGCTTCGCGCCGAACCCATCGAACCACTGGTACAAAACGCCCCTCGTAGTAGCACGCGGGCAGGTGTGCCCTCGCAATCTGGGGCGGGCTGGCTGGCCAGGCTTGCAGTTCCAGTCCCGTCTTGCTCACCCCCAACGGACTGTGGCCGAAGGCTGCGAGCCCGACCCCGGGGGCTGTGCCAAAAAGTCTGCTCGCTGTCTTGGTGATGCCGAGTTGCCGTGCTGGGGCTTGCTGATCGGCGCGGACGCGGAGTTCAGCTGCCCGCAGCGAAGCAGACTGCGAGCGAGGTGAGTGAGTGAGTGAGGGTATGGGAGGGAGGATGATGGATGGATGGACGGGCGAAGCGGTGGTCGGAGGTTCGGCACATTTGCGTGCACACGGCATCCATCCATCTTTCGTTATTCTTAGCCCTTTTGGTGGTGATGGGCGACGAACGGGCGTCCTCCTGCCCGGCGGTGGCACGTAGTGGAAACACCAACAACCTGGAACAGCCGCCTACCCAGAGCCCGCCCCGGGGGAGGGTTGTCCGGGGCCAACAGCTTGACACGGAAGCCCGTGACAGTGACAAAGGCAGCTCATCTGTGACAGGCCAGGCACGGCGTGGGGAAAAAGGTCGTGCGGGTACAGGTACCAAGTTGCTGTACTCCGTACTGCACGAGTAATACTCGCAGGTATTAGTCGTCGGCCATGCCTTGGATGAGCCCTGCCCGCGCCCGCCCCTTTGATGCCCATTCCATACCTACCTAGTAGGTACGAGTAGGTCCCTCGTGTGCTCGTCTCGCTCGCACGCACTCGCACGGCCGCCCTGCTTTTTGGGGCGTCGCGTGGCGCCCAACTCGAGGCAAGCCACCGGAGCCAGAACCAGAGCCAGAGCCAGAGCCTGAGCCAGAACCCGAGCCAGACGACGAGCCCGTTACATGACGGTGACGGATGTACTGCTACTTGGAGTCTCCCGTGGAGGACCTGTGAACTGTGAACCGGACTCGCCAAGATGGAGAGCACATGACGGGGACCCGAAAGGCTGCCCCAGCAGCAGGGCTGAGTGAGTGAGTGAGTGCGTGAGTGAGTACCCGGCTTGGCCTGGCCTGCGCCTGCGCCTGGCTCGCAAATTAACACCAGGCGCTGCCGCCGGATGTGGCACTTTTCGGGGACTGCACGCAAGTAACTCTGGTATAGCCTCACCCGCCAATATGGAGCACGCACGCATGTACTTTCGTAGCACTACCTCACCTCTCCTCTCCTCCGACAATGGAAAACGGGTCCCCTTTTCCTTTCCACTGCCTTGCCCTCCACCACTGGGCAGCACCCCCCGTCATGCCGTTCCCCCGAGCCACAGCCGCGTCCCTCGCCCACACCCCCGAAAGGGGATCTTGCCGTGCCTTGCCTTGCCTGGTGGCCTCGCCTTGGCCTCGTCTCGCCTCGCTTCCCATCTCAGTGTGGTAAGAGTACGTGCCGTGCCTGGGGTCCATCCCGCGTCTCTCTCTCACACACATTCTCTCTCGCTTGCTCTCGCATCGGGACTGTGCGAGGTACCGTCTACGACCTGACCCCGAACAACCGACCCTGACTTCTTCTTCCTCTTCTTCTTCTTCTTCACGACACTCACACACGCCCGTGCCCCCCCCAGTCGACTTGCGTGTGTCAGTCAACACCACCCGCTGCGCCTTGCAGGGCTCCCCGTCGTCTGTCCGTCCGCCGCACACATACCCACACACGACCACGACCCTCCCGCACCCTGCCAGCCAGCCAGCCTGCCAGCCTGCCAGCCTACCTGACCGCGGTCCTCCTCCTCGTTCCTTTTCTTTCTTCCCGCACCTCATCTCAATCTTCATCACCGCACCCCCAATCTTCACTTCTTGAACCCATTGTGCATCACGACCGCTCCTCCTCCTCCTCCTTCCCCCTCCTTTGGGCCGTTTCGTGTCTCGCCTTGCCGCGTGCGTGCCTGGAACCCTCCCCCGGGCCCGGCTGCGAGCGAGCGTTCTTCTCGTCTCGTCTCCTTTGACCACACCCTCCGTTTGTCTTGCCCAGTGTGCGACTCGAAACACCACCGCCGCCGCCACTGCCGACGCCCAACAGACGCTCGCCCTCCCTTTTTTTTTTATCGTGTTGTACAGTCATTCTCCGGCACGGGACCCGCCTCTCCTATCTCTGCTCTCTCTCTCTCATTCTCCTCTCTTCTGCTCTCGGCTCCATCCTGTCCTCGACAACACAACCTCTTCGACGGCCACCGCGCCGCCGCCGCCGTCGTAGCAGCACCACCTTTACCTCCTGCAGCAGCAGCAGCCGCAAGAGCAAGAGCAACAGCGGCAGTAGCAGCAGCATCACCTCTACCAACAGCAGCAGCAGCAGCAGCAGCAGCACCAGCGACAGCCCAGCATGATCAAACCTCCGTTCCGATCACAACACGGCGGGTCCGCGCGGCGGACGCGCATCGTCGCGTGGGCGACGCTGCTCGTGCTGCTCGGCCTCGCGTGGCTGTTCCGGCACGTGCTGTACACGTCGTGGACGCTCGTGTCGCTGCCCGTCAACTGGCGTGACGGGGCCGAGGACTTTGTGCTGTCCAAGGCGCACGACGACTTCGACATCACGTTTGTCGACTACGACAAGCACCAGCTGTCGGCGGCGCCGCACCCGGACGTGGTGCCGCCGATCCTGCACCACATCGCGCTGGGCAAGCGGCACTGGCGCGACGGGTGGCAGGAGACGGTGCAGAGCTGCATCGACATGCACCCGGGGTGGGAGGCGCGCATGTGGACGGACGAGACGGCGTCGGCGTTTGTGGCGGAGCGGTTCCCGGAGCTGCTCGACATGTGGAACGCCTACCCGTACCCGGTCGAGCGCGTCGACGCGCTGCGGTACATGGTGCTGTACGAGTTTGGCGGCGTGATCCTCGACATGGACCTCAAGTGCAAGCGGGCGCTGGGCCCGCTGCGGCGGTTCGACTTCGTCGCGCCCGAGGCGCAGCCCGTGGGCTTCAGCATCGGCTTCATGATGGCGGCGCGGCGCAACGACTTTGTGGGCGCCATTGTGCGCAACCTGACGACGTACAACCGGCAGTGGCTGGGGCTGCCGTACCCGAGCGTCATGTTCAGCACGGGCTGCCACTACGCGAGCGTCATTCACCTGGGCCAGGCGAACCGCACCAACCTCAAGATCCTGCCGGGGCCGATGCACAGCCTGAGCGGGCGCGTGACGACGCCGCTCTTCGACCACCTGGGCAGCTCGTCGTGGCACTCGTACGACGCGCGCCTCATCATCACGCTCGGCCACGGCACCAACCTGCTCTTCTTTGTGGGCGTCGGCATCGCCCTCGCCCTGTTTTGGCGCAGGCGCACCATCTTGCGGCGGTTATGACATGGGTAGAAGCAGGAAGCAGGACAGCGATGAGATGGATTCGGAGGCTCGGCCGGGCGCCGGGTGCTGCGACGCGGACGAAACGGGCGAAGAAGCGAAAGCGAAGCACAAACACACACAACACACACACACACACAAACACGATGGCTTAATATAATATAATGATGATCTCTTCTTCTGCTTCTTCTTTCACTTGAGATGGGCGGCTGTTGCGGGCACGTGCTGCTGCTGTCTGAGGTCGTGGGATCAATCGCGCGGGTGTTGTCGTCGAGTCGCGGCGGCCGTCCATCCATCAATCGGGCTCACTCACGACGTGCGCGAACGAAGCTCACTTACACCACCGCCGGCCGATTGAATTTTTTTTGGGTAGTCGTCCGTCTCACACTACCGCAGTCGCAGCCGCAGTCGCATTCGCGCGTGCTGGCTGGGCCTTGCAGAGAGATCGGCCGCCAAGACGGCCTCCAACCGAGCGCGCCAAGAAGCTTGTCTGCGCTGGCACTGGCAGTCCTGGCCGTCCTGGCACTGGCACGACACCACCTGCTGCTGCGGCCACACCAATGGAACCCACCCCGACCTCACCTCATCCCTCAACGAGGTGCCCGCCCAACTCTTCTTTCTGCCCTCCCCCCATCCCGCTGACTGCTTGTGTGTGTGTGCGTGTGAGGTGTCCGTCCACCGCCCAGCCGCACGCACGCTGCCGCCGCCAACAACCACCCAGGGCGCACTGGAGGAGAGGGGAGGGGGGCCTGAACGCCGGGCGGCGGCGGCGGCGGCGGTGCGCTGGAGCTGGGAGGGACGGGAGCGGTCCATAGGTGGTGGGCGGTAGTGGCAGGTGGTCTGTCTGCCTTGGGTCCCTTCAAGGTTCCGGTGACAGAAAACCTCCAGTGAGAGGGTAATCAATCCAATTGAAATGCATCGAAATGCTCACGCGGCGGCGGCGGCGGCCACTGAATCTGCCTGCAAACCTGCCTGCCCGCCGCCAGCCAGCCAGCCAACCTGCTTGCTTGCTGCTGATGGCCTGCTGCCCTGCTGACGACCTGACCCGACCTGACCTGACCCGACCCGACCCCGGGATCCCGCATGCCCTGCTCTTTCCTCTCTCTCTCCAATAGACGCGAACCCGCGCGTGCATCCCGCCCGTCCATCCAATCCAATCCAATCCAATCCAATCCAATCCAGCGCGGCCCAGCCCAGCCCAGCCCAGCTGTGCGAGCTCTCGCCATGCAAGCCCAGCCCAGACGAAGCAGACGCGGGCGCCCGCCGCCGCACACAACGCGCTGGGCCACCCCCCCGGTCTTCGCCGCCCCATTATTGGGCGATTGGCCCCTAACCCAAGGCCCCTGTCGGGCCTGGAACTCCATGTGCCCCCCTCATCCATCAACCCGCCCCTACCTCCTGCGCCCCCTGCCTATGACGAGATGCCGCAGCAACCTTGGAACCCTCCACCTTGCACCACCACGGGTCCCCGAGCATCTGCGTCTGGAGCGCCCCAATCCAATGGCCCCCTCCCCTTGGTAGGTACCTAGGCGGAATCGAGCCCGGCTCCCCACTGTCTCGCCTCGCCTCGCCTCGCCCAATTGGCGCGTGCGACCTCGCCATCCGCGGCTGCTGCTGAGTGAGTGACAGACTGATGATGAAGACTGCCAACATGGCAACGCACGCAGGACTCAGGCGACACCGCAGGGTCGTCGTGCTTGCAGCGATCTCAACCAGAATCAGGGCCCGGCCGCCGCGCAGCACGTGTACGAGTACCTTCCCCTCATGTCCCTGGACCTGCTTGGGGCGGTGGTGCAGTGTACCTTATGCGACCGCGCGTCCCCCGATGGGTTGCGCCAGGTACCTCGCCGCCGGCGCCACGCCCAATCTGTACCCTCAGCGCGAGTAATGGTACCTTTCGACTTGCCAAAGTATCGCGCCCCGCAATCCAATTGGCCTGTCCCCTTTTTCTTCCCTGTCTTTTTGCCCCTGCCCCACTTCACACACGTGCCCGCGCGACTTCGACTCCTGATGAGCCTCGCCGCATCAGAATCGTCATCGCCGCGATCCCTCATCGGCGCATCGTCGTCTCATCGCCTCACCGCGTGTCTCACCGTACCCGACGCCGCAACGGACGCATCTCACCGTCGCGACGTTCACCGTTTGCCGCAGACATTCACCGCGCCCAGGGCTGTCCGCTTCGACGCAGCACGGCGCGGCCCCGGTGCATGCAGTGACCTCCCCACGCCGCCGCCTCGGCAGTGACGCCGCTGCAGCGTCCGCGTCGCCATGCTCCTACCGAAGCGCTGGATGCGCATCATTCTGCTGTCGGCTTGCGTCTTTGCCGTCACGGTTTGGTCGCTATGGCTTGGCAAGGCTGCTCCGGCACCGGTACTGGATGCCGCCGCCATTGAGCGCGCGTATCCCCTAGCCTGGAAGCATATCAACGACTTCAATGGGACGGGAGGCGGTATGTCTGTCATAGCGCCTTTCATCTGATTCACGTTGACATAGCAGCAGCTTGGTTCATCCCACCCGAGTGGATCGCCAACAAGCCCGAGCCGCAGACCATCGTAGAGGCCGCCCGCCTCGCCGCCGAAGTCGCCGCGTCGCAGCCCGATCGAGAGGCCGACTACTCGAGGATCCCCCTCATCGTGCACCAGACGTCCAAGTCGGCGCGCGTCAACACCTGGAAGCCCGAGGTCCTGCCGTGGGTCGAGCAATGGCTGCGCCTCTCCGTGCCGTCGACGCACAACAAGCGCCCCATGGCGTACTTTTTCTGGGACGACGACGGCATTCTCGATTTCATGCGCGAGTTTGAGAGCGACATGCTGGGCGACTTCAACGCCATGTTTACGCCCGTGGAGCGCGCCGACATTTTTCGCGTGCTTGCCTGCAAGTGGTTTGGCGGTGTGGTGCGTGGCCTACTGTACTGTCATGCTACAAGGACCATTGTTCGCTGACCCTGTCTAGTATGCCGATGTTGACACCGAGCCGCTTCGGCACCCCGCCACCTGGATCACGGCCCCCGACGTCGCCCGCTGGACAGACGACGTCACTGGCAGGAGCTATGGCATTGTCGTCCCCCCCGGCGACAATGCAGTGTCGGCCAACACACGCCCCGTCAAGCTCCTCTGGGGACTCGAAGCCGACACCGACCCCGAGTCTGACGCGTACTGGCGCATGGGCTACACCTACCCCGTGCAAGTCACGCAATGGGCGCTCGCCTCTGCCCCCAAGCACCCGGTTCTCACGCAATTTGTCGACAACCTCAAGGCGCAGATCCGCAAGGAAAAGGAGTCGCCCAAGGCGCCCGTGGCCGACCCGCTCACGCGAACTGGACCAGCCGCAGTCACCCTCGCGACTAGCATGTGGCTAGAGAAGGAAATTACCTTTAGATGGAACGCCGTCACGGGGCTCAAGGACGGCGGCAAGTCGAAGCTAGCGTCAGATGTCCTGGTGCTGCCCATCACGGGGTTCAGGTACGTTGCAAAAACCCACACCGCATCCGGAAGCTCTCGCGAGACTGACAATGGACACCCCCCGCAGCCCGGGACGCGGCAAGTACGGAAACATGGGGTCGAAGCCCGTCGGCCACCCCGATGCCAGGCTGGTCCACCACGCGCTCGGCTCGTGGCGCCACTTTGACGTCTGGGTCGAGTATGGCAAGTTTTGCCGGACGGTCTTCGGCCTGTGCAGGGACTGGTCCAAGGTACCGTCATCGTGACGCAGCGTTGCATTTAATTAATACCATAGATGGCGTCTGGGGTGTAAATTTTTCGTTTGGATTGATGGCCATGAGCTGTTCCCTTGGGGGTGTGCCATGTCCCGGCCCGGTGAGACCATCGGCCCCACTCCGGGCCCGTTTGTGTCCGGATCACGCCGGGGCCGGCCCCGGCCTCGGTTACGGCCCGGAGTCCGTGACCGCCGTTCCTCCCGTGTGGCCAGAACAGCCCTCCTATATCGAACAAACCGCGTGCCACAACACAATGGCGTGTGTAAACTCTGCCTAACGCGATCATCATGCCTCAGAGCTTGTTCAATCCCCAGCGCCGTATACTTACTATTGCCTACCTCCTGCCGCAAACTGCAGGTTCTCGTTGCCCACCACCCCCTTATTCACGTTCCCAATCCCATTAACCTGGCCACTCCCACCGGGAAGCATAACATCCTGGTAGCTATCCGCCATGAGCTGCACACCACTCACGAAACCCTTCTCGTCAAAAGCACAGTGCCCGCCATTCGGCGAGTTATCCACCGTCTGCAGCGCATTAATTTGCTGGCCGCTCAGCCCCGCACCCGCCGCCGCCCGCTCATACGCCTGCACGGCCTGCGGGATCGACCTCTGCAGCGACTTGAGCTCCTGGCTCGTCGACTGGAAGTGGATCCGCGTGTTCCCCATCGCGGCGGCCGCCTCGCGCGTGAAGTCCACCTGCGGGGGCATGCCGCCGCAGTTGAGCATGACGCCCGTGTTGGGGAACTGCCCCATGTGCGCGGGCATGAAGAAGCCGGAGAGGGTGAGCGAGCCGCCGCTCACGCCGGTGAAGAAGACGTTGGAGGCGTTGAAGGCGACGACCTGGGGCAGCTCGCGGGTGATGAGGTCGGCGACGGCCTGCGCGTGGGGCACGCCGTCGGGCCGCTGCTGGCCGTTGCGGTCGGCGCCCCCCCACTTGAGGTTCGGGTCGGGCGCGAGGACCGCCACGCCCATGAGGTTGGCGTTGACGCCCTGGTTGGGGAAGTCGAAGAAGGACTGCCCGCCGTCGCCGTGCAGGAGCACATTCATCCCGATGGTGCCGGCGGCGCCGCCGGTGGTGCTGCTGTTGGGGGAGGCGGCGCCGCCTTGCACGCCCGACGTGGTGGTGAATTGCTCGGCGGGGGCGCTGACTCGGTATCGGATCGCGAGGCCACTGACGGACGTGGGTCAGCTTCAATCTGCCATGGACTTGCAAGCCATACTGGAGAGACGCAGTGATAATCTTACTTGATCTGTACAGTCTGGTCGAGAATGGTGGAGCCATCTTTGGCAGTGGAAATACCACCTGGTTTCTGCGCCGCCTTCTGTTGCGGCGTTTGTTGTTGTCCACCACCACCACCACCACCGTTACCGTTACCGCCGCCCCTTCCGCCCCGGTTCCTCTGCGGAGCGGCTTCACCGAAGGATACGCAAAGGAGCGCGAGCACGAACCATACCGACAGACCCATACTTTTTTCGTAATGGTTCGGATTCAGCACGTTATGCGAGATTTGAGAAGAAATATGCAAAGGAAGAATTAGCGGGCCGGCCGATGTAGAATAGAAGCAATGACGGAGAGAAGACAGAGAGAGAAAGAGAGAGATCAATCGAACATCACGTCAAGGCATTGAGGAGTGGCAGCGGTCACGGTTTTGATGCGGGATAGAGAGTGAAGCGCGTGAGTGCTCCGGAGTCGTAGCGGTGTTACGGTAGGTATCGTGAAACCCGTGGTGGTTTCGGCCTGTCGGCAGTTTCGGAACTGGTTTGGTACCAAGTCTCAGGGCCTCGTTAATGATTCGTGGCAGTGGGGCGCCTGTAATTCTGCAAAGGAACCAATCCTCCCATACGAGCTTTGCAGAGTGATTGTCTTTTCCTCGATCGCGCCTGGTAAAGGGGATGCCTTGCGACCGGAAGGCCTCCGAACTGTCAATCCCAGCTTGCTGTTGACTGGGGTGGGCAGCTACCCCAGCGCCGTCTGTATTGGAGTGACTCCAGGTTGGGTCGTGACACCAAGCCGCTACGAGAGTACTTAAACAGGAAACTAGCTCAGTTGAGCGCCTGAGACGGTTTCCACTCTGTCCTTTTCGACCCTAGGGTGCTGGGTTGAGTCGAGAGGCAGTAGACGACATGGCGCTGTGTTTCCCCTTCATCACTTGGGGGAGCCATAGCTAGACCTGGCTGAGCTCACTTTCCTGGCTACGCCCGCGGGTAGATTAGGACTTGTTGGCAGTCACGGCAAATCGTTTCGTAAATGAGGAAAGGAGATGGGAAGGCAGACCACGTGCGCTCCCATATACCTCCAGAAGGGCTTGTTCTCCAGACACCGTCCCTGTAGGCCCGCTACAAGCGCTGGGAATCTATTCGCCCACGCCGCGCCACAGTACACAAGCTGTCACCCACTGGTCCGGCGCAAAATGCCTGCACCGCCGATACACCCCAGCGGGCCGTGGCCACGATGCCTTCGATCAAGCGGCGGTGGTGGTGGGGCGGGTCGGGGCGGCGGGGAACCGGAGACCTGGAAGACGGGAGAGCCTCGATCGACTTGACGACATGTCCGACCTCCGCAGTCCGCACGTGGCTGTTGCGAAGAGAAACGGAGCGCGGCGCGGGAAAAGCGGGCTTTTCGGGGTGAGACCTGGCATGATCTTCCGGGTAGGCAAACAGAGTTGACGGCGGGATCAAATCACCGCGCGGCGCTGACACTCCATGTGTTCCGCCTTGAAGAGGCTGAGCAGGACGGATTCATGCCAGGCCATCTGATACAGGTAATTGCGTGCTTTATACCTGGGATGACGCATTTCGCGATCCATATATGTACGTCCACGTCTTGAAGAAGAGTGATCGTGACTGGGGCTTATTGGTCTTGTAATCGGTGCGATGGCGCAACAAGCAAACACCACAGGCCCATGAGGACCTCAGCTACCCACTGGCATGGTTCCCCTTTGATGATAATGTTTCCTGTCTTTTTCTTGGGTCCACTAATCGATCAACAGTCGTTTGAAGAAGCTCATCAAGTGGCGCCGCGATGGCTTTCGCAGTGGCACAAACGTTAAAGCGCCAGCTGCATTCGTTGAAGTTTTTCAACGTGCTGCCTGGATCCATCCGTCCATGTTTCTGGGCCGCTGGAGCAACGCCGCGACGAGACAATCTGTACTGTATCAGCCTGAAGCGAAACCCGCAACTCAACACGGACACCTTTCTGGCCCGCGGGCCCGTCTAAGCTACAAATACAGCATGTAAGCCCCCAAACAAAACTGTGGGCGCGCCGCACCATGCCTCGGTATCGGCCCGCGCACCCGAACAAAACACGAGGTATTCCTCCCTCCTCGGTCCCCCCAGGTGCCGGCCACATGCCGCATGGCGCATGCATCGTGTTGTGTTGTGCTTTTGCGGCAGAGGCTTGCAGCTATGCGACAGGTCGGCTGTGGCGGTTGGGCGACATGACATGGAGGGCAACATGAAGGGTCACCAACCAGCACCCAGCGACGCGCACAATCTACGGCTCTTTCATGCGGTAGGTGAAATATTGCATCTAAACGAGAGTTCGTTTGCACTTTATCCAAGAGTCTTGGCGGCGACCGGCTTTCCAAGGCCAAACAATGAACAGGTCACTTTACTGATGCGAAGTTGCTGCGACTCACATGGTTGGGGGCGTGCACGGTACACCGTCTCATGGGTTGACCCAGATCGCACCGCTTGCCGATGCAATGCCGTAAGTCGGAGTAGGGCCGACGAGAGCACGTGGCTCGCGTCGGCTTAGCTTTGCGAGTCAGCGCTGTGCAAGTGCAGAGGTCTTTACTGGTGTGGGAGACCTGAGCCCGCGGCGCGACAGAACTTCACCTGCGAATAGATCAATGCCGGAGCTGGACTGTGAATTAATAGATAGGGATTGGAGTTTACAAGTTTCCCATCTTCCCCGTCTTAACAAGACTTGTAAACCCCATCCGTCAGTTGTCTGGCAGTTGCTGCATCGCCGTTCTATTTCTGTAAGATCTGATGCAGGTACCGTGTGGTGTGGCTGCGGGCCCCAGACTCCCAGCGCCGTGGCGCCTGCACCGTCGTGGGTCGGGCCTATTTCGGTCACTGCAAGTTGGCACTGGAAGCGCGAATGCGACAGTCGCAATCTATACCTGGTGGTTCTGTAGACATACACTGCAGGACGCGACTCGGCAAGATGTTATATTTCCATGCCCGACTTCTTGGCTGACGCGGTGGCCGGTTCTCGCATTCAACATGCACATGAAGAACTAGGCCAGTTGTGAGAAGTATTATACGCGAGGCTTCATGTCAAAGAGAGATGAGCCGCTTTCACTCCAGAGTCCAGACTAGAAAGAGACACTCATAATGCACATATGCGCGGTATGGAAAGGATACCATTCGAAAGAGCCTATATAGCCCGAGTCGGCGTTAAGCTATGCGGCTTCGTGACATCGGCCTCAGCAAGTCGAGCCCGGGCGCCGGGACCTCAAACCGCGAAACCGCCCAGTGGCCATGACGTCGCAGGGCCGAGCGTTCTCGTCTTCGAGGGGCTTGCAGGAGGATCAAACGCCCGGCCTTTCAGGATTGAGCAGAGCGAGGAAAAGTGACGGTCGTTGACAGACATGGTGACGGCCGCAGACGCACAGAACAGTGAGACCGTGAAACAAACCACATAAAGCTACACTCAGCCCCAGTCAACTCATCTCGTCTGTCATCAGTCCGATATTAAACGTAAACGATACAGTACACGGCTTCTAACAACTCTATTAGTCCACAACTATGGCTCCGTCTGGCAATGCTCTGCTATGCCTGCTGGCACTCGCCGCCACTGCGGTCGCGAGCCCTCTGCAGGCTGCTCCGACACCTGTCGCCGGGGTTGTAGACACCGTGAAAGACATCGTGGACCACGCCTTGGGCGCCTTGAACCCCGCCACGACCGTCGCGGAGAAGGCTGCGATGGTGACCCCCACGGACGGCGCAAACGCGCAGTGGGCCGGTGAGATGACCATCACGCTTCAGAACCGCCACGAGCGTGGCATCAAGACGCGCCATGTCGTGGGCTATGGAGCGCCCGCTCCCCACGGAAACCCAGGGACCGGCGTCATCCCCAAGAATGGGGAGTCTGTGTTCACTGTTCCCCGAGGCTGGAACGGCAACGTTGTCATCAACGACGAGAACTAGTGAGTGACAACTTCTCCCGCGTCCGCCTTTGCGGAGGCCCAGGGATGGACACCGGACTTATTCAGATGCAGTCCCGTCGACACTGGTGACGAGTCACAGCTTGAGGGTAGCTTCATGAACCAGGGCCAGGGCGAGCGAGGCGACATCAACGTCAGCTACGTGTAAGTTGCGCAGTGCACCCCCGTCGCGCTTCCCCTCCGCACACTCTGCTCACTCCCATCGCAGCAACGGCTACTCCGTCCCCATTGTCTGCAGATGCAACGAGAACAACATCTGGACTGGGTGCAGCAAGAACCTGTGGAACTACGGAAAGTGCCCTGTAAGTTCACCACATGATGCACCACCAACAGCACCACCGCTGCCGCCGCGGCGACAGCCTTCAACAAGGTCAAAGCAAGCTAACCGTGACTAGAACGACAACTGGAAGCACTCGTGCCGCAACGACGCGCGCAACAACGGCTGGAACACCCAGCCCGCCGCCTTCTTCACGCCGTGCCGCGGAGACGGCGGTGCCTACACCTTCCCTGCCGACGACAAGGCCAACAACCTCAACGCCAAGTGCTCTCAGGAGCGGTACACGTGCTGCGCCGGCTACTTCTGCCCGGCGAACCCGGCTGAGGGCGGCTTCCACTAAAGTGCTCATGAGCAAGCGACATGGGCTAGGCTGTATGGACGACGAGTCGTCGCCGACCGATCCTGTAACTCTGGTGTGTAGATTAGAAGAACACGGCGCGTGGAAGTCTGAGCGCAGGTTCAGTGGATGTCGTGCCGGTCGCTGGACTGCATTGGGGGCTGTACATACTGGGTACACGAACATACATAGAGCCGATAGAGCTGTATATACGAAATATGGGATCCTTTGCGGCCCCCAGCAAGTTTGCCGCAGTGACGTACATACTATGGTGTCCAGTGAATAGGTTGGGCGCTCGGTAGGATTATTGTTTGCGCGTTGGAATGCCCCTGGTGTAAAACATGGGCCTCACCGTGAACAGGCATGGATTTAGCGAACCTGCTCGCGAGTCGACTGCCTGTAAGAGTCAATACTCAACGTGACACTGCGGTGGAGAGAGGAAATTGGCCACAGAATTTGCTTTCGCTCGCTCGGCGCACAATCATGATTGATGATCGATTCAGCTTCGTGCGGCCAGGCAATGAAACACATCTGCTGTAGTTTGAAGCGTGATCGGATTTGGTGGACCCAGTTGCCGGGCCGTTCCACGAGGTTCAATTGCACCAGCAAATCAATCCGTCATAGCTCTGGAAGATCCAAAACAATGACTATTCTTGAGCAAAGAGCGGTTATCGATCCTGGACGTGGCGCGGAGAATAATCGCGACACATTCTGGCAAGAAGCAGAGTTAAGCCCAGACTGTGACGCCGTCAATGTGGTTGAGCTCGACTGATTAGTGACGGCCCAGGGTAGGCATGCCATGAAGCAGGGGTTTGTCCCCAACATCCCGACGCAATGGCATGGCAATAAAATATGGGCAACGGGACTTAATAAGTTGGCAACGACGTGCATGCTTTGAAAGCAAGCGCGGAGCTGCTAGTTGCAGCATGTCCGAACTCCGAAGTCGCGCCTGATCTCACGGGCGAGTCTAACTCAAATGCCCCGCTCCCAGTCATGCCAGAACGAACAGTCAACCTCCACCTCTTCGTACTTGCAACAGTACGATCTCGTGGCATCGCCAAGACGTGATCAATATGGCTTCTACCCAGACAATCGAGCTACAACCCGCTGTGGAGCTCACGGCTGTTTCTCGCTGCGAGCTGCCTCGGCGCCCGGAGACCGTCTCCGCCGGCTCCGGCCGACCGTCCACGGCCCGGTCGCGGGACCCGGACCGGCCCTCCAGCGCCGACAACCAGCCACCGACTCCGAGCACTGGCCGGGTGTTTCGCGCCATCGAGCCGATAGTCATCCCGCCAGTGAGCCAAGGACTTCGTTTCCTCATTGCGTTGCTCATCATCTTTGCAAACTTGATCCAGGTCCGAATCCTGCCAGGCCGGTCCTCAGTAACGCAGTGCTAATTGAAGTGGGCAGTTCACTTCCAACTTCATCACGATTAGCGCCGGCCTCTCGTTGAGCAAGCTACTCGGCCGAGATGTCGGCCCCGGGCAGGCAAACTGGATGGCGGCGTCGTACTCGTGAGCGAACCCCGGCCGATTCTACTCGAGGCTACCTGCTGATCGCCAGCCTGATACCAGTCTGACACAGGGCGCGTTCGTGCTCATTACCGGACGGCTAGGAGCTGTATACGGGCACCAGAAGTTGACGCTCATCGGCCTTTTCATCTTCGCCCTCGGCTCCCTCGTCAATGGCTTCTGCCGTTCATATGAAAGCTTCATCGCCATCCGAGCTCTGACCGGAGTCGGTGGAGGCGTTTTCATGCCCAACGCAGTCACCATATTGACGCTCATGGTTCCTCCTGGTCCGGCCAGGAACGTGCTGCTTGGACTGTTCGCTGCCTCACCGCCCATCGGCGGCGTCATCGGAGCGTTGGCCGCTGGACTGTGCGCCAACGCCGGCGGGTTGTGGAGTTACACGGGCCTCTTTGCCGTCATGTAAGTGTGACCTCATCAGAGATCTGTTACTGTGAAAAGGCTGGCTGACAGAAGCAGCGCGGCAACGTCTGCGGCGTGCATGGCGTTGCTCTGGCTCGTTCTACCGCGGGAAGAGCCGGTTGACAAGCACGGCTCAATCGATTACGTCGGAGCCGCGCTGGGACTCGGCAGCCTACTGCTCTACAACATTGCTTGGAAGTGAGACTTTGCTCTCACCCGACGTAATAGATGAGGGCCAAAGCTGACAACTATTAGCCAAGCACCATCCGTTGGCTGGTCGACGCCATACGAAATCGCTATTCTCGTCCTGGCCGTGGCATGTTTCTGCGCTTTTCTCTACTGGGAGAAGTCGTGGGCCCGGGATCCGATCATGCCACTCGACGTCTTTCGTACGCCGACGTTTCTGGCGCTCATCTTCGTGGTCCTGCTGAGCTACATGGCCTTTGGCATCACGCTGTGGTATTCCATCGCGTGGCAGCAGACCCTGCGAAATATCTCGGTGATGCAGACCGGTGTCAACTTTGTTCCCTTTGGGGTCGGGTCGGTCGCATCGGTCGCCCTCGCCGCGTACATGCTCCCGCGCGTAGCAGCGCAGTGGATCATGGCAATTGGCGTCGCCGTCGTGCTGGCCAGCAGCCTCTTGCTCGCCACCATGCCCATTGACCAAAGCTATTGGTTCCAGACGTTTCCCGCCATGGTCCTGTCCAGCTTCTGCCCGGACTTTGTCTATCTCGCGGCCCAGATCATCGCGAGCAACAGCGTCAGTCGCAGGCATCAGGGCGTGGCGAGCAGCCTTGTCGGTACGCTGAACCTGTACGGCAATAGCCTCGGGTTGGGCTTCGCGGGCACCATCGAGACAGAGGTGACGAAGAAGCTTGCTGCGGGCTCGTCTGCGGCAGAGAGCATCGCGGACACGGTGTCGGGGTATCGCGCAGCGTTGTACTTTGCTGCCGGCATAGCCTTTCTTGGCTTGGTGCTGGACTTTGCCTTTGTGCGAGTGCCCAAGAATGAGCGAGAGGGGTGGGACGAAGAGTTGGAAGATCACAGTGCGCCCGAGCCCCAGCTGGGGGCCGTACTCGCCGCAGAGGCGACCGCCGTGGACAGGCAGACTCTCGCTTGATGTTAGTGAGACAAGTCGGCCAGCCATCGATGGGACACGCGTGGTGAGTTGGGGGATGGCAAACTACCTGCAAATTTAGGGCCGGGTGGCCGGTATAAACGTGTAAATGGCACCTCCTTTTCGGCAGCACCAGCACCAATTGTGATTCCGTTATCGTAATGAATATCGCCACGGAGTCCGGTCGTCGCCCCGCACGCGTATTCTCTCCTTGCGTCGCCGATGTCGCCCACGGCAGCCCGTTTTATCCGCCTCGCTGTCGGAGCAACGGAAGCTGGTCGCGCCTCGCCTTGACGCGCGGCTGTGCTTTTCGCCCCTTGATAACGACCTGGACCTTCCATGTTCGGTATTTATAGGCGCCCATGTTTTCCGCGGGAAAGTCATGTGGTGGTTTCGACGCCCAGGCGGACTCAACCCCGCTGTGCCGCTCGCTCAGCTCTCACTAACACGGGCCGATGTCAGATGCGCCGATCAGAGGCGCCTTCTGGCTACTTCACCATGACACGGCTGGTTGCAAGGTAGTTTGGAATGCCCAGTCACTTTGGAGCTGGCAAATTCATGTGATGAGGCTCTGGACCTTCGTTATGTAACCAAAGCGACACCCTTTGGCCTCAATGGCCTACCAAAGATAAAAGCTGTGGGCGGACTCGTGAGGATTTGCGGCCGACCACCAACCAGACAGACAGGACTCGACATCAACTCCTTGAAAATCGCGAAGATGACGCCGCTCAAGAAAGCCCAGCCTTTCAAGAAGGCTCTGTACTTTTCCGAGCAAGAGTTCCAGGACCGCCGCAACAGAGCGCTGGAGCTCATGAAGCGGGAGAATCTGGATGGCTTCTTGATGACCAAACAAGAGTCTCTCTACTACTTCACGGGCTACGACACGTTTGGATATGTCTTCTTCCAGGCCATGTACTTCCACAATGATGGATCCATGCGGCTCATCACTCGCATTCCCGACCTTCGACAGGCCCTATACACATCAGTGCTTGAGCAACGCGACATCCTCATCCGGTCGGACGATGCAGGAAGCAACCCCGTCTCGTTGGTTCCCACGGTGCTAAAGGAGTTTGGCATCGACTCGGCCTCCAAGCGCATCGGCTATGAGCCGGACTCCTGCTCCCTGACCCATAGGCTCGGGAAAGCTCTTGAGGCAGCCGTCCAGGGCCTTTGCACGCTCGTCGACCACAGCGACCTCTTCACTCGCGAGCTGCGCATCGTCAAGTCAGAGGCCGAGATGCGCAAAGTTCGAAAGGCGGCATATCTGGCCGACTTTGCGCTCGTGCGGACGCTGAAGCTGGCCAAACCGGGCGCGTACGAGGGCGATCTCTGGCGCGAGATTGTCGGCACGGTCTACGAGGGTGGAGGCGACGATCCGGCCAACGAAAACATTCTCGTTTCGGGAAACAAGGCGGTCCTTACTCGATACTCTACTGGCAAGGACAAGATTGAGCGCCAACTTACGGCCGAGCACGCCGCCGTGTACAAGCACTACCACGCCTGCCTGATGAGGACCATTCCCATCGGCGGTGTCACGAAGCTGGCTCGGCGAATGCATGAGGTCAATGTCCTGCAGATGAAGGCGGCTATGGAGGCCCTTAAACCGGGACGCGAGATTGGCGATGTCTTCGAAGCCTACGCTCGTGTCGCCGACGAGAATGGATTCCGCGACCAGCGCTTCAACTCGTGCGGCTACAGTCTCGGCGCCACCTTTTCGCCCACATGGATGGACTTTCCCATGTTCGTGCGCGGCCAGAACGTTGTCGCCAAGGCGGGGATGGTCTTCTTCATCCACATCATCCTCATGGATAAGGCGACGGACACGGCCAGCTCCATCGGCCAGACGGTCGAGGTCACCGAGAATGGCTGCGTGCCGCTGTCGAAGCTGCCCTTCTGCCTCACCCGAAAGCAGACTCTCGCGGCGTGGAAGAAGATCCGCAAGGAAGACTATGGCTTCACCTCCGAGGAGGAGGACGATGGCGAGAACCTGCAGGACGTCGAACTGTCCGATGGTGAGGTCGACGCCGAAGACTTTGAAGTCGAGTATGACTTTAGTGACTACACGCCTGCTGCTGCTCTCGGAGACCCGACGCAGAAGGCATAGCAGGATGGGGTGGGAGCAGTAGCATAAGTGAGAGCTTTCTAGTCAACTTTGAACAGAGAAGCCAAGATTGAGATGCCATTGATGCCCTTGCTGGATCGCTACAGTGCCACTCGTGCTGATTGCAATTGCAACACCGCGCTAGCGACTGAGTGAACCACCGATATCAGCGGCGTACCCATTGATGAGAGCAGATAAACCCCCCATCACAGCGTACTGCTGCTTATACCGGACATTATATGCACCCAATCTCGCGTCGCAATGAGACAGCCGAACGACAACGTCTATTCATCTATACTCGTTCATCTTGGATGTACTGCCATACCCAGACGACCGTATCTTCGGCACGTAGTCATGCGGCAAAGTCATGGTAATTCTGACCGCTTCTGCAATGGCAGACTTGAGATTCTCTATCGCCTCGTCGCTGACCTGGTGATGCAGCGAGATCCGCTCGTCCATGAGCCTCACGTTGAACTTTTCACACTGCTCCAACAGCACCCCCATGTCAAGCTTCGATCTCGCGGCGTCGATGAAGAAGAAGTTGGTGTCCACCGGGATCTGTGGCACTACACCAATCGCCGCCAGGTCCTTCTCCAGTTTCTTTGTCTTCCGGTGCGTCTCCGCCATGGTCGGCCACACTTCTTTGAGCGCGACCATGGCGGCGGAAGTAAGGACGCCGGCCTGGCGGATGCCGCCGCCCTGCTGTTTCCTCAGCCACCTCGCCTGCTTAATGTTTTGCTTTGTGCTGGCGAGAACCCCGCCAATCGGCGCACCGAGACCCTTGGAGACGCACATGGAGACGCTGTCAAAGTACTGGCAGTAGTCGGCCAGCGAGTGTCCCGTCGCGGCAGACGCATTCCACAGGCGAGCCCCGTCGCAGTGGACTTTGATGCCGTGGGAGTGCGCAAACTCGGATATCTTTTGGATCTCGTCTATCGGAGTGACAACACCACCTATCGTAACTTCCAGGCTGATGACTTTGGTAGGGGCAGTGTGGATGTCGTCGCCAAGCGTGACCCAGTTCTCGACATCTTGAAGGGTCATGTAGATGCCGTTGGCTGGGTGAACGGGAGTTACCATGGCCTGCGACAAGATTGCGAGGCCGGAGCCCTCTTCGGCATATACGTGAGCTCGGTAGTCGCATAGGACTGAATGAGGCGGCTGGTTGAGATGGAGGCGCACGCCAATTTGATTGCCCATGGTGCCTGAAAGAACGAAAAGGGCATCCTCCATGCCCGTCAGTCGGGCAATTTCGTTTTGGAAGTCGGTCGTGGTTTGGTCTTCTTGGTACACGTCGTCGCCAAAGGTGGCATTCCCCATGGCCTGCAGCATCGCCGCCGTTGGCGTCGTGAACGTGTCGCTGCGGAACTCATTTGCCGCTCTCATTGGCGTTGTTGAGTTTGTCATGCTGCCGGTGAGGGGATTCCTCTTGTCGCTTGTGTTGATACGAAGGGTATGTCGACTGAAGCTTGGAGATGCTTATAATCCACAGATACGACGTGAAAGCACAGCACCATCGACCAGAGAGGTCCTTGCCCGACGTCGGGGGCAGCACAACGTCTCCGGGACTTCGCAGGATCGGCGTCCCGTAGCGCCACCCGGCAGGCCAGCCGCATCTCCGCGGTGCGTCCGTGTACCAGCAACCTGCGCCCTCTGGCCCCTCCTGGCTGATGCCCCTGCTATCAACTGGTCGTGCTTCATGCCGCGGACCTGCATAGCTGGTCCCGCGCTTGTGAGCCAATTTATGCCTGGACGAACAAGACATGCTCGGGCTCCTTTCCGCAGACGGTATGCGCCGGGGTTTCGCGACACTGAGTGCCTGGACCCTCGCCACATATACGCCCCCGTGGCGCATTTGATGTTGCTGCCTCACATGCACTATTACGTTTCTCTGATTCACGAGAATCTAGAACGCTGGCATCAGGGCGACACCGGCCGGATGAAAGGACGAGAACACGTTTCCTCGCGGATCAAGCACGAAAATCCGTCTCCTCGTATTCGACAGATTGCGCAAGGCGGTGTTGACCTCGGCCGAGTGGCGCTGGGAATAATGATGTGGATTGCTGTGGGACGAGTTGTGATAACGCGGGGGGGGGGGGGGTATCAGGCGGTACTCAACTGGTACTTACACCGATACCAGGCACGTCGACATTGCATCAAAAGTGTGGAAGCGGCGCTGAGGAGGCGTCTGATGCTCAATTCTGCCTGTCGGAGCCATCGTGGAAGCTGGATAACATTTCACGCCAAACAGAATGGCGCAACAAGGAAACGCGCCCAAGTCGCGCAACAGCTCACTCCCGTCGGTGCTGCTTCGCTCAGCCGTTCTCATCGGGGTGTTGTCCCTTGCGCTGACATACCTTGACGCGCCGCTCTGGTCCCGAATTGCAGAAGGCTTCGGCCGCAGCCGCGACAAGTATGCCGTCGGCAGTGGCAGTGGCATCTGCAGACAGGAAGTTAAGCTCTCGCCAACAAACATCAAGGCAGAGCGCTTTGTCCGGGACAAGGTGGAATCGCCCGCGTACCATGCTGAGATCATCAAGAAGCTCTCTGGCATTATCCAGATACCTTCCGAAAGCTACGACGAACTGGGGCCCATCGGAGCCGATGACCGCTGGAATGTCTTCTATCGAATCGAGGAGTACATCGAGTCGAACTACCCAAAGGTCCTTGAGAAGGCCACATTAGAGCACGCAAACACCCACGGTCTCATCTTGACATGGCGAGGAAGCCTGCCCGCGTCAGAAGCCAAGCCGCTTCTCATGTTGGCGCACCAGGATGTCGTGCCAGTGCTCGCAGACACTGTACAAGACTGGACACACCCGCCTTACCAGGGACACTTTGACGGCGAGGTCATTTGGGGCCGGGGCGCAACAGACGACAAAGGCTACCTTATCTCTATCCTGGAGAGCGTTGACCTCCTTATCAAGAGCGGGTTCACGCCGAAGAGAACGGTAATCCTGGCGTTTGGATGCGACGAAGAGATTAGCGGTGAGAACTGCGGGCGTCCGATAGCAGATTTCCTGCACCATCGGTACGGCGATGAGGGCATCTACCTTATCATGGATGAGGGGTCCATGGGAATACAAAGAGAGTTCAATCAGTCCTTTGCCATGGTCAGCGTCGCCGAAAAGGGCTATTTGGATGTCGGCATCAATGTGACGTCGACCGGTGGCCACGCATCAAATCCGCCGGACCACAATGTCATTGGCATCATGTCGGAGATTGTCATGGCAATCGAAGAAAACGCATTCCCGGGAAGAGTGACGACCAAGAACCCTATGTTTGGCTTCTTGGAGTGCGCCGCCGTTCACGCTCCACAGTCCAGCATGCCCTCGACCGTGCGAAGCAAGTTGGGCCGAGTCGCTGGCGGCGACATTCATGCTCAGGCCCAATTGGCACAGGACCTGGACCATATGCGATACTACTTCCGCACAAGTCAGTCCGTTGGAAAGATGAGCGGCGGCGTCAAGATAAACGCTATTCCAGAGATTGCATCGACAATGGTCAACCTTCGTCTCGCCGTGGAGTCGTCAATCAGCCTGGTCGAGCAGCATTATGAGAATCTGGTCCGACCGATTGCTCAGAAACATGGCATGGTGTTTGAGGGATTCCGTTCGTCGTATGGCTCACCCGAGCGTCGAAAGGTGAGCCTCTACGGAGTCGATGCGCTGGAGCCAGCGCCCGTGTCTCCGCTCGACAGTGAGTCCTGGCGAGTTCTGTCCGGGACGATCAGGAATACGCTGCGACCACTGGAAAACGACGACGAACTCATCGTCACGCCATACTTGATGCCTGCGAACACCGACACCAAGTTCTTCTGGGCTCTGACAAAGAACATATATCGCTTCACTCCAATTAATCTCGTGGATAACCTGAACAGGGCGCACACTACTAACGAGTTCATCCGTGCGGGCGAGTTTGTCAGGGAGCCTCTTTTCTTCGCCACATTGATCCTGAACGCGGATGATGCAGCCGCTGGAGTGTAAACGGGTATCAGATTAGATAGAAATGACATGGATGGGTGGGAGATGACTGAACCGGGCCTAGCTAAAAATTGATGAGGGCAGCGACCATGCATTCTAGTCACACGCGTACATACTTCAATGTTGCAAACCCATCGGATCATGTTCCCTGTCATCACGAATAGCGCGAGCAATGGAGACACCTGAGCACAGTGGATGCAGCCATCATGATACATGTAGCGGACTGTCGCCCAAAGCGAATGTCCATGAATTCATGCTGTCTTCTACATACAACGAACACGTTGGCAAGCAGGTGTTCCCCATTCAACCCAAGGTACCGTAAGTACCTACTCAAAGAAGCTGTTCAGATACCCGGATACCTTACCGCGCTTCGGCTTCTCGTAAAGCGCCTCGTACAAGTCGATGTCGCTTTTGGTCGTGCCGAGCTGGAGGTCTGCAGTGCCTGGTCGAACGTACTTTGTCCGTCGCACCACCTTCCAGAACACAAACGCGGCAGGGAACAAGCCAACCATCGTGTAGCTCGTGAAGAATGTCGTAATGTCCCACTCTCCGTCGATGAAGACATTATACCCAAGTACTAATGTCATGACAAGGGTTGCGCAGAGAGCGTACCAGGCCGCATACGGCTGCAAGTAGCCCCTGTACGGGAGGGTCTTGCGGTCGATACCTTGCTTTTTGAGCGCGGCGTAAAAGTGAAGGTACGTGACGACCGTCCCAAAGTAGTTGAGCAGATATGACGCGGTGCAGATCCCCACGAGCCAATTGAGGACGTCGGCCGAGGACTTGCTGAGCTGCAAAAGAGAAAGCAGGCAGAACGCCAGCGCAGTGACGACTGCGTACAGGGGTACACCGAACTTGGTGCACTTCGCGTAGAAGGACGGGGCTTTTCCGTCGATGGCCATGCCGTGCAAGACTCTGGCGGCTGAGAAGACGACATTGTTTCCCGCCGACAAGACAGACGTCATGATCAGGGCATTGACCAGATCAGGTACTCCTTTGATGCCAAAGTGCACCATTGAGATGACGTACGGGGACCTGTTTGGTCAGTTTGTGACTCCAATCATTGTTCAGATTGACTTACGCAGCGCCTGTGCCGCTTCCCTCCTTGTCTCCGTTGATGTAGCCCGCCAGCATCTCGTCGTTGTATGGGATCACAATCGCGACGCATAGGGCTCCACCGATGAAGAAGAACATGAGGCGCCAAACGAACGATGCGTATGCCTTCTTCATGAGCCTTCGTGGGTTTTCGGCTTCGGCAGCGGCCATGGAAATGAACTCGGGTCCGACCATCCTGTCGGTGTTAGCTCGTGCTGTTCCTGAAGTTAGTGTAGGAAGGCTTACGTGAAGGATCCTTGGATCATGCAAGAAAGTAGGCCGAGGAACCGACCCGTGTCACCAGGTACGAGATGCTCAACGAATGCGCCCTGCGATAGTTAGTACAGAGGTCAAAGCCAATGAAGTGGCCGTCGGCTTACGGGATTGTTCCAGTAACGGAACCCATACGCATCGTTGCGGGGATTCCCGCCGACCATGGTGATGAAGGTATACATCATAAGACCAACCATAAGGAAGATCTTGAATATCGACATGTAAAACTCCGACGTTCCAAACCAGCGCACAGCGAGGCCATTCAGAACACTGTCACTTGATGTCAGTCCACATGTTTACTCAAATGTGGCTGATACACGACTTACGCAAAGATGGCCAAACATACTACAACGACCGCGCCGACGGGAATCTTATCGGTCCAGTATGTGAGCAGCACGTAGATGGCCGTGATCTCGTATGGGATGTTAAAGGCTGCGACGGTCAGAACAAGAACGCAGGGACAGACTGGACTGGAGTCGACCTACCCATAAGGAAAAAGTAGTTCCATCCCATGGCGAAACTCAAGGCATCATCAACCCAGAACCCAGCAAGCCGCACAAATGGCGACGCGATCGGAAGGTAGGTGACCATCTCCGCTGCGATTGTTTAGTGCAAGTCTCGCTGGGGAATCTTATCAAAACAGCACCTACCGAAACACTGGTTGACTGCAACGATAATGCTTCCGTATATAACAAATCCCAAGAAAAGCCCTGCCGGGCCACCTTTCGGTAGCGACGCACCCATTTGGACGAAGAGAGCTTTGCTGGGTTAGATGTGAGCCATCGAATGTGGGCTGCGGGACACGTACAGGTTCCTATGGCACCTCCGACAGCAAAGAGCTGAATCTCCTTGCCACCAAGTCTGCGGTGAAGTTGCTGTGATCCGGCCGAGATGAGTTCCGCTGGCAGAGCCGCCTCGCTGCTCGCGTCTTTGTTATCCGAGTCGACATCGCGACCAGGAGGGTCCGATGGCCGGCGGTCCTTGACCGTCTCAGTGTGTGTTGCGGTTGCCATCCTCAGATTCGTATGCTTCAATGACACATTGAGGAAGAAGTGAAGTTGAGCGGAAGAGTAAGCCGAGCGGAAAAGGAGAGGAATGCATCATGTTCATATTGGGTCTTGTCTGCGCCGCGAGACAGGTACTTCAAAGTCACTTCCTTGTATCCCTGTAGTCCGACCCCGTTGCTATCGTGGGGATCATCGGGATCGGCGCCCTTAACCCCGGGTTCCAGCGATCTCCACCTTGCCAATGCTGGAGTGTCTCGATAGGAGCAACCAATCCGGCTCGTCGGCAGTAAGAACCCTCCGAGCTTACACTGGGCAGGCAGTCCCATTGTGGTGGTTTTCCGCGGGAAACTTGTGCAACGAATTGTGCCTGTATTTCAGAACTGGCGATGCTCACAGTGAAGACTTTAACAGCGTACTGGACAGCAAAGGTGTCGTGTCTTTGCGTACGCAAACAGAGACGGAAATGGCGCAGATGCGACCGGCCCAGGCCCAAGTGTCGTTCACGAAGCAGCTGGTCAACTTCACAAACTCTGTGCCCGCCCTTGACCTCACGCTGAGGTTGATCCAAGCAACCACACAGGTCGCTTCGGAACTATGCATTGATAGCATTGTAGTGAAGAGATGCTCAGTAGCCACACTGCAGCTTGGATTGGGTGAGTGACACGAACCGGCCATTCCTGGCCTCTGCTGATACGGTTTTCGTAGCCCGGCGATACCTTCGCTTCTTCAGCTTTATCGAGTGCCTTGAACAAGTGGCGGCGCTTTTGGCCAACGATGCCTCAGAGCGCGGATCTTTCTCGCACACGCTAAAGGTTGTGGAAGCCAGTTGCTTGGGAATGTACTTCGGGCTCGAGGACCTGACCATGGTACGAAGTATGTACGCTCGTGACGAATAAGTGCTGACGACTCTAGCTTCATGATATGAACGTCTTGCAAGTCTCGTGGTATACGCTAGTTCTTGTCGAGGCGAATAAGTTCTGGTTTTACGCAATTTGTGCCTCTATCGCGAGAACTCTCGGGCAGCTGTTGGCGGGTTCACCCTTCGCCGTCGATGATACAAACAGCCGGGCTGCGAGCAAAAAAGAACAGTCGGCGCCCGTGAAGATGCCATCTAAGCCTGGGCGACCTTCACGGACAAGGATTGTCCAGAGGCTGGTGATAGACGGCTGCGATATGCTGTTACCTGCTTCTTTCATTGGGTGGACTCGGCTCGGAGACTTGGAGGTAGGACTGGCTATGATCGTGAGCAGTCTCCTTGCTTGGGGCGGGGTATGGGCAGCAGCTCAGCAAGTCAATTGAGGGCTAGATGGTCAGAAGCATGATTGAATTACATTCTTTATTCGCCGATAATTGCTGTTTACCTGGCGAATGTCATTCTGGCCACTCAAGGCACAGCTTCAACATAGTATCTGTGACGTTTGCCGTCAAATGCAATCGTAGGCTATCGCAGGTCTGATCGGCTAATTGCGAGAGGTATATTAGCCATAGCAATCTAGAAGACGCAGCATTTGGTCAAGCACACGCATCTGCCTGCCTGGCCAAGCGAAAGGATTGCGCGTATATGTGTAGGAGTCTCGACGGAACAAGAGCGGGCCAGACCGCGGATTGGCACCAGCGGTGAACCTGAAAAAACGCGTAGCCGACTTGAGGATGGCCAAAACGGTGAGGTCGTCGTTCGGGCGCAGTTTCAAGTGTAGTTGAAGGACGCTCGTGCCTCCAGTCTCAAACACAGCAGCGAATCCGCTACTGGCCGGAAGCTTCGTGTTGTCAGTACCATGGTCATGGCTGCAAACTTTGACAAACCGGATTAGAAGAGCCCGCATCCATCCGCTGCACTGATACTCAAATTACGTGCAGCATATTTTGAGGCTCGTCTCTTGTCGCCGTGGATGAATCGCGAGTCGGGAAGGTGACCGCGTATATATCGAGGCCTTCCCTTCTCCAACTCTCCTCCGCTTCACCATCCATGTATATGTGGTCAAACACAGCAAGAAAACATGGCACTTGCAAAGACGCTCTTCGTCTTCTTCGGCTACTGCGCCACAGCCTTTGCCAAGCCCTATCCCAATCTTGACGGCACCAACATCCAGTTCGGAGTGAGTTTAGGTCACAGCGTCGAGTGTTCTCATTCGCGATATGCAGTAGGTCAAATATCGCTGACCAGGCTACTGCGATAGGTATGCTCGGTCGGGACAGGCGACTGCGTCCCTGCTTCTCGCTTCAGCGGGACTCCCGTTGGCGTGCGCTGGCATACTCCCAAGCCTTGCTCTCCTCATGCCTCGGTCAGCGCTCTTCCCCAGATCCAAGCGTCTTGAACCACCTGTTCTTCGTGAACCAACTAACGACTGCGTGCAGTGCAAGAAGGAGGGCGATTGGTGCTGGACTCGAAGTGACCAATGTGAGGCGTTTTGCAGTTGGGATGGAGATGTGGAAGCGGTGAAAGCGATCGAATCTCTACCCTGGTAAAGTCCGATGCGGTTCAATGGGAGAGATGGCGGCAAGAAGTGCGGCAGGGGAGGGTTGTGGCGAGCGTTGACATTTGCTCGACAGACCCTTGCTTGTGATCCGTGCAATTGAACCTGTTAGGCTCAAGTTGCTCGACTTTGTGCCCACCTGCCTGTAGAAGTGGTGCGACCAGCTGAATGCCCGGGACCAAGCCTCGTACCAAGCATCGCCCCGTGCAGGCTGTATTAGCACCAGGTACAGCCCTGGCTCTCTCGTTAGACGCGCAAGATGCCACATGTGCACCAGAGGCGATAAACAATAGCGAAGGAAGAACGGTGGATCACGCGATCGCTTTGTCGTCAACTCTGCTGATTCTGGTGGTACCCTGCAGCGGGTCGTGCCCCTGGCTCAGACTGGGGATCGGCCCACCGCCGCCATGTATGGAGCGGCACTTGAGTCGACAGCCGGGCAAGTCAGGCAGATCCGTCCGACATGAGACGGCCCCGGTCGCGACTCTCAGCGGCACAGGAGGCCGGACCTAGCAGGCAAAAGGCTCGGATTTACTCCGGTCGTGAGCGAGCAGACCCTCCAAAATCGCCCTGGACCGGTGGCCAGTAATAGTCCGAATGTATCACTTCTCGTGTGGCTCATCGCGGCTGGGTGTTCTGCATTCCTCGTCACTCAGCCGGCCCACTGGAACGAAGGCGTGCCACAGCGCACACCACCTTGTTGGGTCTCCTTGGCCACCCTGTAACGTTAATTCGTAGCCTGGGACACTTTAGAATACCCGTCCCCCGTGACTGTCTGCCCTGGATGAGGCATTATGCGCGCAGTAACACGGCATCCGCCGCCTATCGTAAGTGCTACTTCGTCTTGTGGTTCCGCTCCATCCGGAACCAGGCTCGCCTACACGGGGTTGACAACGCCAACACCAAGCTATTACGGGGCCGTGCCGGCCAAGTGGGACTAGCCGCCGGTTGGCAGATCCCGGCTTCATGGGTCGCCCTGTCACCAGACGCGGCGTGGAGCGACTCGCCGCCGGTCCACCTCCAGCTGTCATGCAACCCTCGTGCCACCTCAGGACCCCTACAACGGACCTGGCGGCGTGCCGTACGTTCGGGTATCGTTCTATGCCCAACGCGGCCCAGACGCTCACATCGATGATCCCCTCCTGCAATTGGGCCATGGCGTGGCAGAAATTGAGTTTGCCTTAGCGTGCCTTTGGGCTGTGTCCTTCGCCGGCGCGACGATGGCATAATTGTGACGTCAATTCTCACGGCCGCCTCGGCCGTGTCAGCGTTTCTGTTTGCGGATCGGATTGTTCTAAATCGGGGCCTCGGATGCCAACGAAACCGTTCAGCTGGCCAAAACTGGCGTCGTCCCCAGCCTCCTCGGCGCCTCGCCGTCTTCCCATCCAGATTCCCGGTACTGCCGCAACTCAACAGCTATGGAGTTCCCAAGACCAAGACGAGCGTCGTCGATATACATGCGACGCAAGAGCATCATTGCTCAAAAGCAAGGCTCCATCGACTTGGCCCTCACGGTATGAGAGCATCGCAAGGACCCACGACCTGCGCCCGAGCTAACACGCCCACAGACACTGTATCTCGGCATCTCTGCTGCGCACCGCGAAAATGGCACTGCTGAGGTCGCACTCGCGATTCGCGATATTACGTACCTCCTCGACTTTGACGTGATCCGCGTCGAGGTAAAGGACGATCGGGATGCCATAACCGAGTGCATCCTCGAGCATGTGCAAGCGTATGAGCACGAAAACATGGCCAAGTTCATTGGCGCCGCCCTCCCGAACAACATGCTCGAGATCACACCGACACTATGTTCCCGCCTTTGGCTCGAGCTCGACATTGTTCCTCTTGCTCTGCCTGCGGAGAGTCAGCATAATAGAGATCTGTGGGAGGTCAAGCTCATCGACGAGCAGGCAGACTCCATGGCCCGCCGATGTATTGTGTAAGTTAGATCGCCGACTCCGCGGCCCGCAGAAACTGACTAGATAAGACACTTTGGGCCCTCAATGGCCCCAATCCTGCAGGTCGGCTGGCACGGCGAGGTTCAGGTCGCCGCGGGTGGCAGGGTTCGCCTCAACACGATTCAAGATTACATGGGGACGTGTTCCGATGTGTCGTGGGAGACGGTATCCGCGTATGCAGAAAAACTGCGCACCAAGGGAACCAAAGTAGCCTTCTTCAGTGCGACGCCCCAGGGTGGCGGCGTCGCGCTTATGAGGCACGCTCTCGTACGCTTCTCCCGACTGCTCGGGGTGGATGTAAAGTGGTACGGTAAGTTCAATGAAACTGATCAGCGTCGTCTTGTCCCTGGCGCTAAAGCGAGGTTCCTCTAGTCCCAAAGCCCCGAAAGAGCGTCTTTCGCGTCACCAAGAACATGCACAACATCCTCCAAGGCGTTGCTGCACCGGACCAGCGTATTCCGCCAGAGGACAGGGCGGCAATCATCGAGTGGATCACAGACAACGCAGAGCGGTACTGGTTTCGTGATGGAGGGCCACTGCGCCCGCCGGAGCAGGGCGGTGCCGATGTTATCATCGTACGTATTCAGCGTCGTCTTGGGAGAGTGCGTTTGAGACTGACTTTACACGTACAGATTGACGATCCGCAAATGATTGGGCTCATTCCCATGATCAAGAACTCATCGACGAACCGCCCGGTGCTTTTCCGATCCCACATCCAGGTTCGGAGTGATCTGATTGCGACCCCGGGAACGCCTCAGGCCGAGGCATGGGACTTTATCTGGAGCCACATCAAAGATGCCGATGTGTTCATCAGTCACCCGATACCAGCATTCGTGCCTCACACGGTGCCGCGCGAGAAGGTCATGTACTTGCCGGCCACGAGCGACTGGTAAGCGGACCGTTGAACTTGAGATTGCCAAGCTAACTGAGACAGGCTTGATGGGCTGAATAAAGACTTGAACGCGTGGGACACGGGCTACTATATGCACAACTACAATACCCAATGCCATGCACAGGGCATGACTGAGTTGCACTGGCCCAGTCGTGAGTAACCCCCAAGGGACCAGTTGTAAGTGGTGCCGTGTGTCGCTGACGAGACAGGCAAATACATTATCCAAGTTGCCCGCTTCGACCCGGCGAAGGGCATCCCAACGGTAATCGATGCCTACGCCGAATTCCGCCGCCGGTATGAGGCAGCGGGTGAAGAGGATCCGCCACAGCTCGTCATGTAAGCTTCCTTGCCACATCACAGCAGTACGTGTCTGACGGAACAGTTGCGGGAACGGGTCTGTTGACGACCCCGACGGTACAATCATCTACGATGAGTGCATGAACAAGATCGAGACCGAGTACCCTCACCTGCTGAGCGACACGAGCGTCATGCGACTTGACCCGAACGATCAGATGCTCAACGTCCTCATTGCCAACGCCCACGTCGTGCTGCAGCTGTCCACTCGCGAGGGCTTCGAGATCAAAGTGTCAGAGGCGCTACATGCTAGCCGGCCCGTGATTGCGACCTTGGCGGGAGGCATTCCCCTGCAGGTCAAGGACAAGGTGAACGGCTTCCTTGTCACGCCAGGCGACTGGAAGGCTGTCGCCGACCATCTCATCGAGCTCTTTACGGATGACAGCCTGCACACTCGGATGGCCATTGCCGCCAGGATGGGCCTCAGCGACGAGGTGGGCACAGTCGGGAATGCGCTTGCTTGGTACTTTTTGGCCAACCAGTTCTCCCATACGCCTATCGACGGCAACGAGCGCTGGGTAAACGACCTCGCGAGAGATGGGGTGGCCAAGCCGTACAGCGAAGAGGAGAACCGCTTGCCTAGGAGCTTCACGACTAATGGTCGAGTGTAATCGGCACTGTATGTGTGAGTGCATGGCCTTGGTGGGAGCGCATGGGTGAGCTGTGATCGCGCGCCTTACCGTACGGCATGCGTCCATGTCACCAAGTTTTTAGACTTGAAGCGTGTATCTTCTACGTTTACGCAACATCTCATGTCTTGCAATATCTGGGGGAACGCTTGAATGGACTTTTATGAAATGAATGTCCTGAGCCCAGCCGTAGCACAGATCCAACGTATTGTTCGTCCTAGAGGCCCACTGTGCGACGCCATCGTCAGTTCGTTCAATCTAAGGAGCATGTGGCATTTCAATGAGATTTGAGAACATCCCCTTCTTCAACTGCGATTTGAGAGGCGCCTCCCGTGCCTTTGACCATGCGAGGATCTCCTCTGGATCTCTACATTGATGCCAGGTGTTGAAGTCCGGATACGCGACCGGGTTGCCCTGGACCCAGTGGAATGTGATCAGCCCTGTGTCTCCTTGACAGCTGATGACTTGGCGGATTATCTCTAGACAGTGGTCTATGATTCAAGTCAGCCAAATGGCAGATTGGTAGGCGTAGGCCGACGCGACAGACCAAGGTGGGTTTTTAAGATGTGCGGGCGCGTCCCGTTGGCCAAAGGAGCCATTTTCTTGTAATAGTCGGAATGAATTGCTTTCCGAAGCATATTCTGCTCAAAGCCCGGGTCAAGGAATGCTCTCTGATCTTAATCTTGAAGGCATTACTAACCAAGCAGTGTAGCTGATGAAACAACTCCATTGTGGCCATGTAGCCTCCTCCGTGCTGTGTCCCATACTCGACCGTGGAGTTGAACCAGTCATCGTCGGACATCTTATTGGAGCGCTTGATATCTTCCTCGTTAACCGCGATTAAAGACGCAGTTCCATCAGTGAATGCTGTTAATTGTTATTGTCTTGTTCCATGCCAAGGGTCGCGGGTGCCTGACGATGGCGAGTGAACCTGTCCCATTCACGGTCGAGTTGTGGGCTCGGGGGACCACGATATCGACCGGTGAACTCAAAGGAACCATTGAATCGCGTAGGGGACCTTTTGAAAACCGGCAGCTCGCTTGCTTGATCCCGTCAGCCTCTCTCTGGTCGGCGTCACGCACCAAACACTTACACCATCTCGGTTCCGACTCCATCTCGGGCTTCCTGTTCGCGGTCAACCCCAAGCAAAAGCCCAAGGCGAGCCAAACAATGCCGATGATAATCTTTTTGCAGCATTCATAACGCCATCTGCTTGGCTTGGTACTTTGATCAATGCTTGCATCATCGTCGCAGCTTGAGCCCTCCGGGGTCTGCTCAAGAGGCGAGTACGTAGGCCTAGGTGTCGGGTACATCGTGATGAACAGGAGGGTCGAGGAATTTGTGCAACCCAGGAGCAGGGAGCCACGGACGTTCTGAGCGCGAGAGGCGTGACCCTTTTATTGCGAGCGGCGTGTACACCCCTGGTTGGCTGGTCCATGCACACAATACCGACAGCACCTGAAAATTGAGAGACCATCTATTAAACCGCCGCCGCTCTTTATTCCTGCAGTAGACCAAGTCGTGGCCAAGTTCTTCATCAAATCTTTCCGAATATGGGGAATATCGATGCGCCTGGATTTCTTCACGAGGATGAGCAGCGACTCCTCATGGAGCCGACAGCGAGGTCTGAGACGCGAATCGAAGGAGCGGGTTGGTGGAGGCGCCCAGCCTCCAGAACCCATCTTGCCTTCCTCTACGTCACAAACGTCGCGACGCTCCTCATATTGCTGTCGGAGATCATGGCGCGGCCTAGGCCAGTATTCGGGGATTTCTATTGTCCGCCTGCCTACCGCCCAACGGAGCCGCTCCGCTAACTTGACGGTTGCAGCGCCGGCCGGCCACCTCATAAAATACAAAGAGACAGTTTTCCTGGACAATATCTACCAGCTCTCCCCATTCCAAGGTCCGCCGAATGAGACTAAAGACACAATGTGGGACTTGCTATATCGAAGTAAGTTGGTACTGCTGCCAGTTCTTGCGTTCCTACACCCCTGCTCAACCCAGATGGCAGATACAAGTTCGACTGTAGTAGCTGCTGCAGATGCAAAAGGTCTCCCAAATCGCACCATGGTTCTGCCCGGCACCGATGGAGACGGGATCATCTCGCTTGAGGTGTTCCATCAACTACATTGCTTGGTGAGGCTCTTGATGTCAAGAATCAAATGTTTCGACAGACACTTATGGTCCTGCAGAACTCGTTGCGAAAAAGCCTGTATCCCGAAAGATTTCCAGACTACAGCGTCTTCTTTCCCAACCACACCCGGGACCCGGGGATGTCAGTCCACCATGGTATGACAAGCACTCGCGAAAGAGCCCAGCGTCGCCGAATGACTGACACAACATGACCCATTCAGACCATTGTATTGATCGCTTGCGTCAGGGCGTTATGTGCGCCAGTGACTTGGGAGCCATGTATTGGACTTGGAATGAACACCGCAGAATGTGGCGCCCGAATATGAGCACCACGCATATGTGTCGCAACTTTGAAGATATCCGACAGTGGGCAGTGGCCCATAACTTGCCAAACTGGGATGAGACAGTTCCGAGCCGGTTGACAGACTGAAACCTCGGGAAAGAGCACAGAAGTGGCGGTCGCCTACGCGTCCTTTGCTGCACCATAAGATGATGAGCGGCTGTGTGACCTAGCGGGGTCGGGGTTGCTATGTCCGTGGAACGAGAAATGGGACGGGGCGTCTACCCCGGATGTGGACTCTGTTAGCGTAGGGTTTGGCTCGGTTCCAGAAGGGTGCAATACTCCTGACAGAAGGGGATTCACGTCCACCGAGGTTTTGAAGGCGCGTTTGTACTAGAGAGCCACGTCAGGCATGCGCAACTACACGCCGCCACCCCGCGATGTTCTAAGTGCTCCAAAGACAGTGGTTTTCTCTACACTACCTGATCAAGAGATCAGAGATCCTCTTTCTCATGCAAGTAACGTTGAACTTGGCCGATGTGGCTTGCAACCCGAGTCCAGACTGGAGCCAACGCACCAACTCGATATCTCGCCAGCCTCATTGTTGTCTCGGTGGGCATCAATTGATAACATCAAGCCAATGCATTTATGCCGTACTACAACGGCATCTCAGCATGTCTCGTCACAATAATAACGTAGGCTCTTCACGCATCACGATAGCGTCAATCGATGTCGACACATGCAAGTTGGTTGGCTGCGTGTATGGGATCGAGATCAGGTCATGCGTGCGCCCCGCGACGCGATTTGAACGAATTTGCAATCTATGCAGCGGGCGCCGAGATTCGGGCGAAGCCAGCGTGATCGGAGATCGGAATGCAACGTTTAAAGACGGCGGGCTTATAATACAGGGCCCCAACCCGTCCGGCATCAAACCACTTTGACATTATTGGCAGCATTGACATACCTCAAACACATTACGAAACACCAAGAACTTTACCTTATCATGAAGCTCGTTGCTATCCTCGCTAGCATGCTGCTTGGCTGCATCGCCTCTGTGCACGCGATACCCATTGAAGATACGGGCTTGAGCTCGAGAGGCCAGACGGTACGTAAGCACACTACCAATAGAGAACCCGCAGAGTTGGGCTTACGTTCATCAACGCAGACTACGAATGATGACATTGCCTCGCATGAGAATGTATGTGACAACTCTCCGCGGGTTCCTGAGAGAAGCTGACAGCGTCTGCCTAGGACGTGGATGTGGTGCGAGGCGTGAACTATTACGAGTATTACAACTGAAATGACGCCCAAGTGTTGCTCCAGTTGCCCTCCTGGCCTGCAGGTACTTCTTTCTCACCCGTTCGGGCTACGTTGGTTCTGGCCCAAGCTCTGAGTCCGGTCTGAGACGCGTCAAGTCCGAACGTTGAGGCGGCGGGGGGCAATGGCGCAATGGGTTCTTTATCGCACCAGACTTTTCTGGTGTCTTTCTTCCAATACTTCATTTCACCATTGAACTTCACGGCATGCTCAGGAACATGAGCTTGGCGGACTGTCGCACACCCTGTTGCAGTGGGCTGAACTCGTTCCATCACGGCTACGAGCGGCAGCATGGCGGGGGCAATCTGGTGGGAGGAAGTTAACAGATGTTAGCTCCACGAATTGATGCAAGCAATTTTGGATGTTTCAGTCGGAATTACATCGGGAGTGTTGGCTGCCTGCATGTGCCCAGCCCCGCTCCCTTGAATTGAAGCCTGCCACTCCAGTTCGGGCGGCGAGACGAAGTAGCACCTATACCATGCCTACCTACCTCGTACACGCCACGCCATCCGTCCATCCATGTAGCCGGCACAAAATCTCGTCGCGACTGCCGGCGCGCCGGCTGTGACCCAATAATGCAACCGATAGAACGCAGAAGCGTGGGCCGCGGAGGCTTTCGAGGACCTACCGAACGGATCCTGGACAAGGCAGTGCGACATGTGCGAGCTAATGATAGGAAAACCTACTTTGGAATCGTGTTCGAATACGTTACGGACGAACAAAACGATCAGCATCTCGTAGAGCAGGTGGATTTGTTTCTCTATCGTGCCGGTTTTAGTCACACATTGTCAACAGCCGAGAGGAACTGGCGTGCAAGTAAGGTCGTGGACCATGGCGAGTACATCCACCCTGAAGGATTTGGATGGTCATCCGGTCGATACAAGTCAAGACTAGTAAAGGAGATTCTGATCTAGGGGTTTCAGAGGGCTCTTAGGTGTCCAACGCCCGGGCTGCTCAAATGTGCCGCAACATTGTCATGACCTAAACAACACTAGGTGTTGCTAAGATGCCTGAAAACGTCTCCAAATGGGAAAAGAAACATGAGACAAGACATGGGCCACCTTTACAACATGAAGGTTATCCTTGCAGCAAAGAATTCGGCGATGGGCAATCTTCAGGTCTGGAAGCCGCTGGAATCGAGCGTCCTAAGCTCCTCGTGCAAGTGTGTCATGCTTCTTGATGGTGAGGAGCTAGTCTTCCACGAGTACTACATGCGGGTTAGGCTGATAGTTATGCCTCTTTCATGCTGTGTTCATGCAATTAAGATCTGCCGCTACCGAATACGAAATGATCTCTATGAAGCAGACATCGAGGCACTGGGACTTTCCATTTTCTGGACGCATTCGGTTCCCCTTCTTCCTCTAAATTGGATCCAGATGACATCATCTCATTTCGGCACTTCATGTTCGGACGCATAACCACGAAAGTCATGTTGGTACGTCCTGAACAACGGGTACAACTACACGTAAGCGAAATTGTGCTTTGGTCGAATGAATCAAACGCACTTGCCGATCAGCTCGATTGCTGCCCGTTCTTTCCGAACCTTGGTCTCCTCTGTGCACTGGCCGCCTGCTCTCATAACATTGCAACAAGATCGTGTCCTTGCCGATCCAATTCCTCGGCCACACCCATTTTTACGACTTCCAACCAGTCAAAGTTTGGTTAGGAAGGCGTGCAATTGACAGCGCTCTGACATTGTCATGCTTCACGCGGCATCCGACACTCCGGGAAGCGCAGTATGGTACTTGGCTGAAAGCTAAGCCGGGCGCGAACCCTTGCGGGAGCAATGTCGTTTGCCGTCAAAATTGCACTATATCATATGTTGAGCGAGGGAAGTAGTGTTTGTGCGCGGCCTTCAGGCAACACTGGCAATCAAGGACATGGAGCTGGTCAGATTATGTGGCCGCGTGCATGCTTAGGGATGACGACGCTGTCTGACAATTGCGGGCACTCTGTGGTGTAGATTAAGGATGATACATCATTAGAACAGGGCGAATGCTCCTGACACAATCCCTCACAGACCCCGTATAAGAACGCGGCGTTCCATCAGTCACACCAGACGGTGGCTCACTCAATGCGATCCAGAAGTGGTACCCCGACACAGGAAACATAAGCCCGAAAACACTTACCAGCCGCAAACATGAAGGCAGTTGTCGCTCTGATCAACGCTTTGTTGCTCACCACGGCCAATGCCGTGGCGCTGCCAGTAGATGAGCATCGGGACCTGAAGCAGCGTGCCGAAAACGTGTGATCACGGCAAACATCTAGCTGGACATGATAACTCGCTGACGACCAAGTAGGATGTTGACGCAAGGCGACGGACGACCGACTACTATCAATACATCCAGACGGATAAGGGGGTACGAATTCTTGTCAACACCGGTCCATAAGTGTCAAGGGCGCGTGCTGAGTAGAATTTAGGGAAATCCCATCACCTCCAAGCGGGATGAAGTGGAGGTTGTCGATGTGGTGCTTGACGATGTGGTGCCAGACGATGCAGAGCTTGGCGATGGGAACCCTGCCAATGCGGAGGCACGCGAGCCCGCGAATGTGTGTACACGCCGGCTGGACATGAATAGACCTGAACGACGCTGACGTATCGATATAGGACGTTGATGCTGCGCGAGGCCAGGGCTATTATGACGGGCCAGCGTACTACTGGTAGTTCATGCAGTCGTTAACGTCGGCATGCAATAATACAAGGCCATCTGCGACGCTTATGGACTTGAAGATTTTGTCCACTTAGGCTTCACTTGGCCATGGCTCAGAAGCTTTGTCAATGCACATGGCAGTTTCGCCTCGTCACCAACCATTCGCGCACGTGGTGGTGTTCAAACCAGTTGGCTCACCCACTCTCAGTACCATCGCCAGTGAGATGTGTCTCTTCATGTGGTGAGCCGCACTCGAAGCCCGGAGCCCGCGGCGCTCGAGTAGCTGTGTTGGCCACCAATGCCTATGGACCAAATCGCCGACGAGTGTGATATCAGAGCCTGCTCATTTGCCAGGCGAGAAGCCGCATAGAGCATCAAGACTGCCCGAAGTGCCTGGCGTCTGGATAATACTGTTCGGTACATTGCAGTACCTAGAGCAACCGATGGTCGTCTGCAGATGACACAAGGGCGTTGGCAAGATCGTCCTAGGCAAGTGGTGGGAGCCAGCAGGCGGCACCAAAGATCCGCACCCGCTGCTGCCGCCACTCATTTGGACGTTCCGTGCCTCGTTATATCTCGAGTGCGGTCTTTTTTTGTGTTTCGAGTCAGTGTTTGGCGGTCGAGATGCCCGTCGACCCCGCCGGCCACCACCCAGATCGGTAACGCGACCGAGTGTCATATTCGCGCGTGGCTCGAAGCATGGCAAAGTAGTTGCGCCATCGTGGAGTGTGAAAAGGATGTACTATGTGCGTACGTTAAATCTGGAGCGCCGAGAAGGGCCTGGGAACCTCTTCCCGGGCGAGCCGTGTTCCACAACTGCATGTCGCACCAGGCTTGACGCAAGAGCAAGCATGTAGATGGCCGCTGTTTCTTCAACGGCCGGGCACCAGTTGACAGCTGAGCCTCGTGGAGTCTCAGGCGGCGCACTGAACAAATGGTTGCCTATACGAGGTACAATTGCCGGCACTGCACTCACAACTCACATCAGCCAGAGTTCAAAAGAAGCGCCGTGTGACAGGACACTGCAATGCAGTCGTGCGAGCGCGAGTAAGAGCCGCAGGCACATGCACCGTCGCCAAGCCGCAGCGTCATACTGCAGAAGCGAGCCAGGGCCTCTGGGGGGTGCTGTTGGCCTAGCTGTTGGGGTTGCAGTGCTCTGGCTGGGTGCCGTGAGCCGCCCGTAGCGCAACGGGCAAGACAGGCATGCTCCTCGACCGGTAGACAGCTGGATTGACACAATATAGGTATCGGGTCCTACTTTGAACCCCGCGTGCAGTCGAGCTGCCTACTGAGATCGCCGGAGCTTTTCACTACATGTAGGCACTTGCGGCCGACGCATTGCCATGATGATGGCAGTGTTGGAGTTGAAGTGCTAGCGGTCCGGTCCGTAAGTATCACACTGATCAGTCCGAGACACGCCTCGTCAGCTGTGTGATGCGCTGGGCCGCCCGCCAACCAAGCCTCCCGTCAGCGCCCCAGACATACATACACAGTTACAAACCATCCGCCTGACCTCGTCAGATGCCCATCCAACCGAATTTCCTCCACCCGCGATCCGGGGCCGCCCAGCCACCAACGAGCTCCAGTGTCGCTGTCAGCTGTGTAGATGCCATGTCAATCCCGTTGCCCCGCCGCCTTGTGCGTTTCAAGCTCAGCGACCTGTGTTGAGTGGTGCGGGTCAACCGACCCCCATGTGGCGGCAACTGTTTCTGTGAACATGGTGGTGCGGATTGATGATGGGCGAAAGGTTATCCAGCCAGGTGCAACGACATCCTCTTGACAAGCGCCTGTGACCACCCATTCTGTTGCCTAGTTCTAAGATCTACTCAGATCTACACCTGAGTACAGTACTGTAAGCTACCTACTGGCACGTAGCTGACTCCGTTCGTGGCCGCCTTCCTTGTTGCTCTATAAACGGCCGAGCATGTGGTCAGTTTACACGAGGGTGCTCTTCCAATAAAGTTGTATGTACGTTTGCCTGAATGTAAGCCGCCCGTCAGCACCATTGAACCGTTTGGGCCCTGGAGTATCGCCGCTTCGACGGACAACGGTGTCAATTCCTCAGTTCAATCCGGCATCAACTCCTTCTTGTCTGCATCAGAGACTCAGACGGGACATTGGCCAAGTCGCAGAGCAGCCATGGCTTCGTCGGAAGCGTCATCAGCGTCAGAGCATGTCAAGGAGCGACCATCGCGACTTCGTCGCCTCTTCCCACGTCGCCCGTCAGCCGAACCTCAGAACGAGAAACAATCGTCACACCCTCGCTGGAGCTTTGGCATCTTGAATGATCGCGAGACCGTTGAAGTACCAGGTATGTTCCATAAGTTGAATGCCAATTATAGCATAATAGTATCGCAAAGGACCGGCAGACTGACCCTGTCTCCCCAGGCTCTGTGTTACTGCTTGCTGCCAATCGCAACGAGCCCCTGGGCCTGAGAAACGTCCATGCGCGAACATCTCACTCCTCTATCCCGGCCGGGTTTCCTGTCGATGCCTCCTTGACGCCCGGGCGGGCATCAGCAGGCCACCGTGCCGCCGCCGATCCATCCGCCCAAGCCGGCGACCCAGCCGAGGGAAAGAAGAAGACCGAGGACGGCACCATCATTCTCGAGCCACAGCCAGAAGACTCTGCCAACGATCCGCTCAATTGGCCTGGCTGGCAGCGCGATACGGCTCTCATCTCGCTCGGCTTTTATTGCATGATTGGCGGTGGCATCGGTCCGCTCATCGCGGCTGGCTTCACCGATATTGCCCACGAGTACGACGTTACGGTCGAGAACGTGTCGCTTGTCGTCGGTCTGTATATGATGGGGCTCGGCATCGGAGCTGTCTTAGCATCGCCCACCGCCATCTTGTTCGGGAAGCGACCCGTTTACCTCGCCAGCGCCATCGTCTTCATTGGAACTTGTGTCTGGGCGGGTCACTCCCCTAGCTTCCCTTCCCTTCTGGCCGCTCGGGTGTTCCAGGGCATGGCAATGAGCCCTGTCGAATGCCTTCCTTCGGCGACAATTGCCGAGATCTTCTTTCTTCATGAGCGGGCGTATCGTATCGGTATATACACATTGCTACTGCTAGGCGGCAAGAACTTGGTCCCCCTTGTAAGTGCTGCGATAATACAACGATACGGGTGGCGTTGGGTATTCTTGTGAGTTACCCCATTCAGCTACATATGAAGCCTCTGACAATCAACAGCATAGTCGCAATGGTCGCTGGTCTTGGCTTTAGCCTTTTGTTTCTGTTTGTCCCCGAGACGTTTTGGGACCGCACGCCCACAAGGCGACCGTCGAAGAGGCCAAGCTTTCTTCGCCGCGTCTCGTCCCGCCGTAGTGTTCCCAGGCCACCGGATGTCCCCGACTCATCGAGTGCAGCAGCCAAGACACCCGAGCGCCCAGGACACCAGGCGCCGGCTCGAGGGCCGCAACTTCACGTGGAATTCGCTGCCGAAGGTTGCAGTTCCACTGCTACCAATCCTGAGAAGACGGACAGGTCTTCCCTCGATGCGCCTGGCGCTGATGTGCCGACACCTGAAAAGAAATCAACGGACATCAACAAGAGTCCTGATGCTACATTGCTCATGGATGAGAAGATAGTGGCAGCGCCCGGCCAGGCACTTCAACACGGCAACGCAGCCAGTGAAGGCGTACCGTCACCACGACCCATCCTGGCTCGAACCCCGAACAGCTACCTTGTCCAGTCCCCGTACACACATAGCATCGCCGGGAGTGAGACCAATGTCGACTACTTCATGCACGGCCCGAATCTCGATAATGAACGAATCCCAGCTTCGGCCCTGAGGGCTCCTCCAAAAATCCAGGCGTACACACATGTTCTCCGCCAACAGCCCGCCCAGACATTCGCACAGCACCTACGACCGTACCATGGCCGCCTCAATAACGATAAGTGGCTCAAGGTCATGGTTCGGCCATTTGTCCTGTTCTCATACCCGGCAGTGTTGTGGTCCGCCGCCGTGTACTCATGCTCGATCGGCTGGTTGATGGTCATCTCGGAAACCATGGCCATCATCTATCGAGACCCATCGTCATATAACTTCACATCGCTGCAAACCGGTCTCGTGTATATCGCACCATTCATCGGCGGCGTTCTAGGCACCGGCGTAGCCGGCAAGATCAGCGATATAATCGTCCGCGCCATGTCGCGACGCAACGGCGGTCTCTACGAGCCTGAATTCCGGCTCGTCATGGCCATCCCCATCATGGTGGCGACTTGCATCGGCCTCATGGGCTTCGGGTGGTCGGCGCAAGACAAAGACCACTGGATGGTCCCCACCGCGTTCCTCGGCGTCCTCTCCTTCGGGTGCTCCCTGGGGTCGACGACGGCCATTACGTTTTGCGTCGACAGCTTCCGGCAGTACGCCGGCGAGGCGCTCGTGACACTCAACTTCTCCAAGAACATCCTGCATGGGCTCGTTTTCAGCCTGTTTGTGTCGCACTGGATGGCGCACGACGGCCCGAGAAAGGTGTTCATCTGGCTTGGCGTCATCCAGCTGCTGCTGCAACTGACGACGATTCCGCTCTTCATCTATGGCAAACGGGCGCGCATGTGGACGGTGAGGAAGAACTTTATGGAGAGATTTTAGATTGAGCAGTCTATTAGAGTGGGCGGTGTTGGTGTGTTGGTGCTTGCGACAGCCCTGATGCCGCAGAGTCCGCTGCGGCCAGACATGGAGCCACATTTTACGACCACGGCCGAATAACGTAGAAAGATTGAATCCGAACCATAACCAATTCCTTGTGAACAAGTGCCGATGCTTCCCGGCTCGACAGTGTAACAAGAGACAAGACACACTTCGTGACACACACCGGGAGATATTTCGGCGTCGAGACTTCGATGCTGTACGTCGTTGGACTGCCCTCTTACACCGTTGCACCACTGAGCGGCCTGTCCGGCCAGTGGATCGATCACGGCAGCTCGCTGTTGCATCTGCCCACCAGCTTATGGACTCGGTGGTTCAAGGGAGCAGTATTGCCCGCAAAACGTCTTCAGAGGTTGATAATACGCCCGCAACGGAGCGAATGCATTCTATTTCTACCGTGCGATAAGTGACTTGCTTCGTAGTCATTCGTCTAAGAGTCTTAGGAGTCGCTTCTTGAGAACCACGCCCACCACCTTGGCCGTTTCCTCCTCCACAACAATCAGGTACCGCAGGCCCAGCTTGTCGAACATCTCCACGGCGTATTCCAGCGGCGCCGTGGCAGGGACCGACACGGGGCTCCTGTTAATGAGCTCAGCGAGCATGCCACCCAGGAGGTCCAGCTCGACTTCTTCGCCCGCCTCGTCAATTGCCTGTACCACCAGTTCCAGGTCCGCCTCGGGTAGGTATCCGTGGCAAATGCCGCGCTCGTTGACGAGCACCAGACCGGCGTCCATGAGGCCCCGGGCTCGGAGACTGGCCAGCTTCGCACGTAGGATCGATGGTGCGACGCGATAGTTCGGGCCGGTGAGGACCGTGACTGCCTCCATCGTCTCGGAGGGAGGAATGAGAGCCGCGATCGTGGCGGTGCCTTCGGAATCTCGCATCGTCCTGATCTTGCTAAGAGCGCGTTCCGCTTCCAGGAACGGGTGGCCTTGCAGGTGCTGTGCTAGATCGTAGACGCCGTCCGCGCAGATGCAATCGGCAACCCACTTGGCCGTGAGGATCGCAATCATGAATGGGGGGATGAAGTTGACCTCGCCCGTCAGCTCGAACATGATGACGGCGAGACTGACGGTCATTCTGCTAACCCCGGCCAAGAAAGCGGCCGACCCAACCATGGCAAAGATGCCTGGCGAGATGCCCGGCACCACCTGACCGACCATGCGTCCGAAAAGCGCCCCGGCGTCCAGCGACGGGATGATGATTCCGGAAGGCACCTTGCACCCAAACGTGATTGTCGTCAGGACGAGCTTGACCAGTGTGCCCGAGATGAGCCACGCATAATACGTGCCTCTGTTGTCAAGCGCCTCCTGTTCGCAGATCCAGTCTTCCTCAACATTATTGCAGTCGACCAGAAGCCGCTCCATGGTGATGTCGCCAGTGTCTCGAATCAACCGGTTTGGGAATTGAAGCAGCGCCGTTGCCAGCACCACCAGGAACACCTCGAAGACCGGGCTGTTTTTGATGACAGAAATCTTGCGAAACGACTTGGACCACATAAAGTTGGCGTGGCAGAAGATGCCGCCGAACACGCCGCCGCAGACGCCGAGGAAGATGAAGACGACGTAGTGGAAGAAGTCGTAGTCGACGCCATAGTTTGTCTCGAACAAGACGAGCTTGCCCGTGCCCGTAGGGTTCAGCTCCTTCAGCGCGGCGGCCGCAACGAGGGAGCAGAGGAACGACCGCCAGAGGACGCGACGCGGGAAATAAGTGCTGATTTCCTCGTAGCTGAAGAGCACGCCGCCAATGGGCGCGCCAAAAGCAACAGACAGGCCCGCGGAGCAGGCCACGCTGAGTGCCTCGCGCATTTTGAGTTCGTTGGTAGCGTACTTGGGAACGCACTTGGCCACCAGGTATCCGACGCAGGTCGAGATGTGGACGAACGGGCCTTCTTTCCCCAGGCACATGCCCGTGGCCACGGCAAAGGTGGCACCGATGGCCTTGACGACCAGGACCTTCAGGTCGAGGAAATGCGGAATGACGAAGCCAGAGAGGATTGTCTTGATCTCGGGGATGCCGCTGCCCGCAGCCATGTACATGACCTTGCCCTTGGGCTTTTCGACGCCCTCGGCCTCATCATCGGCATTGGCGCTCACGGCAGGGAGATTCATCTTCGTCGTCATGGTCAAGCCAGCTGCAATGACGCCAAAGAGCAGCGCCGAGGCCACGTACACGGCGTAGGCGGAGCCGAAACCGCTCGCCCAAGGCAACCACCGATTGCATTGGCCAGCGTCGAGAGCACAGCATGCGCGGCGGTTCATCCAGATGCTTTCGGCGCAGCGGCCCTCCTTCCAGTCGGCGACCGTCTCGACGCTGACATCGACAGCGAAGGCGACTCCAGCCGTCAGGATGCCCACGGCAAAGGCAGCCACCCAGCCCTGCGTCAGATCCCACCACGCGTCGATGCGGGCGCGGATGCCGCCGCGGAACCGCGACTCGACCTCGCTGCGGCGCACGCTGTCCTTGACCAGGTCATGGAGCCAGTCGATGGTGGTGTAGTCGTTGTAGGGCAGGCCGTCGCCCGCGTACGCCGTCGCCGCCGTCTCGTCCTTGGAGGCGCGGGAGAGGAGCGCGGGGCGACTCGGCCGTCGAGGAGAGGGAGGCCGGTGCCGGGCGGTGGCCACGAGCAGCGGCGTGGCCTCGGTGGGCGTGCCCGACTCGACCGATGCGTTGTCGGTGGCCATGGCACAGCACCGGCGTGGTTGTGTGTCTGGAGGCTGCGTCGTTCACCCGCCAGTTAGATAATTAAGCCCCTTTGCTGCCGAGGGAAAAGTTGGTGATGATGGAGGCAGGGACCAACGAGTCGATCGACGTTCACGAGGCAGCTGCCCTCGGAGTGCTCAATGTGGCGTACCGTAGCCGCCGTTGCCTCGTGGAAATCCGCGCAGGCACGGCAGCTGGCGTTCTTGCTGAGTCGTGACGCCCGTTTGCACCTTCATCTGATGGCCTGTGCTGACTGACGTCAAATGATCGCCCGCGGGGTCAGATGATGGCTGCGCCTGAGACAGGTCCCAACACCGATTCTTTGTTAGCCCTGGTCGCGACCGGTGAATGCCCGGTCGGTGCCAAGTACAGCAGAGTACTGTACCGTACTGTACCTTGGCAACCTAATGGTATTGCAGCCGTTCGATAGATCTGCCAAAGCCGATTCGCGGCTTGAACCCTTTTACCACGACTGCTCAGTCCAGCGACCACGACCTCTGGGGTTCTCGAAACGCGGCAGCCGCCGCTGGCCTGGCAAGTTCCCTCGTGCCCCTGCCATACCCATTTCGTCCATTTCGTCCAGATCAAGTTTGAAATCTGGAACTTGACACGGCTGTCTCGATGCTCAATCCCGTCGGCTATTCGGCAACGGCGCCGGTGGCTTGCACGCCTGTGCACCGTGACGCCGCTGCACTCGGGGGACACAAGCCGTGCCGACTTTCCAGTGCGGGGATCATTCGGATTCCGGTGATTTGGCGGTTGGCGTGCGGAGATCTGGCGGTTGCACATCATCTCGGGGGCAGCCGCAACTCTAAATGTCTAGGCGTCCGGCTACACCCGTTGGGTGCTTCCATTAGAAAAAGAGAATGACGCCATCCTCATCCCGCTGCTCAGCGGTTCACAGTCCCCTTACCTTTGCCCGCGGCCAAGCCGGGCATGGGCTCAACAGCCTGCCGCTCTGACCGGGCGCTCCCCGTTCGGGACTTTGGGGAGGCGCTTGTAGCAGACCACCGCCAGGGATTAGCCTGACCCAGTTGCCGCTGTAGCCAGACCTGGCGTCCACTGTTGTGACTCGTGCCCCTCACGCCGCATCCATGTCCAACGCGCAGCGCCAGAAGTCGACTTGTGCCCGCGCTGGTGCTAGCCGATCAGTGCGCCATTCATCGCTTGGTTGACAGGACGTTTCACTCTTTCTAGGGTCGTTTCCCTATTGTTCTTTTAACAGCCAAATTTTGGGCCCTCAAAGGGGAGACGACGAAGATTGCCCGATCAAGGAAGTGGATGCACCGTGAACGGGCCACTGATTGGCCCGACAGGATTCGACCCTCGAGGGACTCATCATTGATCCTCGAGTGGGTGTCAGTTGCCTGCTGGGCCTTCGAGTCGATTGTGCGCTTCTGTCTGTATAGTTGCAGGCCGACCCAGGAGCTAAATGAGAAAACGGAATGGGAGCCATGTAGTGCGGCAGCTCTTGAGAGTAATAAGTGCCCGTTCTTGAGTGGGAGTGTCAACGACAGACAGCTAGCGTGGAGGACTCAGTGAGCGCCGGTCCTCCCCAAAGATGACAGACGCCATGGAGCTTCAACGCCATATGAACTGATGAAAGCGTGCGGAATGACAAGGAGCGAGCTTCGCAGAAAGAACTACTCCCCGAAATCACCTTCTACGCAAGCTTATTGCGTACGCGTAACTTGCACCAATGTTAGCACCAGCTAGTCTGGGAAATCCTGCGTTTTTACCAAAAAGACGGGACGGAAATAGGCCACCCTCACGGCTCACAACAACCCGCACATCAAATGAATCTCCTGGGATTAGCTTTACAAGACTTATTCGCGCAAGCAGCTCGAACGAGTCCTGAAATGAGGGACAAGTGAAGCCCATCCTCGTCCGGCGGTGAACTCCATCGGTCTTGAACTTAGTACCGGGTAAGCTGGAGTCGACTGGCAGCCGCGTTGCGATGACTTCGCGCTGGAATGCGCTGGATTCCAGATCAGTCAAAGTCGCGGGACAGTCAGAAGCAGTCGCTCTGGAGCAGGCGCAGAGATCTGGTGCAACGTCGCAGTCTCAGGCAAGCCCGCCGACATGCGCAAACCCCTCCACGGGCATGTGAATCTTCACGCGAAACTCAGAAGCCGAGAGAAAGCTCTCAAAAGCGGCCGAACTGGCACCTGCGTCGCATTTGAGTCGCAGTGTCATGCATATGTGCCTTGCATGACGAGCGTGCACCCTGCAACCCCATAATTAGCCACAGACACCTTCTTTTTCCGTCCTGCTCTCCGCCTCGAGCAGCGAAATGCGCCTGACCTTCAATTTCGCAGTGCACTCCCTCTGAGCAACCAAGAGCAGCATGTCCGCCGTGTCAGTCGGGCCGTCATTGCGCCGGTCGGGCCAAGGCCGTAAGCGGCAACCGTTCGACGTTTTGGCGTTTCTTACTGGAAGCTATAAATAAGCCTCGTGGGCGTACCCCTGGCGCTAGGCTGAACCGTTCCCCGAATAGAGCTGGCCGTTTGTCTTCTGGACGGAACACCATCGTCAGCGGAGCAACTATCACGTTCTTGCGGGTTGCCTGCAGAGTGCCAGTATGAACAGAAGACGTCGCTTTCAGCTAGTTCAGGAGCGAATGCGAAACAACTTCAACATGATGCCAAGGCTGCGGCTGATGATAGAATGCGAGCAACTGACATGGGTGAAGACTCACAGCAGCGGAGTTGAACAAGTATGGTAGCTTAAATAGGGTTTGTTGGAACCCAGGACGTTGACAATGGCCATCACTCCTCAAGCACTCTCCGAAACCGACCGGCTATAGTATTGTTAAGATGAAGTCAGCTCTTGCACTCTTCGCTCTTCCGGCATTCACATATGCCCAGCAACTATGTGGGCAGTTCGAGTCTCATTCGGCTTTCGGCTTCTACGTCAACAACAACGAGTGGGGCGCTGCTGCCGGCAAGGGAGAGCAGTGCACGTACGTTGACAACATCAAGAAGGACGGCGTCGCGTGGCACACAGACTGGACCTGGTCTGGCGGGGACTACAACGTCAAGAGCTACCCGTACTCTGGCCGCGAGCTTCCCACCAAGCCTCTTGTTAGCAACATCACAAGGCTCCCTACCCGGGCGCAATGGCAATACAACGGCAACAACGTCCGGGCCAATGTTGCCTATGATCTCTTTACAGCTGCCGACCCCAATCACAGTGGTAGCAGCGGCGACTACGAGCTCATGGTGTGGTAAGTTCTAGCACAATAGGAGCAGGACTATGCTTGTGCAATGGCTCACTGTCACAGGGTTGGAAACCTCGGAAACGTACATCCGATCGGCGAGTCGAGAGGCACAGTGACTATCGACGGCCGCAAATGGGAGCTTTTCGTCGGAAACAACGGCGCCATGAAGGTTTTCAGCTTCGTCGCCCCAAGCAAGGTCGAAGATTTCGATTCCGATATCCTGCCATTCTTCGACCACATGACCCAAAAGTACAACTTTCCAGCCAAGAAACAGCATCTCATTAGTACGTTTGTCACATGTGCTAGTCTCAGGGAGAAAGAGAGATCTAATCAGCCCATAGCATTCCAATTCGGAACCGAGCCCTTCACGGGAACAAATGCCAAGTTCGACGTCTGGTACTGGAACGGAGAGGTCCATTGAAGAAGAAAGACCATAAAAGAATAGGCACATGGGCAATGTGGACTCTGCCGGCAGTCCTCTATGCAGGTCGTCCAGAAGACCAGTTGACATACCGGCTGCCGAAACTGCAACGCCCGATTGGCGCCCACCGCTCCCGAGCTCCAGGTCAGGCGTCGCGAACTCTTTCCGGCGGGTATCAGCACATCACAGACTGTGGTTTGCATAGAGGAATGACGACCTGAGTTGCAACATGTAACGAAGCGAGACAGGAATGGCTGTTGCGCCCCTCGATTGAGTATGCTATGGTCACGAGGCTCTGTTAGGGTCCAGTGCGGGAAGCAAGGATGATGAGACAGCTCGAGTCCTCTAAAAGGAGCTGATGTTGGTTATATTGAGCGCAAAGTAGCTCTCGACTCTCAGTTGACAGATAGAGGAGTACAGCAATGGCAACCTTAGACGAAACAGGAGGAGATGTTATTCGCTCCCGACATAGGCCGTTGAAGAAAACTGCGTCCCTGCCCCAACCCCTCCTCACTATGCACCACTTCCTTGCTGCCGTCACTTCAAAGTCCTATGGTGACGCTCAGCCCATCCAGTGCGATCGCCGACTAACAGAGTGTCCCAATCTGGCAGTAGTAGTCGTAGACGAAGTTGAAGGTAAGCTCTCCATCTTCAACGTTGTTTCCCTGAGGATAATTCAGGGGCACACTGCCACACTTGCCGCAACCGTGGTCGGGTATGTAATGCGCTTGCTGCTTGATCGTTGCTCCGGAGGCACCACCAGATTTCTGCAAGAAAGCACAAACGGGCGCTGCGCTATTTCCACTGCAACCAATCTGCTCGCCATTGCTGTACCAACGGCTTGGATTGACGCCCGAAAGAAGGTTTGCGAGTTTTCCGGCTGTTCCCGAAGGCGCGAAGCCACAGCTTGAGCTCCCGTCACAGTTGATTCCCGTGCCGTATACAGCGGGAAAGAGCTGCGTGCTGAGCACAACAGAGAAGAGAGATAGTTTGAACTGCATTTTGAGTTACAAGTTCCTGATATGAGGAATGAGGAAGTTGGAAGTAAAGACCAGCATATCGAGAGACGACAATACCACAAAGCTATATACTTGTCCACCTGAACCTCGGATGCTCTTGCATCCTCGTAGCTCCGCGAGGTGCATTTAGCCTCGGTTGTGATAACAACTAACTCAATTCCATGCTTCAAGAAAGGGCGCATCGAATCGCAACCGCTTCTACTACTGGAAAAGCCTCGCAGCAGCAAGTCCAGAACAATCCGACAGAACATCCGGATGTTTGCTAATGTTTTCCTGCTTTAGTTTCACATTGTGGCATGTCCAGGTCGACCAATGCGCGATGCAGTAGCACTCCCTGATGTGTGTAACCTGCAGGTTGCTGCAGCATTTGAAGCTGTCGTGGCGTGCAGGTGAGGCTATCGCGACCAGCCATATGTGACGGAGACCGAGTCGAGGCATATGGTGGCGCATTCTGTGTCATTAATCTAGGCTCAATTGCGTACGTAGTTGCAAGGCTAATGCTAGGGGCTTAGAGTTGGTGCAACGGAAATGTGTGTTATAGAAGTAGACGTTGATGCAGGTGTAGGCGTGGACAGAGGATGATTCCACAGGTTTCTGTTGGGGTTGCAAATACGAGGCCCGCCAAACTGCTGTGTCAAATGGGATGCTCCGCTCATTAACACGAGGCTGCATCAACTGGTTGACCTTTTTCTCCAGAGCCCATCACTCCTGGACGTCACAATGCGGGCTGCTGGCACAGCGCTGGTATCTTTAGAAGCTCTTAAGTTCCCTAGCCCCATTGTGGCAGGAGGCAGGACGCTATGAGGGTGACGTCTCACCCGCTAGCAGAGACGACTTGTCTCTATCGGTACATATTGTGCATTCTTCGGAGCCTTGTTTCACGAAACATATGTGTACACTCACCTGCTCTAGTCACTCTACCGTGGCCACCGTGTCACACATCCATCATTCGTATCGGCACGCAGGCAAAGCGCTCTTGATCTCATTGTTGACGACGGGCGATCAAGCGAGATCATATACCCAGCCGGAAATCGCCGCTCTGTTTAGCACGAGAAGTGCAATGTCGTATGGTTAGTGAATTCTTGGAATGAGTGCCGTGTTGCTCCGTCGAGGAGGTTTGTCCTCGTGGCTTGGTATTGCCAATCGGATACCTGGTCAGCGGAAACATTTGTCTGAGTAAGAATCCTCTCCCGAGCGATTGCTTCTCATGCCTCAAGTCAGCGCAATAGCTTCATGACAGCGGGGAAATCCATGAGCTGCCCTAGGGCATACGGAAGAGTCCAGCAACGAGTTCGCGACCAGGGCGAGGCACAATAGTATATGCGCAAGTGTTTTTCGTGAATGCCAGTGTGAGAGGTGTCAAACAGGGACCCTCATGTCGTTTCTCGCCAATGTCGTACTTGACTTCTTCAGGCTAATATACTTAAGCGGCCAACAGCATCAAGAATTCGGCAGTTTGCCAAGGGACGCTAGGAACCGGAGAGCCGAGTTTTGGAGTTCTCAGAAGGCGTTGTGGGGCAGGAAAGCCGAACACTGGACACGAGCCCATTCACCCGACTTTTGACCCGACCATTCAGAGGAATTACCTTTAGACTGCAATTTGAGAAGAAGAATTGTGTCAGAAATTAGCGCCCTATTCGAAGTGTGATCTCGAGTTATCTGTTCTGCTCTCGCGCGTTGTGCGAGCCGACCAATTGCGCCAAGGACGTTCAGGGGTTGACCCCGTATTATACACACTTGGTCAGACGTTCTGGGGGCTAGTCACTGGAGGATGTAGCGCTGTTGCAGGGAGTGCGTAAGAATTTTACGTCACTACCTTGCGGTCCCCTTGGCACTTTGAGGTCTGCAGTGTCCGGGACCTTTACCGTCAACCACCTCCCCGGCTCTTGTGGAGGGGACTCGCTCCGGCTGTCTTCCGATGAACCTGCCGACCTTCAAATAGGACGTACCCCGTTGTTGGAGGCACAACATAGCACGAAAAGAGAAAAGCGAGGAAAAACCTCGTCAATCTCAGAATGTTTGCCTATTGAGTCCTCGGCTCGCGGGAAAGGCGTCTGCATGTGCTCTGCCGCGCCGCGCCAAGTGACCGGACAACCTCAACACGGAGCCAGAAGGGATGTGGAGTGGGTCACGCGACACACCAGCCAAGACACCAGTGGGAATAATACCATAACGACGAGGTCCGGGTAAGCATGATTCCATTAAGAAGCAGTTAGCTCATGGATCCTTGCTGAGCAAGGGTGGAAATGTTTGCCGGCACAATCGAACACGTGATGCAAACTGGCTTCGTTCGGAAGGAGCTCGCGTGAGGCAAGACGAATCTCGCTGTCGCAGCAACAGCTTTCGACCGCCCTGCGACACGCTACGAAAGCTCGCTTGGAGAGGTTTTGCGGACTGAATGTTCGAAACCCGAGAGCTTCTGCCTCATTCTCGTGGTCCACGCCCCTCGAAGTCGTTCGTTTAAGAGTCTGTTTGATGGATGTCTTGGGGGCTCGTCCCGTCACACCGCTCGCTCCTTCAGCTCTCCTCCCCTGATCCACCAAGTCCTTCTTTTGGCCAGATAGCACGGCTTTCGCCCAAAAATCGGCTCATCTTAATAATTGGATTCTTGTCGGGCTGCTTCGGCTCGTTTTGTTATGTATGATGTACGGATCGCCACCCGCTTATCGTCGATATGTTCTCCTTGGCCTCTGCATGCTGGTCATGCTCGTTACGCTGGAGAGTTATAGACTGTACACAGATGAGGTTCGAAACTGGTCCCCACTCCCAGAATGAAGCCGGCTCAATATTTTGTAAGGGCAATGACTGACGAAGAGTACCCTCTAGTGGCCGCTAAGCAGTTCAGCTCTGAGACAAAGGCCAGAAGTGCTGGGAGGACCCAGGAGGTCCCAGCTGCACTACGTGATCCCGGCCACCTCACCAAACGATCTCTTCTGCGCCGTTGTCGCATCAGCTCTGGTCAACAGATATCCAGTACCTTATGTGATCGGATGGAAAGGGGAGGGCGAGTTCGACGCAAAGGCGGCCCATGTCGCCAAGTTACGGACGATCAAGCGATATCTCGATACGTTACCTCATGGCGGTGAGGATGACGATCTTATTATCATCGGAGACGGACACGATGTTATGGCCCAGCTGCCTGTCGAAGTCATAATCGAGCGATATTTCCAACTCGTTTCCGAGGCGGACGCTCGCCTCGCCGACCGCTTCGGCATTAGTGTCGAGGAAGCTCACACTCGAGGGCTCCGCCAGACGCTTTTCTGGGGTGCTGATAAGATGTGCTGGCCCCCGTTGTACGAGGAGGCTCAGTGCTCATCTATCCCTGCATCGAACCTGGCACACAACGCACTTGGGCCCAAGACAGGCAACGGGGACCTTGCCTATGCGGATGCGAGATTTTTCAACTCGGGCTCCGTCATTGGGCCTATAGGTGATTTACGAGACTTCATCAATGCTGGCATAGACGAAATGGAGGCGACATTTGATCCCAAGTTCGAATACCACAACTCCGATCAGGTATACCTCGCTAGGCTCTTCGGCCGCCAGGAGCTTTCTCGCAATCAACAAGTCATCCACGCGCGCAACTCCAGCGGGATCAAATCTTTATCGGCCGTGAGACCCCAATACTTGAACACAACGGAACACCATGTTGCCATCGATTACGAGTCCACCCTTTTCCAGACTGGATGCTACTTTGACAGATGGATGCACACCCTCAACTTCAACAACTCGGACAATACAGCAACTGTGCAGAAGGATGTATTTGATCAAGGCCAAACGTTCAAGCCGTATCCACTCCAGATGCCAGCCAATGTCTACCAGTCTCTACTTCGCGTTTACAATTCCATCGCCGAGCAACAATCCATGTCCTCACAAGAGTGGATTGGCAGTCTTAAATTGGTCACAAATGTCGTCTCCAAGAACATCTTCGCGTTCTACCACGCGACATGCAGCAAAAAGAGTCTCCTTAGCCGGTTCAAGTCGTACTGGTTCCACCCTTTCATGGAATCCCTGATGAGGGCAGCCTTCCGTGAAACCCAGGCCGGCGAGCTCATCACCGAGAAGCTAATTGACGGCCGCGAGTGGGTGTACAAGACATCATACCCAACAGACGCAGGGGTGGACGAGGATCAGCTGGGTGGTGTCTTTACCGACTCGGAAGCCGAGGGCTTTGTTTCATACACGACCCTTTGTTCAGATCACTTGGATCTTTTCAAGCCGAAACAGTAGCCCGCTACGACGGCGAGGCGGGGGCCAATGCATTGTGATGGACGGTTTGACTTTTGCGCGCGGCAGGGACGGGGCCGTTATGCAGCGTCTCAGTGCGCTTGGATGGCGTGTATGGAAGCAGAAGGGACTGCCGCGGGGACTGGCTGTCGCCGTACTCAAACCCCTGTTGTATGAAATCTTGATGGAAAGGACTGTATTCATTGAATCATGTCGCTAATGGCTACTATATAATGCTATGAATGGGAAAGACTCTCTTAAACCGTAATCTCCTTGGGAATTCTGCAGCAGTCCACCGCTGAGCAGAAGTTGACATCATTCTCGCTAGCCTGAGACGCCACCGGCAAGGTCTGCCGAGCCGGCCAAATCTCGCAGCCAGCCTCAATCTCCTTCTTGTGGTGGCTTGTGAGCAGGTCTCGGACCGACTTCTGGAAGAAGAGCGGTCCCTTCTCCATCTTGGGGTGCAGCTCCCCGTTGACGAAAACGCCCGCGTTCAGGTTCTTCTGTGCGTTCGCACAAAGCACCTTGTCCTCGGACATGATCCTCTTGTACATGGCGTCGATGACACCAAAGTCTTCGTCGCTGGAGTTCTTGTTTCTGTAAACCTCGTACCTCATTGTTGATGTTGTCGGCCCGCTTGGGACGAATCTCTGGATGAAGAAAAAGTGCGGCCTGCTACATGTCAGTGGTACATCCATGAAGAATGGGGAGTTAAGGAGCCGTACGAGATGTTCAACGACGCGTTGGGGAAGTAGTAAGTCGCGGCGACTCTGAAGCCCCTGGCGATTTGTTCTTCTGTCGGGCTGCCAAAGTGCTGGATGTGGCCGCCGGTTGTCTCTACCCAGTAGGAGCTGAGGTCCGCGATGGTCGGAATGTCAGGATGTGTTGTCTTGCAGTGGTAGCACTCGTTGTAGTTGTCTGCCAGGATCTTCCAGTTGTACTCGCCCTCCATCTCCCAGGTGTGATCAAACTGGTACTCTTCAAAGTTGTAGAACTGAAACCTGGTCTGCTTGTCGATGCCAGCGAAGTCATCCTCCCAAGCCACTTGGGGCTTTGCGCCACCATCAAGGTTCACCCAGATGAAGCCCTTGTCGTCGACGTGGACGTGGACCGGCAGTAGGTTGTTCTTGGACTTGTCGAAGCCCTCCATGTCTTGATAGCCTGGTGCCTTGGCCAGCTTGCCATTGAGACCATACGACCACCCGTGATACTTGCAGGAAAACATGAAGTTGTTGCCTTTCTCTTGAGTGACGATGGGAAAGGCGCGATGCCTGCAGACATTGTGGAAGGCGTTGATGTTTCCATCGCGATCTTGGCAGATGACGAAGTCGAATCCAGCAACATCATATCGAACCCAGTCGCCTCGTTCGGGGATGCGGTGCTTGTGTGTTGTGAGGAGCCACTTCTTGGAGAAAATGGCCCGCCTTTCCAACTCATACATCTCATGGGATGTATACCACGAGGCCGGTAGTGCCCTGACAGGGGCACTCTCGTCGTCGGCAGTAGTGGCTCGGCCTAGGCCGAGATAGCTCTTGAGCAACTGCGCCATAGCAAATAGGTACACAACAAGACAAGTGGCGCAATAATATCGGCACAGAAATGATTCGAATTATCTTCTATGAGCTACTCTACCTTTTGCTTGGAGAGGCCGCGCTTCCCTTTTATCTTTCCCCCCTTACGGACTCGTAAGGACTGATCTGGAGCGCGGGCTCCCACCAGTCCGATAACATTGTGTCTCACGGTCGTGAGTTGGTTGCAGGTATCGTCAGCTGGCCAGGCACACGGCGACGAGAGGCCGGTCACATGATCGGCTTTCCGCCAGAGGCCGTTATTGACAAGTTGCCAAACGCGGCGGGAGTGTGGACGGGATGGAATGGGTTTGGAACACGCAGCCGAAGCAATTGTCCAGACGCGGACGCATCCCCGCTTGTGGCGCCAAGGCCGGCGCGCATATCGGACATGAACGACCGGCGACGATGGTTTCCCTTACGCAACTGCCCCGGACATGGCGACCGCCCCGCCGGCAAATGCTGCCCGAGCTGCCCAAGGGATGATTTCAGAATGGCCACATGGCACGGCGCTTTGGCCGTCATCACACGGGGTAAGTGTTGTCATACAGTGGCGAGACACATCGTGCATACACCAAGTGATCGGAGGACGTGCCCGACAGCATGATGAGAGCCAACGCAGCGGCGGCGACGTTCCCTCGCCACCTGCGGCAAGACTACGGCCACATCAGTTGTCTGGCAGTTGTCGCGGCACCTTCATTTCCCCCGGCCCAACTGTCGCGATGGCGTTCGTGGGTGTTGTCGACTGTCCACGTGGCCACCGAAAGCGTCTGAAGCTCCCGCCACTTCCCATCTTGGCTGTGTTTATTTCCACGTTATGTGAGTGCCGGGGTGTCGTGGCCGCCGATTCACTGTTCATTGTCCCCGACTCACGGCCCAGGTAGCCGCGCAATGGTGGTGCAATGTTGCAACCCCCAGCCGTCGCCCTGGAGCTCGTACTCGTGCATTCAGCCTCAAACTCGTACTCCCTTGGGCGCCAGAAAGCTTATTCTGGAATGGTCTCGATCTTCATCGGCTCTGTTTGAGGCCCCATCCCAAGCGCTTGGGGGCCCGACGTCGGACGCAGACCCTTTCCCCGCATGACCCGTCTCGTGCAGCCAACGCGGACCGACCGTGTCGAACGCTGGGACGCATGCGCAGACGTTTGTAATCAGGGGTTGGGACTCGGGAACGACCCCATTCGCGGGATCTGCGGGCGAGAGAACAACGGGCAGAGAGTAGATGCTCTCAACTGGCAAGTTGTAAGTATGGATCAAACGGCCATCCTGTTGCCGTAGGCGATGCCTGTAATGGCGCCCTGGACACCGCATTGCGCAAAGTCGGCAAGCACCAGCTGCAGAGTCACAGCTTCGCCGCCCGTGCCAGCTCGCTCGAGTGGGGGTGCGGTTAACGCAGGGTTGGGGAAGCGCCGACCCGAGTCCCAGACATTGCGGGGAAGAAGCTGGGACCCTTCATGTTGGGGTGTGGCGTCCAACGCCCGCTGCATTGACCGGCAGTTGGAGAACCGCGCAGTGGCAGCTTCTCGACAAGGATGCTATACCATTTGAGGGAATGCGATTGCATACGCTGCAGTAGCGTGCAGTGTTCCGTGCATCTCTGCTTGCGACGCTCTGTATCTGCGGATGAACGCCCGGGCATTTGCACAGCGTGACTCGATATCGATCACAATGGTAGGGAGATAACTGTGGAACGCTCCACGTATGAGGAGATGCATAGTTATCTCGCCGCCGACACTGCGTCACGTGACCGGTTCATCGGAGGTCCTGGCCGATGCCGGGGCAGGCCGGCGAAGCACATAAGTTGCGGCGCCGATGCAGGTTCAGGGTCTGGCGGGCGAATGAGCTTGTGACGATTTAAGCACTCGGCCACGTTCCCGACCATATGATCTGATTGACAAGTCTATCACGAACCTGGTCTGAGCGGTGGCACATCCAAGTTGAGCGTTCCTGCAAGACCGTACGGTACATGTAGGTTGTGCCGCACTCTTGCTCGAGCTCAATGCTCCGTGTCTCTGGGTGCCGATGCTGACACCCTCTCCCATTGATAGCAAAGGACACCCGTCAGGCGTTGCCGAGTTTGCATTTCGCAGCATGTCCTCAGAGGCGCCGTCATTTCTCATCATTGGCGCAGGCGTGTTTGGCGTGTCGACTGCTTACCACCTGATCAAGAAGTATCCCAATGCCTCGGTGACGCTCGTGGACCGGGATGCGTACGACGCAGAAAGCCGCGTTGCCGCATCGTGGGACTGGAACAAGGCTGTTCGTGCCGACTACGATGACATTGTGTACTGCCAGCTAGCGCTGGAGGCACAGGATGTCTTCAAGTCCGATCCGCTCTGGAAACCCTACTTCCACGAGACGGGGGTATACTGGATCTGTCGCAGCGACTATGCTCAAGACGTTATCAACAACTACAAAAAACTGGGAAGGACGGCTGATCTGGCCGCCTACCCCATCGAAGAGGCTCGAAAGATGTACGGGGGCCTATTCGAGGATGCTGATTACTCGGGTGCCAAAGAGGTGCTCATCAACAAGACCAGTGGCTGGGCAGCAGCTGGGGACTGTCTACGCGCGGTAACTCGCAAGGCAATCGAGCTGGGCGTCAAGTACGTCGCTGCGGAGGTTTCAGCCCTCCAAGTTGACAAAAATCGCCACTGCTCCGGCATCAAGACCGCGGCAGGAACCATACTGGAAGCATCTCACGTCATTCTGTGCACTGGCGCATACACGCCCAAGCTCTTAGAGTTCAGCGCTGCAACCAGCGGCTTTGCCGAGCTTCGTGCTGGGCCAAGGATTGTCGCGGGAGGCATCACGACTGGAATGTGGAAAGTTGACGATGAGTCGTACGAGAGGTTCGCATCCATGCCCGTCGGTTTCCAGGGCTACAACGCGGAATCAGGTGAGTTGGTATCGTTTAAGCGTGCGATAAGTCACTGGTAGTTAACCTCCAGCAAGGCGCCTTTATCGGGAGCTTGCCGCCCACCAAAGATAGAGAAATGAAGTGGTGGGGTCAGACAATCTTCAAGAACACTCGAGAGGTCTTGCCAGGCAGGTTCATTTCAGCGCCCCCCAATGAGCGAGACTATGCTCAGTGGAAGGTCTCTGGAAAGCTCAAAGAGGACATTCAATATGCAAGCAATGTCTTTTACGGCAAGAAGAGCGCACACTGGACGCACGAAAAGCATCGAATCTGCTGGCAAGTCGATTGCCCTAGTGACCAAGAGATAAGGCGCTAACTTTACCAGGGATGCGTTCACCACAAGCGGGGACTTTATCATATCGCCGCATTTAGCAGCCAAGGGACTTTATGTTGCGACTTGCGGCTCCTTCCATGGCTACAAGTTCTTCCCGGTACTTGGCAAGTACGTGACACAGATGTTGGAGGGAACGCTGGCTCCAGAGCTCGCGAGTAGGTGGGCGTGGGATCGGGAGCGACCAGACCCATCGCTGAATCCCGAATGGCCTCGGGTAGAGATGAGAGACTTGATAGAACCGTCCGCGAAATTGTAGGTGCAAATAGAGGAAGCCTTTTGACACCCTCTCGATGAACCTGCAAGATGGTAGGTGTAAGTGGAGATTGTGTGGCTGCGCCTTTCATGTTACTGCATCCGTACTTCGGTCCAGAACAGGATGACAAGCTGCGAACTTGGAAGGCGACAGACCCCTACCAGGTGCCATAGACCGTGCGCGGGGCCAGGGCCCCTGAGAGATCCCTGTGTGGTTGTTGATGCGGAGTGATTACCAGCTCAGACCACCAGTGGAACACAGCGCGATCGTCCCGCGTGGGGAGCTGGGGGCCGGACATCGCCAGGGCACCAACAAGAACAGAGCATCGCTGGCTAATCAAGGGCCGAGGATTGCAAACAAAAACGCCCTTTTATGCCATCAACCACAGAATCCGCCACAGCCCGCATGCTGGGGACCCCCACCGATGAGATGGGAGCTCCGGCGCGGCCGTGCATCACGATGAGCTGTGCATCACGGGGCGGCCGGCGACTGTTGAACACTGCTGCAAGGCAGTGCACGGGTTGCAACTTATCGCCGCGGGTCTGGGGACATGACAGGCAACGATTCTGAACACACCCCCTCCCCCTGCTGGACCGCCTCCTGCGCGACCACCCTGGCACCTGGCACACGCACTCAAATTCTTGGTGACTTGACACACACTCACGGACGCATGCACACGCACATCAGGCGCGTTATCAGCCGGTCCACGTGCCATCGTGCCTGGCGAAGGTCGTGTCAAAAAGGCGCCGGACAAGCAAGCCTGTAAGTTGGTCGCTGAGCACAGCGCAGCGCCTTGGCGCCTCGCCGTGACCATTTTGGCCATCTGCGGTGGCTAGCCTGGAAGTGGTATCGGCTCTTGCAACCCCGCGTGGGCCCTTTGGGGCGCGCGCTTCGGGGCCAGCAGTTGGGCTCTCGGCGAAGAAGGGGGCGATAGCCCCAGCTCCAGAGTGTGGTGGTGTGCACCAGCGCTCACCGTGGCGTCGCCCAGGCGAGAGGGGGAGATATGTAATAGACTTTGGTATTTATTATTGGCGGTGCGCCCCCTTCTGAACCTCCTCCAACATCGCATGGCCCAGCTTCGGTCGAGCCCATGATGACGCCGCCAGAGGACGGGGCCAGCGCCCGCGGGAGACGGCGATCTCACCTCGCCTGCCTCAATTGCAGGTCCGTCATTTGATCGTGCCGTTGCCAGATATGTATCGCCGGCCGTGCACTGACGATCACACAGGCGAAAGAAGACCCGCTGTCCCGGCGAGAAGCCGGCCTGTTCAAGCTGTCTTCGGTTGAGACAGTCCTGCTCGTATCCCGCTGCCACGAGGCCGCCGCATGGCGACCGATCGGTACGCCAATGATCCTACTTGACGATCTGAGCACCCTCGCTGACGATCTACAGGAGGAGAGGCTCGCGCACTTGGAAGAGAAGCTGGATATCCTTCTCAGTGGCAGCTTGTACATACGACTCCGAGCCGTGCTTCCCGCGGGCATTCTGACCGGGTTCTCAGGGCGAGCCATGCCACACGACAACAAGAACACGCATTCGAAGATGTCGCCGAGCCGTCGGAAAAGTCATACTCGGCCACGCCGCCGGGCCCCGAGCTGAACAAACCCCCGGGCCATGCTCGCCTCCCCTCCGTGATGCCTGAGTCGGACGAGTCAAGTCTGCGGCCCAGTCCGTCGGACATTGCCGTCGGCATTGGTCTCTACTTCAAGTACTGCCACAGGCAACCGATATGGTGCTTCTCGCGTGAAGATGTCAGCGACTACGGCACCCTCCCCGGAGAGCTTGCCTGCAGTATTATGGTGCTGACCTCCCGCTTCTCAGAAAAACGGGACCAGCTGCAGCTCTACAGCGATAGCGCGAAGCATCTGGTCATGCTTCGCCTTGCAAGTGGCACGGTGGACCTGACCACCATTGAGAGCTTGTGCCTGCTTTCTTACTCGTCTTTCATAGGTAAGAGCGAAGCACGTCGGCGGCCAGCACCTGAGGTTACATATGTACTGATGCCTATGGCGACACAGACGGAAACTTTCACCTTGGCCAGTTCCATCTCGGCCTCGCATTTCAGCTCTGCCGGACAGCCATGCTGGACTTGGAGTCGGTATATGCCGTCGACGACCCGAACACGGAAAGGAAGAAGAGACTTTTCTGGAGCCTGCAGCTGCTGGAACAGTTTTATGGGCGTCAGAACGGGCTCTTGAGCGTACCCACGGACATATGGCGACCGTACCATTCCCAATCGCATAGCGGAGACCGAGGCGATCTCGACCCCAAGGCGCCGCCCTTGCCGCGAGATGAGCTTGGGTGCGCCGACCCCGACGAGCCCGGGATCTGGAACACGAGCGTCCATCTGGCGTGGGTCTGGAGCCAGGTGCGCAAGTATGTTTCCAATTGCGCACACAACATCCTCAAGGAACCCTGGCGACACGACTCCATGTACGCCAAGGTGCTGTCCGACTTCATGGAGATTGAGAACAGGATCCCCATATGCCACCGCTACGACTCCGCCAAGTTCTACAAGCGCAAGATAGAGGAGCTGAAAGTCAATCGCGATTACTGGGCGCCGTGGCTAAAGGAGCAATTCACCTATCATGCCATCCACACAGTCTTGAACCACCCATTCCTTTACATTGTCGGCGCACAGCACAACCCTAATTTGGCCATCCCGAATACGTTTTGGCGAAGATCCTCGGAGCTGGCCCTCCTCCATGCCACCTGGATCGCGCGCATGATCGACATGGCTGTAGATAAGCAGGTTCCGCTGGCGGACCCGTTCTTCGGCCACGCAGCCGCCATCGCCGCCACGGTGCATCTGTACTACTGTTGCGCGGCCGCCCCCAGGCTCAAGTACAAGTCCAATACGGACTTTGTAAAGTGCAAGAGGTTTCTGAAGCGATTTGTTAACTGTTCGGCCGCCTGCAAGGCACTGGTATGATTGAACCCCGCCGACCAAGACTTTTGGGTTAGGCACCGCTGACAGACATCCCGCAGGATCGCAATCTCGACAAAATGACCCGAATGGCCGCGGGGCCAGATAGCATGGACATGGAGGACTGGATGCCCTCCAAGATCTATCTCAGCGTGCCCCTCATGTGGGAGATTTTGCAGTTCAGCTTCACGGATGACTCGCACGAAGCTTCGACTGCAGGTTTGCTGGACGCCTCCCTCACTCCACCCGTCACGGGCGACGACATGAGCGAGAGCCCAACTCTGGAAATTATTGTAGCGACTTCACCAGAAATCAGCATTAATACGGCCGACGGCGGACAAGAGGCGCCGACAATGTCCTTCAAGGCCTCTTCGCATTCGGCTCGCGATTCGCCTTGGAGCACGTACCGCGACGAGGACAGCCTAGCCTTTCACTTCACTCCGTGGCTATACGCCGATTCTTCTCAGTTCATTAGCATGGGGGACATGGGATACTATGACACGCAGCCCGCCATGGGCGAGTCTCGGGGCATGGCGTGGTGGGAGGGCGACAACTTCAGCAACATTATGTTCAACCACTTTTAGCGATTCATTTATGGCCTAATGGGAAAGACGAGTGCGGCGAGGGCTGTGATGAGGATACGTGTGTGCTGGGTGTATCGAGAGCGCCGTCTTCGCGAGGCAGCAAAGAGGAGCCAAGACGGCTCATGTGAGTGCGATGTTAGTTACCAACATTTGGCGGATGGAGTCCAGATACAGCGAGCTTTTCAGGTTGCCACTGGCGGCCGATAATTCACTTCGCGAGTAGATAGATGATTAATGTATTTCAGGGTACGGCCATGAAAAACCGGTGACAGGTGACTCAGGGATGAAGACCGAGACATTGAAGACGTACCAAGATGGCCTCGGCGGCGACTGACCGCTCCAGTCCTCTGCTGTGGTCCAAGCTGTTACAGCGCCATTGCCGCCTCACCCGGTCGATGCGAGCAAATTCACCTCGTGCCGTGCCGGTTTCATAGAATGGGGAATGCCCTCATTGTATATCTGCTTGTCGGCTGTTGCGATCCCGCGGCCGGTCTGGTGGCGGACGCCCCAGACGACCCAGGTCCACTTACACGGGGCATTAGCAGCAGCTGGACACTTGCACGGCCCCCCCACGCGGGGAACTCCAGCGCCCGTAACACTGTACGGGTCTGTGCCCTCATTCGGATGCATGCCTTACTGGCTTGAGCCATCTGCCATCGGAGAGTCTCGACTCCGGATCCTTTGGAGCTTCGCAAGCGAGGTCTGTTCCCGCGGCAGCGCCGGGCACAGAGCGCCCATCAATCGATGTCCGCGATAGGGGTCCACACTGGGCGCTCAGGCGGGAGGACCCTACAGCGTGGCTGCGGCCTGGCTGATGCAGTTGGGGGCGCCCGTATCTGGGTTTGCTAGTCACGCGCCCGGCCGTCACCCATCCGTCAGGTCCGGCACGGACATCGGTTTCCTACTCCGATCACCTGATCGCACTTCGACCACCTCCCGACAGCTTGGTGCTCCCCATCGTGTGTTGTTGCAGTGCGTGGTATCGTGTGCGTGACGGCATCGGCCTCACAAGGCGGGGTTTCAACGGTGTACTTTGCTTCCCTGCCAAGTACTTATTTAGTCCTTCGGCTTCTGTGTGCCTTGTTGTGATGAGATCGGGTCGATGAATCAAGCCCCTTGAACAAGCACACGCATCGACCCCATCTGCCTCCTCCTCCTCATCGTCGAGCTACCCCCCAAGAAAGGTCGTCGTCATGGCGACCTCATCGCGCGTCGTCATCATCGGGGCCGGCATCGTCGGCGCAAATGTCGCCGACGAGCTGACCTCGCGCGGCTGGACCGACATCACCGTAGTTGATCAGGGCCCTCTGCACCTGGCGGGCGGCTCCACGTCTCATGCTCCGGGCCTGGTGTTCCAGAGCAACGCGTCCAAAGCCCTGAGCTTGTTCGCGCGATACACCGTAGAGAAGCTGCAGTCTCTGAAGAAGGACGGTGAGAGCTGCTTCAATCAGGTGGGCGGGCTGGAGGTGGCAACGACACCCGCGAGGCTCGAGGAGCTCAAGAGGAAGCATGGCTTCGCGACTTCCTGGGGCATCGAAACCCGCCTGATCAGCACCGACGAGTGCCTCAATGTCTACCCGCATCTGAACAAGGACCTTGTACTGGGCGGCCTACATATACCCAGTGATGGGTTGGCGCTTGCAGCCCGCGCTGTTCAGTTGCTCATCGAACGCACGAGTAAAGCGGGCGTTCGCTATCTGGGATCGACTCCCGTCACGGGCATCAGCCAGATGGATGGCCGCGTCACGGGCGTCGTGACACCAAATGGCGCCATCCCTGCCGACATTGTCATCTCATGTGCAGGATTCTGGGGAGTCGAGGTCGGCGCAATGGCAGGAGTAACGATACCACTCCTGCCGATGGCGCACCAATACGTCAAAACAACGGCCGTGCCGGCGCAGAATGGTCGAAACGCGCTGCCAAACGGAGCGAGCCTTCCCATTTTACGATACCAGGACCAAGATATCTACTACCGCGAGCACGGCGACCGCTACGGTATTGGGTATTACGGCCATCGGCCCATTCCCGTTGACGCCGCCTCTCTTGGCCAAACACCAAAACACGTCACGGAAGAGAATATGCCCTCTCGTCTTAAATTCACACCGAAAGATTTCGAACCAGCATGGAAGCTGTCCCAGGAGCTGTTGCCTGCTCTTCAAAAGAGCACCGTCGCGGAAGGGTTCAACGGAATTCTGTCATTCACACCCGATGGGGGACCTCTTGTCGGCCAGTCTCCCACCGTAGATGGCTTCTTCGTCGCCGAAGCCGTCTGGGTGACACACTCTGCCGGCGTAGCCCGCGCCCTGGCCGAGGTCCTTACTACCGGCAAATCTCAGGTCGACCTCACCGGGTGCGAGCTGTCCCGCTTCGACCAAGTCCAGCTCACCCCTGCGTACGTCAAGGAGACGTCGCAGCAGGACTTTGTGGAGGTCTATGACATTCTACATCCCTTCCAGCCGCGCGACTCGCCTCGGGATTTGCGCATCGGCCCGTTTCACGAGCGTCAGCGAGAGCTCGGAGCATACTTCCTCGAAACTAGCGGCTGGGAACGCCCGGAATGGTATGAGGCTAACGCAGAGCTGCTGAGCCATCTGCCCGCGAAATGGCGACCTGTCGAGCGGGATGCCTGGTCAGCGAGATACTACTCGCCAATTGCGGCTGCTGAAGCTTGGAAGACGCGCACTACCGCGGCCATGTACGACTTAACTCCGCAGCGGTGCCTGGAGGTGACAGGGCCAGGAGCTGTCAACCTGCTCATGCGATTGACGACAGGGGAGGTTTCGAGGAATCCGGGCACTGTCACATATGCGCTTCTTCTTGACGTCAACGGGGGCATCCGCAGCGACCTCGTCATAGCGAGATTGGGCAAGGACACCTTCCAGGTCGGAGCAAATGGAGCCATGGACTTTGCCTATCTCTCGCGCGAAGCCCGCGTCCAGACCACAAAGACACCTGCTCAGTTCGTGCAGGTGCGCGACATCACCGGCAGCACATGCTGCCTTGGTCTGTGGGGTCCTCGCGCCAGGAACGTCGTCATGGCAGCGAGCACAGACGACTTCACCGGTGCCAGTCTACCATACATGCACGCGATGAAGGCGACCATCGCCGGCATCCCTGTGACAGCGATCAACGTGTCATATGTTGGCGAGCAGGGCTGGGAGATCCACACCACCGCAGAATATGGGCGGCGTTTGTGGGATGCCCTCTGGCAAGCCGGCCAGCCCTACGGATTGATTGCGGCGGGCAGAAGCGCCTTTTACGCCTTGCGGTTAGAGAGCGGGATCAGGCTATGGGGCGTTGATATGACCACCGAGCACGACCCCTACGAGGCTGGCCTCGATTTCGCACTGCGCGAGTCTGGACAGGGTTACGTCGGACAGGAAGCTCTGAAGAGCCGCTCTACGAAGACGGCCACCGGGCGACTCCGCTGTCTCACCGTCGACGATGGTCGATCCATGGTCCTCGGCAAGGAGCCAGTATTCGCGGGCGGCCAGTCGGTCGGCTACATCACCAGCGCGGCGTTTGGGTACACGGTCGGCAAGCCGATTGCATTTGCGTACCTTTCCACCAAGGTGTCCGAGGGCGACACAATTGAGATTGAGTACTTTGGGAGGCGCATTCGAGCCACGGTCATGCATGATTCAGCGTACAAGCCGCACAGCGACAGGCCCCGGGCACGGAGAGGAGATTCTAAACTCTAATCTAGGCATAGCATATACAAGTTTTGGCCTCTTTCCCTGTATCTCGCATTCGCTATTGCCCCTCGCTATGGTTACCTTCCAATGTGAATGGCGAGGGTCCACGGAAACTGCAGGACACCGGGTATAAGTCCGTGTCGGATCCAGCCGTCCGGGGATTCAAGCGGGCGCCCTCTAGCGCCGACCTGTCCTTGGGGCGAGCGCGCTCCGTACCTGGCTTTGACGCACAAATCACAGAGCGTAAAGTCTGACACTACAGCCAAAAGAAGCAAATAGATTGCAAACGCTTCCACGAGCGACCCACCGCGGTAAGATGGCCCGAGGGCGTAATTCGAGCCGCGCTCAGTTCAAGTTATCCACAGTCGAGTTGTCCGGCAAATATTGGGCGGGATTATCCTCTCTCTCCGTGTCTTTTACGTGGGTTGTAAGCCGAAACCGGCCGAACAGAGGCATGACTAGCTCCGAGCTCGGGAACTGGGCTGGAATAAGTCGAGCTCGAGAGCACTAAACATCGTAGGTATCATTACTTTTTGGGAATTTCCCTGCAGTCTCACCGTCTCGCCCACCTCACAAGTTTGTGTCGATTGCCTGAACATCGATTGCCATGACATTCAGCAAAGAAGACGGGGAGGAGCAGACCATCATGGCTCCTCATGATGTCGTCTCGACCCCCATAACCTCACGTTTGGCCGATCCTGTACCTACCCCTGATCAGGCGGCACAACCAATGATCTTGGCTGATTGACCCAGGCTCCCCTCGCGATGGGCGGCTTCGCGACGACCCTGCTGACCGTCTCGCTGGCCATGATGAACTTTCGCGGCGTGACCGTCCAGACAATGTTTGTCGGCAACCTGTGTTTCGTGGCTTGCGTTGGTCTAATCATCAGCGCCCAATGGTTCATGATCAAGGGAGACACTTTTTCATACACTGTTTTGACGGCGTTTGGTGAGCACAATGTCCCTTTAGTATCTAGCAACTGAACGTGATTGCGAAGGCAAGGATGAAGTTGAGAAGGGGCGCTGACTGACGCCTGACCTAACCAGGACTCTTTTACGGCGGCTATGGCGCTGTCATGATACCCTGGTTTGGGGTCGTCGATGCGTACGGCGGCTTCACGCCCGAATTCTACAACGCATTTGGGTTCTTTATTCTCAGTAAGAGCAAAGTTCGCGTCCTATCATCGGGGAATCTTCTTACCAAATGTCATCAGTCTGGGGCGTGCTAAACATCTTTTTCCTGATCGCCTCCATAAGACTGTATGTCTCTACTCACTCGCTCCGCACGAAACTCGGGCCAAAGATGTCCTGGCTGTGCTTCATGCTAACGGTACTGACCAGGAGCATCGTGTATGTCCTCGTGTTCACGGCGATTGAGTTCTGCCTCGTCCTTGACGGAGTATCTCAGTTCGTCAAGGCGGATGGCCACGACGAGACGTACGCAAAGATGCAAAAGGCGGCCGGCGCATTTGGCTTCATTGCCGGCTTGCTGGGGTACTACTGCACGGCGCACTACTTGTGTGAGGAGGCACTGGGCTTTTCCGTGCCAATGGGCGACACGTCCCGGTTTTTCGTGAAGCGCCGGAAGACGAGTTAAAGGATATCACCTCGGACATTAAACTCCAGCGCTCACGGGCCGCAGAAGTATTGCCGGCAGATGCTCGGACCAGGGATGGTGGAACAGGTTGTGGACGTAAACAAAATTAGAAGAAACGATCGGGGCATCACCAACTACACTGCATGACCCGTCACTTTCGCGCCTCCAACAGCAATTCTGAGACTTCCCATGCCCAATGAACCATCACCGCATCACGAGAGAGGGTTACGGAGAAGATGCTGGCTTGCTCAATGTTGGCTCACCTTCTCAGGTGCTGATGATTTACTATTTTGGCCGAACAATATCAGGCTGAGAGAATTTTGAAAGAGCAAGCAGTCAATCAAGGATCCGTTCCTGATGCTGGCACGGCGGTTATACCAGACGGCGTGCATACGAACAGGCTCACCCGCCGTATATAAAGTCCCACCTCTAGTAGTTGGAGGCCACAGATCCAACTTGCGGAGCACAAGGCCATGCAGTTGATGTCTGGACTCTAGGAGGTACTGTAACCGCACCACTGTCAAACCGTGCAATGATGAGAATGCGGAGTCGAAAACGTCACCTAACGCACGTGCCACGTCATCCATCTTTGTTGACTCCGTAGACCCTGGTCTCTTCCGGGGCGAAATGATGTCCCGCACGGCCAACACTTGGTACGCTCGGGTTTGTGGCCGCGCAGGCAAGGTTCCAGAGTGCCCGAGGGTGGAGGCTTATGCCTGAGCTCATGTCCTTGGCGGTATGGCCAGTAGTTCCCAATTCGTCGAAACTACCCTATATCTTCATGTTGCGTCTGGCTCGGGCATCCGACAGCTTCATGGTCGCCCACGGCGCGTCAAACACACAAATCTAAGTCACATATCAGGCTCGTCCTCTGAACTTCTACTGCCTTCCTTTAGAGAATGTATCGAAATATGGGATTGAACCTGCTACCAGAATGACCTCCCGGTATGCTATGCGTGCAAGAGGATTCACAGGCGTCGATTCGAAGATCAAGGTGGTCCAGGGGGGATTCGCGATGCCTCGCTGTTGACAAAGCTTTCTGCAGTCCAGCCCTACTGGCTGGCAACATGAAGTCATGGCATGCAGGATACATACCTGACTGGATGCATGTGCTTTTGGATGAAGCACCCTCACTGGATGTCGCAGTCGTCCTGCCCTATGGAATAACAACGGCCGCTCGCAGCAGGCAGCAAACATGAAATGTACTCATGACTGCCCGAATTTGGCGGGAGATGTGTCTATTCGTCTCGTTCTCCGAGTTATCCGTACAAACGGGTCATCTGCACACGCACCGCAACGCCTCATGGAGCGGATCAACCTCCGCCGGCCCGAGCGTGCCGTCGATTTCCAGCTTCATATGACCTGGCAAGCCACGTCATGGAGAGCTCAGGCAACGAATTTGGCCTCGGAAGCTGTTGGTCATAGCTTCGTTTCACTTGAAATGTAGGGGATGATTCATCCGCTTGCAGCCAACAGGGCAGCCAACACTTCATTCTATGGGGTTGGTGTTGGCACGGACGCGGTGACCAGCTGCCACTTTGGCCCAGCCATCGCAGAATTCCAGGCTCCTGAGAGTCTTCACCACACATCGACCTCGGTGCTCGTCGATGAAACATCTTTTCGACTATCGTCGCGTTCATAAGGCACCATCGATGACCGCGTTGCTGATGGGCTTCCCCACATCAACATGGCCAACGTACACAGGCGACAAACGACTCTGGCAACAGAATCGACGACGCAAGGAAGTGCGACGACGACCGATCCGCCCCGCCTGACCGTGAACGTAGGGCCCCTGACCACGACATTTTCGCCTGGAACAGGGTGCAATAATCTGACGCTAGCTCTGTTCGGCCATCGTGCCTTGTCAAGCACGGTTCAAAGTATCTTTGAGTGGCTTTATGGGTACCAGTGTTCATATACGGAGCTTGTCGCAGTGTCAAGTTGCCTTCCTTCCCTCTATGGGCCGGCATACATTGGCCTTGGTGACCAAGGTAGCAACGGCATATATCCCGTTTTTTCTCCGGGGTCGATATGTCCTTCAGGTTACGGATCAAGTTGCTTCATGGCTCCAGGCGCGCCAACCTCCATGACGACCACGTACAGTGGCCAGACTGCACCATTGTCGAGATGGGATAACATCAAGTCCAGCGAAATCGCGATAGGGTGTTGCCCAAGGTGAGTCGATTTCGGAGGATCGACTCACACTAAGCCAGTGCTAAGACCAAAGATAATAGATGCTAATGGTGTGAGTCTTATAGCGGCTTTACCTGTGACTCATCATTATACATTTGCGCATCGTCGCCGACTCCAGGGGAAACAGTCACGGCAGACATGGTTCAAGGTTGTCCTGTTACAGCAAACAGGTCTACAGGGACGCAGTACATTTCTTCCGGCTTGATTCCCACCGTCTTTGCCGCGCAAGTGGTCCTCGTACAGTCGAACGCCAACGCCAGCTTGCTTTCGAACTCCACTGATGGCGGGGGCTCGGCGTCGAGTGGAGGCTTATCAACGGGCGCAAAGGCGGCCATTGGGACAGTCATTCCACTTGGGCTGCTGGCGATTGCACTAGGAGCCTATATGTTCATCCGCAGGCGGCACCTACAAGTCCAGAAAGGGGCCGACACGCAGCCGGATCAAAACGAAGAAGCGGCCGCGACCGTGAAGGTTGAACTGGATGGCGCGGGAGCCGCATCAGAGCTGGACACATCGGGTCAGAGGATATCAGAGCTCGTGGGCAGTACGGGAGCAGTATTGGGTACCCTCGATGGCATACAGGAGCTTCCTGGAGACTATGAACGAAGTGCCCTTGAGTTAGCCGGGCAAGGATCGAAAGCGCCTGAATCGAGGCTGGGTTTGTCGGAAGCAGACGAAATTGTGGTGGTTGAAGCTGGCCCGGCCAGTGGCGACCCTCACAGGCCCCGATCAAGTCGCAGCTCGACGTCGAAGCGATCTACAAAATCCGTGAAAGCCTAGGACAGGACTCCTACGCGCGGGCAGCGCTCCGAGCGACCGCAATATTACCATCAATAAGCGCCTCTGGATTCGGTCAGGGCATTGCTGCCAGCGAAGCTGCGGGGAGACACGTATGGTGTTGGCCGGCTCCGATGAGCGGGCAGCGCACTCGAGGAGTCGAGATACACAGGAATGGGGAGAGGTACCGAAGCAAAGAGGCTTGCGACATGTTCCCACCACTCAAAGTAGTGTATTGGACTGGAAACGTGGCTTCGCAGCGAGCTGAGGTTCTAGACTCAAAAACGGATGGAAATGAGCTGCTGCTCGTGCAACATTTCCACGTGGCTTCGCGATCCTCGATGGCGGCCAAGGCTGCAGGTGAAATGGCCAAAGAAGACGCGCTGAGACTCACCGGTCTTCTCGCTTAACGGTTCGATGGTGGTCTCATTCATATTGCTTGATACATTTTCAGCGGCGCAGAAAATCTTCTCGCGAAACCGCTCGATGGTGGTCTCATTCATATTGCTCGATGAGTTTCCAGTGGCGCAGAGAAATCTTCTCGCAAACATGAAACGGTTCGATATGTTGCTCGATATATTTCTAGCGGTGTAGTGAAATGTTCCCCTCTTCGTGAGGTGGCCTGGCCGAGATGATCCAATCGACCTCACCTCTGTGGCTGCCACGTCAAACCCGAAGCGCAGCTCAGCTGGACGGCCTGCAGGAGGGCTTGGGAACTATCAAATGCCGCTCAAGCGTGGCTCCGATGGTGATACCGGCTGGAAAGCCCACTGCTATGAACGGCGAGAACAGGAGAAAACAAAATGTCCCATTCATAATACGAGGGAGAAGTGCGAAGCCCAAAAGAGCTATCCGTGGAAACATCAGCCTGTCCACACACCTCGGCCATGTTCCGACCATGGTCGGCACAGCTCGCGCGTCTCGATTGCCTTGCGGTCCAAATACTGCCCGAGGTACAGCCTGAAAAGGGCGCTGCTGAACCGGTGTTACTTGCTGCGCGCCGCTCCGTTGACTCGGGCGGCTTTGATCAGTGAGTGCATCGTCGTCTCGCGCGAAACAGCCAGGCAAAAGCCTCCATGTTCAGGTGTCGCGCTGGCTGGTGTTGGCTGCGGCACGGTGATCTGATCGACCAGTTATTGTGGGATACGAGTCGTCTCCGCGTGACGGGCTGTGTTCATTGGCTTTTGGTATCGAGACGCGCTGCTGGCGCAGGCGGTCTGTCCGGGGGTGCAGGGGTTCATCGGTCGGGAGACGTCACTGCCTCAATCTTGGACGGAGCCACCGATCGAAAGGTGGCCTCAGCTCAGATCCTTCTCCATTTCCACGAAGCACAAGTCCGCCGGCAAGTCCAGATCGCTAAATTTGTCGCGGGGAAACGGCGATGTCCCACCTGTCTCCCGGTAGCCGCGGCGTTGGTACCAGGAGATGAGGTTCTGGCGCGTCGAGAGCGCGTTCAGCTCCATGGTGGTCGCGCTCCAGGTTCGCCGACAGTAGTCCTCGGCGTACTCGAGAACCTGGCGCCCCAGGCCGTTGCTCTGAAACCGCTGGTTGACGGAAAGCATCGACAGACGAGCGTGCCCGTCGCTGCGCTTAACAACTTCGGCAGAGGCTACCAGGTCGCCGCCAATTGTGGCCATAAGAATGACGCTGTCGGCCCGCGTAATTGTGGCCGCGACTTGCTCGACCTCGATGCGAAAGCGATTGCCCAGTTCCATGTCGGCGGTCCACCCTTCCCGGTCGTCAGGTGCGCGGAACGCAGCTTGGACCAATTGTTGCACCTGTGACGCATCTTCAATGGTTGCAAGGCGAAACTGTGGGGCTGGGCTCGCCATCTTGAGCCGAGTGAGAATTGGATTGGACTCGCGGAATTGAGAGAATCAGAGACGGCGGCGCGGTTGAGTCTGTGATTTCAACGCTGTCCATACAAAAGGAAGCAGCTGCCTATTTAATAACAATCGCTGACGCCGGGACCGCAGAAGCACCGAAGTGAATCTCCGTTGTCGTTAGGTCTATGAAAGGGCGTCACCGACGCGGCAGGGCCCGCCCTTTTGAGAACAAGGCCGTCAACTGCCCATCCTGACCCGACATGAAGCCTTGTTTGCGAATTCGAAAGATCAAACCTAGTGATATTAAGTACGTTTGATGCAGAGGCTTCTTTCGCCAAACCGCGGCCACAGTCAAGTAGAGAATACTTTATACAGACTCGAAACCCGAGATTGATGAATCGGTTCGTCACGAGGTTCACGGGGGTGCCGATATGATCTGCGGCGGAAATGGGGCAGCGAGTGACCTGTTATTCCAAGAACGCTGTACAGTACCAAGGACGTTGCACCTGTACGTAACACAAATTGGGGGAAAGTGTTTACCTCCTCATCAAAAGCGCCAGGATCGGTTCGGATCGAGTAGCCGCCGATGCTGCGGGAGAGGAGGCTCATGGGCCGCTGTTTGCCAACAAACACATGACCGCAGGTGGTGGTAGCGGCCACCCGCTGCACAGGATTTCTCGGGGCAAGAAGCAGGAAGCAGGAAGCAATTTCGTCGGGCTAGGTTCAGCCTCAGCCGCTAGAGAAGTCCGGGCTTCGCAAAAAACTGGCCCGCATGAGGTGGTTTGTGGCGCCGCGCTCACAAGCCTGCGGCGGACTTTTCTCCATCCCGCGCACCGTTGGGCCCCACGCGATGCGACGACAAATCCTCCGCTGCGAAAAGCGAGCAAAGGCGAGGGAAATGCCCCGAGGCGTGGTTGCCGGAATGCAACAGGTGAGTCTGGTCCGCGTTCTCGCGTCGTCGATGCTGCGGCCCTTCAGGGGTCCACGCACGACACGAGACATGCGGGCGCCACGAACGACAGGAAGTCGTGCCTCAGCACACCGTACCTTACAGTCCACTGGCTCTCGATTCACCCGATTGCACGCAGCAAGACATGGCATGGGGCGGGGGCGGGATGCTTCGCACCAGCCGAGAGCCGTCAACCGGTGTTTAACTGCCTTGGTGCAACAGCGCCGTGTCAAGGCCACGCCCTCTCTCTCGGGCGCAGGCCGGAGCGCAAAAAGTCCTTTTCATGTGGAATATGGAGCGCGCTAGCAGTAGAGCGCAGGACGACCACGACGAGTCGAGCAAGGCCGACTCCATCAGGCCGTGCCCCTGGACCCGCGCCCGTGCCCCCCTGTGGCGCCGCAGCCCTCCAAGCCCTTCGGCCGCCCAAGCGCCAACATAAGATGATCGACACCGGGCGAGTGAGATGACATCGGACTCAGCCCAGCGAGGTATGACAGCGCCACTAGCGTCCCAAAAAGGTGGTTGCGCTGCCTTTGCATGCCAAGGCGACAGGCACACGGGGCGTCCCGTCTGCTCGTCTCAGGCGCGAGTCGGCAGGCCGGCAATCCATCTCGCTTCGCAAGGCACCCGAGCCTCGTACAGAGTACGCGGTGGAGCAAGCCGAATCCTTTGTTCGCGCACGATTGGCTTCGCCGCCGCATGATGCGTGGCTGTGGACACGCATGATCCTGCTCTGCTCGACCGCCGCCTTCATTCTACCCCCCCTAAATAAACACCCTTCTTCTGTCCGGTAGTGCGCCCTGTCGCGTGCTCACCTGCCCCCTTTCTTTTCGCTCGCTGGCTTGCTTGCTTGCTTGGGGCAACTTAAATCCTTTCTCGACTCCAGGCCCTTCTCTCCCTTGCCTTGTCACACCCCCTTCATTTGGTTCGTTGCTGGGTCCCGTCGTCGCCCGCGGTCACCACCAGCAGCGAGCACAATACTGCCATGTGAAGCACCATCTCGAACCGCTTCTGCCTCCCCTCCTTTCCTTTCCGCGCGTCGACATGGACCGACACTCCGGCAATGGGCGTGGGCGTGGCCTCGCCCTCCACGTCGCCTCTCGCCTGCGCGGCATCCGACGCCTGGCGCTGGCCACGAGCTCGCGCTTTACCAACTGCCGCTTTGTCTTCGCCCTGTCCGCGCTGGCCGTGCTAGGCGCCAAGCTGGTGCACGTCTACACCCACCTCTCAGCCTTGGCAACGGTCCATATGGTGCGGTGGGGGTACTCCTTCTTCGCCCAGGACACGCTGCTACTCATAATACTGCGCCTGCTACTCGACGGCTGGCTCTTCTCTCCCCGCAGCTCCGGCATCTTGCGATGGATTGCTTCATGCGTCGCGTCGCTCTTCATCGGAATCGTCATCTTCCTTAATATCATCAACATCTGCTTCTTCGTCGTCAGCGGCTCCGAAATACATTGGCGCAACGTCGGGCTCGCTGGCGATGCCGCCGGGCGTGCGCTCCTCCTCTCCGGGCTCGTCTCGTCGGTCCTCGTCATTGGGGCCCTGATTCTGCTGTCATGGCTTCTTCAGGATGTCTTGTATGCCGCCTGGGGCTTGCTAATGGACGTTGTTAGCTGGCCCGTCGTCCCCGGCGCACGCGCGCGGCTTTGCAGAACGAAATTCCAATTCTCGACCACCGAATACACCGAGATACCCCAGGGCGACATCGAATCTGCGGCGAAGAGCGAGGAGCAAGAAAAGCAGTACGGCGCACGATCGGTCTTGGTTGATCGGATCAAAAGCTGGCCTTGGGCGCGCATATGGCACTATGTGTCGTACGCCCTGGCGGCTGTCGCGTTGCTCGCCCACGTTATCTTGTGCGCACTTCGCCCCGACGACAACTCTCTGCTGTTCATGTCGTGGACTCCAGCGCTCCTCCCCTTTGTCGACTTCAAGACATCAACTTCGAATCTAGACAAGGTCATCGTCCACAACACCACAAGCATCTACCAAGGCTGGGAGGACAAGACCGCTCTCCGCGACCCGATTCCTCTCTCCTGGTTACCGAAAGACTCGATCGCTGGCTTCGAGGACTGGTATCAGAACAAGAAGCATTATTCTGCGGAGGCCGATCCCCTTCGAATCTCCAACTTGGACGACAAACTTCTGCCAGAATTGAAGGACCTGAAAGACGTGCCCATCCGTCACATCATGGCCATTGTGCTAGAGAGCACCAGAAAGGACGTCTTCCCTATCAAGAACTGGGGCATCAATCCAGCACGGCTTCGCGATTCCTGGGACGAACACGAGTTTCCACCAGAGGCCCTGGAACGTCTCAAGACACTTACCCCTACAGCCAAGTACATCACGGGCGACTACAACGATGAATTCGAGCGGCCCCAAGGAGAAAACAACGGGACAGGACGAGGTGGCATCAACTTCAATGATGCGTACACGACGTCGACTTACACCCTCAAGAGCTTAGCGGGCTCGCTTTGCGGTGTTATGCCTATGATGGCTGACTTCAACCTCGAATATTTACACCACATCTACCAGCCTTGCCTGCCGCACATCGCAGCGGCGCTCAACACACTCGAGCACACTGCGAACGGCGGGCACGCGTTTGGCGGGTACAACTGGACATCGACATTTATGCAGTCCGTGACTCTGTCGTACGACAATTTCGGCGGCCTAATGAAGAAGATTGGCTTTCCCGAAGACGGCCTTATCGACAAGGACTACCTCCAGAGCGAAGCGGCCAAGTTCGGGCGGATAAACCTGCCAGATGTGAATTACTTTGGCTTCGAAGAGACGCCGCTCGAAGACTACATACGCGATCAGTTCGAGACGGCCAAGAAAACGAATGGCCGTGCGTTCATCACCCACGTCACGAGCACGAGCCACCATCCGTATTCGATGCCCAAGTCGGAGGAATACGTCCCCCTCGGCAAGGGCCTAGACGATTTGTCTCACTATATCAATGCGATCGGATACGATGACCGCTGGCTCGGCAAGATTCTCGGTTTCTTGGACGACTTGGGCGTCGCAAACGAGACGCTGGTGATCTTTGTTGGCGACCACGGATTGTCGATCCCCGAAAACGACATTCTAGCGTCCTACTACAACCCGAACAAAGCGAATAACCACGTTCCGCTCGTTTTCTCACACCCGAAATTACCCCCCATTACGATCAACGACGCCATCTCCACGCAGTCGATATTACCGACCGTGCTGGACCTGCTCATCGAGACGGGCTCGCTCTCTGGCTCCGCAACCCAGGCGGTCAAAGATCTGCTTCATAACTACGAAGGACAATCTCTCCTGCGGCCCGTACGAAAGTCGAAGGAAGCGCAGCCAACATCCGGTCTGCACTCTTCGCCCGAAGAGCTAGCCAACTGGCAGTTCACCAACATCAACCCCGGGCGCGCGATGCTGGGCGTGCGCGATGCGCGGCACCAGTATTGGCGCATGGTGGTGCCCGTGGTGGACAACGTGGAATGGCGCTTCACCGACATCAAGAACGACCACCGCGAAGCCCACCCCATCGTCGGATTCAACTTTGAGGAGTTCCAAAAGCAGGTGGCGGAGCAGCACGGAGATGAAGCCGCCACATGGGTCGAAAAAGGCGCCTACGTAGCGCGATGGTTTGTAGAGGAAAATAGCAAGCGTTGGCGGTATGGACCTTATGAACCGTAAACAAAACGGGTATTTAGATGGGATTAGCGGCCTGGCATACTGAAGCCGGCAATTGAACATTTTTAGCATTTGAACAAATACTTGCCTTTGAACGAGGAACGCCATGCTCTCTTTGTGATCTTGTGGCACCATTTAATTGTTACCCTCGAACATGAAGGTTCATGGTGTGGCCAGCTGTGGGCTGGGAGCAGCGTCGTCAAAGCTTGGCACCCGACCCGGGATACTACAATGATGCAATAGAACTGAAGCTACGTTTCAGCCAGCGCGTCATTGCTTCATTATATGCACTTTACGAGCAACAGCGGGCGATCTGCCGTCATGATGCCCCCGGTGTTGCCCCCGTCCCGGTCAAGGCGCCCTCTGCTGGACCAGTACCTAAGCTTCGACGGAAGACACAAACGCGACCAGGCTCCATTGTGCAACGCGAACACTGCACCAACATTCATTGTAAAACACCCAAAATCGTGAGTTATCGTAAGTTACTTCAATCGTACATTAGATCCTATTCAGCAGTGGCCTTTCCTCCGGTGCCGCTAGTTGTGTTCGCGCTCGTCTCTCCGGCGTCTTTTGTTGCATCCGTGACAGTCTCCTGGGTGTTACTTGTCACAGGCGTGTCTTTCTCTTCTGTTGTGTTCGTGGCTGTCTCCTCGGGTTTGCCTATCGCGTCCGTGTTCTTCACCTCGGCGTCGCCTGTTGTGTCCTGTACCTTCTCGCCTCCCTCAGCCGCCGCGCTCGCGGCCTTCTCCTGCGACTCGTCTTTTGTGTCCTTTTTGCTGAAAAGGTCCCATCCCGGCACAGGGATCCGCTCAAGCCCCGACACCGCAGATGGCATCTGCGGCATTTGCGGCATCGATGGCATGGATACGTTGGGCATCTGGGGCATCTGAGGCATCTTCGATGGCCACCAAGCTTTGGCCCCTTGACCGGTCTGCTGCGCAATCTGAAAGAGGTACTGGCGGTACGTCCGTTTTCGTTCATTGGAATCTGCGCTCTCGTCCTCGCTTGGCACGACTATGTCGCCTTCTTCACCGTCAGGCAGAGGTACCATGGATGCGGCTGCGGCAATGTCAATAGGAGATTCGTCCGGCAGATCATCTCCGTCATCCGCAGCGGCCGTTACTTGTCCTTTGTCCTGGTCCTGGATCGCTTTCTCTTGCTCTTTGAGAGTCTCATCGGCCACGTGGTCTTCTTTGACCTCCTCGGGAGGTACCTCGCGGAACTTGGGGTCGTCAAACAGTGGCTCGTCGCTGAGGAACCACTTCTTCACGCATTCCACCGCTTCGCCGGTCATGCGTTCGTACGCCTTGTTCTTCTCGGGCTTGAACATGGTCATGTGCGCCATGACTTCGTCTTCGGCATCGCGCATCACGTAGCGAGTGAAGAGCGGGTTGGCGACGTGATCTTCCGGTGGAATGGCGCAGAACGTCCGCTCTGGGACAAAGTAACCCCCACGCCAGTACCCGTTCTCACCCAAAGAGGTGTAGAAGTCCTGGATACCGACACCCTTCAGAGACCCCATGCGGTCGAGCCGGCGGCAAAGTTCGTTCTGCTTCATGAGAGAGCCGACAAAGGTAAAGTGATCCGAGAGCCAAGCAAAGGAGTGCCCGACATTGCCTCGGTTGACATACGCAAGGCCTTGGCCCAGCGTCTCCATGCTCTGGCGATAGCCGTCCGCGACCGTGTCTCTATTGATGTTCTTCACCTTCTGCATGCCCTTCATGATGGCCTCTCGATGCACGTATGCCGCGACGCCTCCAGCAGCGATCGCGCCGACGGTTCCGGTCCGAACAGCCACAAGCTGCCAGGTTTTCCACGCCGGGTTCGACCGTGAGGCAGCAGGTACCGCGGCAGACCTGGTAGCGCGTTGCGTCGCGAGGCTTCTCAGGCCGGCTGGCGCTGCTGCGCCAAGCGCGGTCATGACGTTGAAGACATTGCTGACCTTTTGGTAGTTGGAGAAGGCGCCATAGACAAACATGGACCTTGCGAGACCATTGTACGGGGTGTCGAATGTGAGGATTCCTTGGATGAGAGGGAACGGGGTTTTGTCCGCCGTCTCGGAGTCTAGCCTCTCGTTGAGGGAGAGGAACAGGGCGTCGGCAGCCACGAATCCACTGATGATCCTTGTTGGCAGAGAAAACGCCGGTCGGGGGGAGTTCACTTACCCCATAGAGTGTGCAACGAGCACGACACCAACCTCTCTGTCGTCAGGAGGCCACGGCTTCTCCAGATGCGTCTTTCGAATGTCCATGACACGCTCCTTCAGCCTACGGGCTATCAGCAGCGGAGCGCAATACCTACCTGTATACCCCAGTGCTTTGCTTACCATTCCAGGAAGGCCTGGCTGGCCTGCGCCAGCTCTCCTTTGGTCTCATAGGTGGGATAGACGACGCTTTCGACGCGCTCGCTGGGCAGTTCGCGAGCAACTTGTAGCTTCAGGTCCTGGAACATGGTCAGACCTTACCATCAGACCGGCGCGGCCTCGGTCGCAAACGCGCACTTACATCGGGAAAGTCGCGAAATGTGTCGTCGTTACCCTAGAGCGAGGAGCACTTGTCAGCAGAGATCAACTCGGGTGGCCATTTACTCGTCTTACCTTGAACCCATGAATGAAACAGAGGAGGAGAATGCGAGGCATCGTGTGCTGACGGCAGCGGTGTTTGTCGCAACACCGCAAGTCCTTAATACGTATGGTTGAAGTCGCGCCCTCTCACCGTGTTCAGATCGAAGTCGGCAAAGACGCACAGCAAAACTATGTGAGTTATTGTGGAGGATAAAAGCCTCATGAAGCTGTTAAATCTGATAAGTTATTACTACATCGCATGTGATACTATACGTCTACTACCGATCCCGAAAAGTTGGATATTCCAAGATTCGCCGCACTCATTCCCCAGCACTAGTTGGTGGCGAGGGGCCACCACCGGCCAATGGTGGCTGACCCAGACGTCATTAAAAACGTCACTCTGTGTTTAGCGCTGCAGAAAAGCTGCGACGACGCGCCAAGGAAGGAGAGGCCATCGACCTTCTGACAATGAGCACCTTATGCGTAGTAGCTTGGTCAAGTGGCTAACGTGAGGCACCCGCGACGCCGCTCGGTCGGCCATCCTTGGAGTTTTGCAATCACCAGAGAGCTGCTGGGCCTCTTCCCCTCACCCCACTGTGGGTGACCACAGCACAGAGCTTAGCCAGCCTTACTTGGCAGGCTCATCGTCATTGATAATTCTCCGTCAGCGCGGCTATGGGCCCAATCTCGTGACATACCGGCCATCAGGGTCAGGCTATGGGGGAAATAGGGTTCTTTCGGCAGAACCTACAAGCGCGCTGGACGGTGAAGCTCGTGAAACAGCGGCACCACGACCGCAAAGTGTGGAGAGAATAGGCCTGATTTGCGCGGCTCCAGGTGTGGAGTAGGCTTTCCCGCCCGTATTATTGCGGAGCCGCGCATCACAGCGAGTCAAGACTCAACACCACGCCTCCGGGCTGTAGCTGGCAAAAAGTCCGATCGTATCATGGCAAACGGACAATCACATCACCATCCGGATAGCCAGGCAAGCAGGTCGCCGACTAACCCCCTCACGGCTCGCAAGGTGGCATGATCCACCCCAGTTACCGTTGCGACCTCTCAGACATGGCGATGTCTTTGCTGTACTTAAAAGGTTGCGGGGGATCACCGCTCCGGTGGGATAGAACCCCCAACAGGTCCATTTACAAGGCTGCATATCACTCACGCATTCAATCCTACTGGCCCAATTAGATTCGTCCATAATGCGTCTGCTGCTTCCGACCGTGACTCTGGGGCTGCTTGGCCTTGGCCGGGCCTGGCCGACCATGTCCAACTCCTACGTGAAGTCGATGCCTTCAAACGCCCGGCAGCTCTTCACCGAGTCTATGAAGTACTTTGACACAATCTACGACTATGAGGCGGGCTATCAGTACGACTGCAGCGCCACGGCAGCCATGCGCCATGACACCCGTGGCTCGATGTGGTATGCTTTTGGCCTCCTCGCGCGCAATGAGGGCAGCGACGCCTCCGAGGCAGAGAAGATCATCCGCAACATCATCGGCGCCCAGTACAAGGTCGAATCCGAGGAATGGTAAGTCTTCTCACTTGTGGCTTCGAGACAATTGCATTGCCCTAACCGGCACGCCAGGTACGGAGACTACCAGCAGGAGCCCGAGGAGCCGTACCCTGGATCCGCGTCGTACCCTCCCAAGATCTACGGGACTTGGGACCCTAACACGCGCGGCTTTGTCGGCACCACTCTGGTCATGTGCATGGAGGAGTTCCCCCATATCCTCAGCAAGGATACGCAGAAGCTCATCGTCGAGTCCCTGCACAACGCGACCAAGGGCGACGAGTATCGCTTCGGCCACCTCGACAAGCTCAAGGACAACCTCTACCCCTCGTATAGCAATCCCGCCATCATGCGCGCGCTCACCTCGGGCTGGACGGGGCGTCGCCTCAACGACAAGAACATCACCAACAGCGCAGAGAGGGACGCCAAGGACATTATCGATCTTTTCGACCTGCACGGTACCTTGTCCGAGTTTAACTCGGCGACATACACGGGCGTGTCCCTTTTCGGCCTCGTTCTTTGGAGCAAGTACCTCCCGAAGGACTCGGTAATGGCCCAGAATGCCCCTCGTATGGTCGCAACCACCTGGGACACCGTCTCTCAGATGTGGCATCCCGGCATGAAGAACATTGCCGGTCCCTGGGACCGCTCCTATGGGTACGACATGAATCGCTATGTCGCCCTCATGGGCATGTGGATATGGACCCTCATCGGCAAAGACAAGTCGTCGTTAGCCGCCAATGTGAGTTCAACCTCAAATTCACCAGCGCGTGAACAGCGACACAGCCACCCCACGTCAGCTGCTGACATCCAAGTAGCCACAGATCATGTCGCACATGGGCGACTACGGCTGGGCACCGCTCTTCGCCGCGCTTGCCAGTACGCAAGAAAGCCTGATCTCCAAGGATGCCGTCTCCAGGCTCTCCAAGTTCAGCGGCGAGCACACTTATACGACCAGCGCATACGCCCCGCCCTTTGACATCACCTCACGCAACATCACCACCTGGCTGTCCGAAGACCTCACCATCGGTGCCCAATCGTTCGACGAGACTGTCGTGGGCGGTCCTAGCAGAGGACCAGAGTCTTTCAATCCAGCCGTAATTCAGTGGAACACGGGCCGCGAGGTTTCGTTCATCTCCGTAAGTTGCCTGCGGGTGGTCCAGCTTCTGGCTGTCATGCTACATTGGCGACTGACAATTCTCAACAGATGTGGCCGACAGAGATGGCTATGGACGTCAAGGTCTCCCCCAACAAGCTCAGTCTGTCGTACCCGCACGGCAACGCCAGCTCCATATTCACTTTTGTGGTTGGCACCTTTGCAGACAAGCCTACTGTGACAGGCTGGGAGGACATGCAGGCCTTGAACGTCAGCGTTTCCGGCAACGTTGACCCCAAGTACACCTTGTCCTTTGCCGGCAAGCGCGGAGGAAAATCGTCGCCCAACCGCGACTTCGAGTATTGGAACTTTACGTACGCGATGCCCGAGAAGTTCGAAGGCACCCCGACGATTGAGCTGGATCTCAAGGTTGTGGGAGTGATCTGAGAGGTGAAATCAAGCGCTACCGGCAATACAGGAGACGTCGCTAGTGTGCTTCGTTGCAGTCACGTATGGGTCCCAGTTACATACAGAAAGCTATGGTGCATCACATAATTTATAATGTTATTGCAGCTCCCGCTTGTCGGATATTGGAGTCCCAGATGAGGGATTTGTTGTCCTGGTACGCGATTCATTGACACGAGGCCCACTGATCTCCTTTAGTAGTTCTGTGAAACCGATGGACTTTCGGGAACGTGTAGCATGCAGCCTAAATTCTATGACAGGTGCATCTAAAGACACGTCTCACATCACGACTCATTCAGAGTGCGCGCCATCCCCTACATGTGGCATTCAGCCGACGTTGAGGTATACATACATACCCTTGCTGACAGCCCGCGCGGCGTGAGTAATGAGAAAGGGCAAAACGATACAATGGAGGTGTGAATCAAGCCGAGATGGGCTCAAAGGTTGTCACTATTTATAATTAGCCGCGCGTCAGAGCAGCGTCAACGACCCTATGAGTGGGCCGGGAACTGGGCTTATTGTACCCGCGCGGGAAGGACCAATTCGCCGAGGCCTCGACTTCCATCTTGCTTTAAGCCACCTAGCAGGTTGATTTATTCGAGGAACACAACTTGGCTGGTGCAATGACGAGCCTTACATGGTGCGGATAGGATGTGTCGAAGAGCTGACGCGAGGTCGTCCACGGATTCGCGCAACTGAACTGCACTTACATGTAAGCTGGGAAGACAAACAGGAACCAAGTGAGGCCATCAAGTTGATGATCAAGCCACTACACTCTTCACGTCAGCTACATGTAGATATGGCACGGAGCGCGCGTACCACTGATACCGTGGCAATTTGGCCGAGGCACCCAGCTGGGGCACCCGCCCGGTAGGATTTGCCAACATGGTTAAGCGAATAGTCTGAGTGGTCAGCACTAGCGTGGATCAGATCTGACTTCGATGTCTAGAAACATTGAGCCGTGGCATAATATGCTTACAGCGGACCGAGCAGACATGAGATGAAGTCCTGCCGTGATTTTATAAAGCTGCTGGCGGCCCAACCTTTTACATGCAGGGTTTGCTGCAAACCATCAACTACACTACGCAAATATGGAGACGCCAAAGCACCAGTACGAGACAGATGTCTTGATCGTTGGCGCCGGGCCGGTCGGCTTGTTCACAGCCTGGCTGCTGGCTCAGCTCGGACAACCATGTATGCTCATCGAAAAGAGCCATACCACCACTGCTCTTCCGAAGATGGAGTACACGAACAGCCGAACGGCGGAGATCTATCGGTCGGTCGGTTTGGATCGCATCCTGAGGCCACTTGCCGTTCCAGAGAAGCACCCTTTCAACGAGGTCTGGGCTACAGGCTTTGGAGGCCATGCAATCTCAACCTGGGTTCGTGCGTGCAGGCCCTCTCATTTGCGGCAGTTGCTAATTGTAGCACAACGATCAAGAAGCGCCAGAGTCCGACGGAAGATCGCAAACAAGCAGCGGAAGAGAATGACGGTACTTGGGCTCGCGAACCGAGGATTCGACAAATGCAATCCGTCATTGAGGCGGAACTGAAGAGGCTGTGTCAGTCTGAACGGCTCATCACCGACCTCTGGGGATACTCCGTGGTCAATGTCGAGGAAACTGACTCAGCAGTATGGACGACGGCTCATAATGATGCCGGCGATGCAGTTGTCTTCAAGAGCCGCTACGTCATCGGTTGTGACGGCGCAGGGAGCGCCGTCCGTGCCAGCGTAGGCATCCAGATGGAACGAAGATCGCAGTGAGTCTCCATAGTAGCACCCTGTCTCGTCGCCCTGTTGGTGTTTGCTCACAGCCTGTAGCCCAACGAAAGCCCGATACGTGCACTTCAAGACCCCAGATGCCGACAAACTGCGTGCCTTCGGCCCGTTCTGGCACGCCTTGTTCTTCGGTGGTGCCGTAGTCCCCCAGGACGAGATCGACACATATACTGTGGTCGAGATCCTGCCACCGGACGCCGATCTCGAGCCCATAACTGACCCCGAGGGGTTTGTAGCAAAAATACTTGGGGGGCTGACAGGAAAGCCGTTCCCGGTACGAATTGGCACTATGCTTGGAACGGGATCGTGGAAGCTCTACTATGGCATAGCGGATACTTTCCGATCCCAGAAAGGCCGAGTCTTTCTTGCCGGCGATTCTGGTGCGTACAACCAATCCGCTATACCGACTGCTCCGCTATTTGATGGCGCTCGGCACGTCTGCACCTTCGCAATTGAGTCCAGAGACTGACGAACACCCGCGCTTCAGCTCACACGATAACCCCCGTCTGTGGTTTCGGCTTCAACTCAGGCGTGCAAGATGCATTCAATCTCGCTTGGAAGCTCGCAGCGTACCTCCGCGGCCACGGCGGCGACAAGCTGCTAGAGTCGTACAATGCGGAGCGAATGCCGACTGTACAGCTCATGGTCCGTACATCCGAGCATGTGGCCCAGACATACTTTGTGCCCATGATGTCAAAAGCGTTTACACTAGGCGCCGAGAAAATAAACGCCTCCGGTGAGGATGGAGATCGCGCTCGGGCCGAACTAAAAGTCGAGGTAGACAAAGCATTCCTGATGCACGATCTCGAAGGTGTTGTCCTAGATTACCGCTACGCGAGCTCGGCTATCAACATGTCGGATCCTGACGGCCCTGAGCCGGAGTGGAACATGCGCAAAGTTCATCCGTCCACATGGCCGGGCTGCCGCGCACCGCACGTCTTCCTTTCTGATGGCAAGACCAGTATCATGGACTTGTACGGCTCAGGCTTCACTCTCGTCGACTTCTCACCATCTGGAACCATCGGTGATCTTTTCGTCGACACCGCGAGATCTCTCGCCGCACCTCTCAAAAAGCTCTGGCTGCCAGAGGAACGCCATTGTCGACTCATCTGGGAACGGGACGCGGTGTTGGTTCGCCCAGACGGATTCGTCACTTGGCGCTCTCAGCAACAATGCTCCATAAGCCCGGAGGAGGCGAGAAGTGTATTATTGTGTGCGCTCGGGAGGATTGTTTGAAGAGGTGGGCTCGTGGTCACATCAGCAATAGGGACTGGAATGGTTCAACACCATTCTCGAACGTCAGTTTACGTAACCAATATCGTTTCGTACCTGTCCGTGGAGCACTCGCTTGATGTGCCGTCAGGTCCCAAGGCCGCGCATGTGCTCCGATACGTCGCATATTGAACCATTCGCTTGCAACAGTCATAATTTCCTCAAGCTATGTAGTTTAGGCACTTGAAGCTATCTGTTGCCATTACATGATAATGCGGCCAAGGACCCTGTCAGAGCCAAAGTCCTCATCAGCAACTACGCTTTTCATGATTTGATGGTAATTCGCCCCTGGCGTTATAACTCCCAAAATCGCGGGAGATGTCGTCTCTGCACAACCAGCAATTGGAACTCTCCTCCCAGAGACGGCTAAGAAGCCGAGCAAGGCAAATAGCACAGCTTCTTTGGCGCTTGGGTCGAGTTTCATGGGAGCATCGTCGAGCTTCATGACTTGAGCCTCCGGGAACTCGGCCTGCAGGTGCTTGAGGATATTGGGATTGTGGGCGCCTCCACCGCAGATGTAAATCTCGTCAATACTTTTGCCTTCGCCCAGCAGCGGCATGACCAAGCGCTTGTAGGCCCGGGCAATTGACTCTGCCGTAATCCGAGTGATGGTCGCGACGATCGCCGCAGGAACCATCCCCATGCCTTGCATCTCTTCCACAAGCTTTCTTGCCAAATCGTCGGAAAACAGCTCGCGGCCGGTCGTCTTGGGCAGCGGTGCTTGGAAGTATGGCTCCGAGTCCAAGTAGCGATCCACGATGGCGGAGTTGATGCTACCCTCACCCTCTATCCCAAGAGTTCCGTCGTGATCATAGTGCAGCTCGCCGTTGCTGATAATACGCATCGCTGCATCAATCAGGACATTTCCGGGCCCTGTGTCAAAGGCCACATAGGTCGATGCTGGCATAGAGGTCTTCAGGTTTGTTGCCGGAAGGACCGAGGCGTTGCCTGAGTTTCTCAAGTCAGCGCTCGGAAAACGCATCGGTGCACCCAGCAGCACAGCATAATCCAGGCTGGACAGTCTTACCAATTCCTCCGATGTTCTGGCTGATCCTCGTCTTCTCAGGGTGTGAAAGAAGGCCGGCTTCGAAGAATCCAGCAAGCGGGGCACCTTGACGTCCAGCAGCAAGCTCTGCGACGCGGAAGCCACTCACTACCGTCCTGCAGCGAGTTCGAGGAGTCAGCGCGCTGTTCACGTACTATGTCAACGCCATTGCCTCACTTTTGGGTATCATGTGCAATGACTGCGGGCTCGGCCATTTGCAGGGTTGATCGATGGTCACCCTCGGGCTGATGCCAGAGCGTTTGGCCGTGGCTGGCAATAACGTCGACCTGGTCCAAGTCTACCCCAGATTCGCGTACGGCACGGAAAAACTGCCTCCCCAGGGCAAAGTTGAGGTCGCAAATCTCGGCCAGCGTAGTACCCGCATCTGCCTGGTTCGGACGGCACAGGCGGAGGATTTGAGCCCGAAGGTCTGGGTTCACCGCCACCTCAGTGTACGATGATAATTCGATCGAGACATCGCCAGATGACGGCTTTGACGATATTTGACAAAGAGCTACATCAATCCCTAGAACTTTCTTAATACGTTGAACTAGCTCTCTTGAGATTGACAGCATATTTCCATGGTAGTGCTAACTTACCATCGATGCTCGTTCCGCAGTTCAAACCCAGGACCTTCATCGTGACCATCTTGACAGCTACAAGCACACGATGAGTGTCGGGGCGCGAAGATCACAGACCAGACGTGTTTCGTGGTGAAGTTTGGAGGTCCGGTTGGCTGTCACTCTGGAATTGACATTGAACTGTCGTCTGAGACCTGTCAGGCGTCGCTCCAAGCATCCGGGATTCCGGGAATCGGAGCGGATTGCCGATCGGCATATGGCCCGCTTTGTTGAAAACGAAGTCACGTTGCGCAGATTGTGGATCAGAAGCGTAGAAGCTGACACATTTTCCGTCGGCTTTTCCGCTTCAGCCTGTGAGCGAACCCGTACGCTCATTCCCAGCGTACTTGATGAGCTCCCTTGCCATGATATATCTTGGCAAAAATTGCGCTTTGGTCATTAATTGTGGAATAAAAGGTTCATCTGAAACGAACTACTGGCACAGGCTCCGGTCATAGGTTGAGTTCCGCGGCACTGAGCCTCCCACGTCCTCGTCTTCCGGCTAGACATCCGTAAGGCGCCATTGTACCATCATGCGAGTTTGAGATGGTACGCGATGGTTGACTCTCTATTCTGTCGACATCTTATGAGCTGGGCAACAGTCGACCAGCACTTGATGAACCTGGCAAGTTCCTGCTAGCGACGCCAAGTAAGGCACACCCGGATTGCTCAACATTGAAGCCCAAGGCGTACGCAAAGAGCTCGGCGTAAATACCATCCGGTTCTCGCTGTCTCATAGTTTGCCGACTCGGCTTATCAGCCGGCTCAGGTTGCATTGGAACTCGGGGAACCGTTTAGGCTTAACCGACATGTGTTCGGCATGATCGGTAGTGTAAGCAGTACCCCGGTTTTCCTCCCCCGCTGTCGCCGTTCCCCGGAGCTTGGAACGCGGGGTGTCTAAGTTAGTACAAGCTAGCCCCCAACCCCGTGCAGCGTCTTGACGATCGCCGTTGAGAATTGTCACAATTGTTCCTCAAACGAGTCTGGATCGCGACTCGCAGACCTTTTTCTTTTCTTTTCTGGAAGTTGTTCGAAACCTAATGCAGCCTTTGCTCATCAAAGCCGCTTAGTGACAATGGGAGCCAAGCTTCATCAACTGCGCATCGCCGTTTGGGGCGAAGCGCCCGACAGTCCAGAAGAGAGAAAGGTTTCACTCCCGACTCCCTCATCGTTAGGATGCAAAATGCACGCAAGATAAACTTCACGAAGCTAACTCAAATCAGCTGCTGAGAAAGATAGACTTCTTCATTCTCGTTCGTCGCCGATCCTCAAAGTCCCTGAGACCGAACCTACAGCTGACGGCCGACACAGACTTACTGCTGCGTTGCCTTCTTCTTCAACTACTTGGGTCAGCATTCCCAACCTGCCAGGAATTTGTCACCTGGACGATGAGCATTGAATGCTAAATGAGACAGACCGAGCGGTCCTTGCCAACGCCTATGTGTCCGGCATGAGAGAAGACGTTGGCCTGACTGGCAACGAATACAATCTATTGGTCACTTGTTTGTCCGGTACGTCAATTCTCACAACCAGTCCGCGCTTGCCGAGACCAGCTTATTGACTTCGCTATAGTTGGCTGTATGACGACCCCATTCCCTACGACACATGTTCGAAGCTCAGTTGCGCAGATATCGTCGGTCAGGTTCCACACGGCCTCGTTATACAGAAAGTTGCACCGCGAATATGGTTCCCTCTCATGACGCTGCTCTGGGCCGGGCTCACCATGGTTTGCGCGGCGTGCAATACTTTCTCCCAGCTAGCAGCCGTCCGCTTCCTACAAGGCATCGCTGAGGCGTCGACTTACAGCGGAACGCAATACATCATCGGTAGTTGGTACAAGGGACCAGAAGTTGGCAAGCGAATCGGTCTTTTCCAAGCTTCTGGAATGGCGGGAACCATGTTTGCCGGTGAGTTCCTCTGAGAAACCCTGCAATCTCTGTGACCTTCACTGACCCCAGCGCCATTTATCCCAGGCCTCTTGATGACGGCTATCTGGAAAACGATGAACGGCTTGGCTGGTCTGCCTGGCTGGCGATGGGTACGTGAACAGACCTGCGCGCTCGAGCTCCGTTAGCTGACTGTTGTCGAGTCATTCATCATCGACGGCATCATCACCATTCCGGTGGCCATATTCGGCTTTGCCTTCTTCCCTGACCTGCCAGAGTCAACGAAGGCGTTCTATCTCAAGCCCCATGAAAGAGAGCTTGCACTGAGCCGCCTGCCCCCCAAGAACCCAGAAGGACACAACATTGGGCTTCCTCTGCTGAAGAAGGTCCTATTTACTCCGAATTTGTAGGGGCACTTTTATCGCTTTCCCTCTAGCTCACGTTTTCCGCTGACTCTTTCACCAAGCTGGATTTTCAACATCTTTTGGATGATCGGCGGCGCGCTAGAAGCCTTCTCTACACAAACTTGCATGGTATTGTGGATGCGCGCGTCGGGGGAGTTCACTGTGCCGCAGAACAACACCTACCCGCTGGGCATCACCGCTATAGGTCAGGACTTGTCTCCCGCTCTTGCGGGCGCTCACTTTCAAGTAAGCTGCAGTCGCTAACTGCAGCGCAGGTATTGTCATGACGCTGTGCACCTCCGTCGCTATTGACGGCACCGGTGTGCATGCCCCATACGGCTTCTTCGCTTGCGGTGCGCAAATCATCAGCTGCATCATACTGCTCTGCTGGTCACAGGTGACCACTGGGGCCAAGATGGCCGCGTACTGTGAGGGCCTTCACACCCTTGGCTCTTGTCGGCGACCGATGTGGCGTTCGGTGCTAACCACGTGTGCGCAGATCTCGCTGGAGTGGCGTACATGATCCAGCCCGTCGTGTTCACCTGGGCAAGCAAGGTTCTATCAAGGGATGGCGACGACGCAGCACGTGCTATCACTCTGTATGCCATGAACGGTATGTACTCCTCCATCCTTGCCGCCGATGCGACGCATGCTAACAAAGCCCGTGTCAGGTGCTTCATCCGTCTTGTACGCTTTCTGGGGCATTGCCTTGTACCCAGCAACCGATGCTGGAACAGTTAGTCACCCATTCCCGATGCCTTCTGCCAACGAGTCGGGAGAATGATCTGACCAGTCCCAGGGCTTCTGGAAGGGCACAATCACCATGGTTGTCGTTTCTGTCAGCCTGGCTTTGTGGATCTGCGTTGTCTGGTGGCAAGATAAGAGAACCGCCAAGGATCCCATGGTGTCCCAGTACCTTGAGGAGAAGACGGCGGAAAGCCAGATTGAACAGGCCTAACAGGGGCAAGACAGGCTCCGTGCATCGACGGGCGAGCAGATAGCCGGTCCACTCAGACAGCGCGAGGCATGAGGAGAAAGGGGGTCAGCAAGCATTGGGCAAACCCCCACAGTGGCGTCCACCACCGCTGCCAAGTGCGGGCGCTGCGATTCGCGCGGCTAAGCCCGCCGCGGGGATGCGGGGAGTCGGGGATTAAATCGTGGGGTTGGCTCCAAACAAGACTTCCAACTTGGAGACGCGGTGACTGCGCGTCAACATGCAGAGCTTCCAGCCAACCGCGGGCTGAAGCCTCGGTCCAATTACCGTTGCAAAAGGTCTCTGGCTCATGCATCGTTGTATTATCGGTTAAGTGATATAGCTGCCCTGTGTGGAAGCGTTCATGGAAGACGCATCGGCTCCATGTCCGAAGCCCCTTTTGCTCTGTTTGCGTCCCACTACCGCTCCAATTAAACAGACCCCAACGCACGCTCGACTGGCCCCTGCGCTTCAATGAACCGAAATACGGATTCTCTGGTCAATCGTCACACCGTTACAGCTCAGCACAGTTTCTTCTGCCCGTCGCCCTTGCGCAGTACCACGTCTTACTCGTTGTCCTTAACATCAATGATGGTCGACTTGAACTTCCGGGCAGGAACCTTGCGGTTGAACAGAATGTCCGCCTCACGGTACGAGCGGTGCTTGAGCTCAGGAAGGAAGAAGTAGGCCATGATCCAGCAGACGATGGCAGTGCCTCCCCAGACGTAGCCGCACTTGCCTGCGAGGTTCCATCCCGTGGGGTTGAGCAGCTGCGAAGCAAGGTAGATCATGGGAATTTCCGCGACGTAGTAGGCGGCACGTCCGACACCGGTGCTCAGCGCACGAAGACGAACCGTCGACGTCTCGGCAATGATGGTGTAGGAGATGGGTCCGAGCGCACCGGCGTAGACGAACGAGATGATGATGCCCAGAACGGCCTGCGCGTAGTTGGTGCCCGAGGTCTGGGGGATGGAAGCGACGATACCGAGGATCATCAACAGCGTGACATTGACCGCGGTGCCATACAGATAGATTGTTCGGCGACGGAACCACGCGGTGAGCGGCCAGGACAGCGCGTTGGCAATGAACTGGAGGCACGAGTTGATGAGGTTGAGGTCGAAAGCTCGATCCGGCGAGATACCAGCCTCTGCAAGCGGAGTCAGTCACGGGTGCTTGGCCGTTGTTCATTGAAGGGGGAATTTCTCACGCTCGAAAAAGAATGTCGCCTGATTGGCAATCAGGTTACCGGCAAAATTCTGCGACGCGTACATCAAGCAAGTGATGATGGTTCGCCTCAGGTCGGTGCCCTTGAGGAGGTCCATGAGAGTAGGGGCGCCACCCTGCTGAGCCTCGATCTCAACAGTGCGCTCCATCATGGCAAGGGTCTGCTGGGTGTGCTCGGGCGACTTGGAGCCGAGGCGCTCGATGGAACGCTGAGCCTCGTCCTTGCGTCCGCGGCGGATGAGCCACCAGGGCGACTCGGGGGCGAACCAGATGAGAATCAGCAGCGGAGTCTGGCCGGGTCAGCTACTGTGCATGCATGAGATGATCTGTGCGCGCCTTACAGGGAAGATCCACTGCAGCGCAAGAGGCGCTCGCCAAGCCCACTCATCGGACCGTGAATTATAGCCGAGGGTCGCGGCGGCGACAATGATGCCGCCGATGGACCAACTCATCTGCAACGTAGCCGTGCAGGCACCTCGGAGGGCGAGAGGGACAACCTCACTGGCGTAGGCCGGGGAGTTGGCAATGAAGAAACCCCAGGGAATGCCTTCGAGCAGCTGGCCGACCACGAGGACGGCGAGAGATTGGGCCTGAGTCGGCATGTCAGAAGACGTCTCCTCTCCAGTGGCGCGGAAGGGCTACTCACAAAGAAGGACACGAAAATCGTGGCATTCATCAGGATCAATGCCATGATGGTGGTCCAGCGGTAGCCAAAGCGGTTGGTGACTGGTCCGGCCATGAAGACGCCGAGGAACGCGCCGCATTGACCAGACTGGAAGAGGGCACTCTGCCATTTGGTCTCGATCGTCCAGCCCTCGCCAACGAGGACGCCGTATCGCTTCTGAAAGGCGGCCTGCGCGACAAAGTTGCCGTTCAAGAACATGTCGAACGATTCCATGACCTGGCGATCATCAGCACGCTGCCGTTGTCGGGAACCCCACTAACGGGAAGCGGCAGGTGGACGGGGATCAGACTCACAATGGTGAAGCACATGATGAATGCCCACATACAAGCCCAGGGGTGCTCCTTCGCGGCCGCCCAGAGGCCCTGCTCGTGCTCGCGGTTTTCACCATCGACGGCATCGTTCATGAGGTCCGAATTGGCCAAGACCTTGGAGTTGAGCTCGAGGTGGCCGGCCTCATTCTTGCTGTCGATGCGCTCCGTCTCGTGCATCTCGCCCTTCGGCTCCACGACGTTTGACGACATGATGGAGAGTTTGTCGCTTGCGGTCGTCGTCACACGAGTGCGAGGGGAATAAGGAACGAAGTTGACAGAGTTCGGCGGGCTCGCATAGTCATATTTCTATGTTTCACTCGCGGCCTGCAGTGTTCGGTTCACTGCCGCTTCAGGCGCATGTAGATCTTTCCATTGGCGCGCGTGATCCCGTGGATGAATATGAATAAGCCATGTATCCCTGCATGTGTGCAAGCCGATGATAGGTGCGCATCTCTTCGATCTGAAGAGGTGCAAGGCAGCCAACGGTCGAGACCAGGGGATTCACTGCCAACATGTCCGTCCGAAGCCTGGTTCCGTCTGTTTTATCCAACCACCTGTCGCAACTCGTCCAATGCAGACGCGTCGCTTGCTTCTCGTTACACGGCGCCCTGATGGTGCCGTGTCACTCCCGTTGGACAGGCCCTGCACGGCCGGTGTTGGTTGCGGCTTTTGGTGATACATATGATGGCCGCGAGCAGCCTAGCTCAGCCCTTTGACCGTGGCCCGTGGCCAGTGCCAGACCCGCCAGGTGGCAGGGGTCGCACGGCACGACGTACACAGCACAACAGGGTGCAATACCAAGCTTCATTAGGGGCGCCTTAGACGCTGGACGAAAGACACCCAAATTGCCCCCGCAGCGCGCCCACAATGGAGCAAACGGAGCTCCCCCACGTTTGATCAAGCGACGGATCTCACCTCAGGTGACATTGGGCATTGAGCTAATCGCTGACTGAGCTCGTGATGGCCAACGAGGGCCGCGTCCCTGCACCCCGCAGCCGACATACCTCGTCTCGGCCCGAATGCGTTACAACTAATACGACACTAACGGGGTGTCACCGCCTTGACTGGCGCCCGCACAGTGGCCGTCCCATGCAGTGCGACTCTCTCATTCGTGGCCGCTGCTTGTCAAATTGGTTGCACGGGGAGAGATTGCATTTAGGCATCCTCTCGCCGAGAGATACCCAAAGCCATGGGGCCGAACTTCTTATTACTGCCTCAGGGCTCTCTGTGCTGTCGACGTGAAGCTCAGAGATATTCATGTGACTCCGTGCTGGTGGTGAGCCGTCCATCGCCCAGCCAAGCCTGCCCAAGAGATCTGGGGGCGCTGGGGCTTACCTTGGCGGCAAAAAGTGGCACATGGAGCATGCATGGCTCCCGCTGCGGGGATGAGCCGTGAGCTCAGCTTACCCTGGCACGGTTCGTTGTGGAATCGACCAAGCCAAGCACGGGGCAAGTAGAATTGACACGACTACACTCCGTACATACATGTCATAAAACGCGTACCCAACAGTCGATATTCTTCAGAGCCTTCCAGTCTTCTTTGTAGTGTAGCTGCCACTATCGCTCGGCGGCACGCGCCAGGTCAGCCAGACCCTCCTGTCGCTTGTACCTGGCGTCCTGGATAACCCCTGCATGGCAGTCAGTGATTTGCAGGCACAGAAAGCAACGCTGGCGAACTGATCGTCAACGAAAACAGGGACAGTGTAACAGTGCACTCACCGGCGTCTGCGTCGCCAGAAAAGTTGGCGGTCCACTGCACAAACGTGCCGTTGGCCGACTTGCCGGAGGTCACGGGCCAGCAGCGGACCGTGCTGAGGATGGAGCTGTAGGACACCTCAGGGGATGAGGTGATGGCACTGTAAGTGATGTAGTGGTCGATGGTCTGCGTGCAATTTAATATTAGTGTGGTGCCCTTGATGCATGTGGCGATGACGTCGTGCTCGTGGTCGGTAGACATACGCTGTGCGCTTCCTGCTTAATCTCGACCACGGCGCCGTCCTTAAAGGTCCACTTGACGACGTCGGTCTCCTCGCTGACACCCTTGACGGCCTCTGAGCTCTTGAGGGCAGACCACCAGTCAGCAAAGTTGTGAAGCTTGATCAGGTGCCAGACGGCCGAGAGCGGGGCGTTGACGACGACGCTCTCGACGACGGACGTCGTGGTTGGGATGGCGGCAGGCATGTTTGCTGCAGGTTGGTCAGGTGAGACGGTGCGGGACGGGTGTTGCTTCGGCTGCTTCCGAGTGCAATTGTACGTAGGCTTGAAGCGTGCGAATGATGTATCGCGATAGTTTACTCTGCAAACATTTTGCGACAGCTCGACGGAATGGTGCCTGAGGCCAAGAGCAGCTAAAACTCAGTTCCCCGCAGTCAGCTCTGGCGCAATGGAGACGGTGACGTCGACCAAGACGCTCACGGAGTGAGTTGGAGCTGGAGGCTAAACTTGACGCGGAAGAATGTCTGGCACTTCAGCAGGCTTGGCTGGCTCCAGTCTTCGACCCGCCTTCCGAGCTTCGCCACAGGCTCCTTCAGCTTGGCCAGAGCCCGCGCCACACTTCGCTCCTGGCCGAAGTGGCTTTCGAAGCAACGTGACCGGACACAGGTTGTGGCGGTAGAGCCTCTTCACAGGTCCAGTGACCAGTCTCTCAGCGGCACAGGCAATGCGCTCATCGGGGGAGAGCAACGCTCCCTAAATACCCGATCTAAATGTCACAGATGGCAGCCGTACAAATGGATGAGATTACACTCAATGACTTCTTTTCCTCACTCTACACGCTCATGTTGCGTTCAGCCCAGGCCTCAAAGATATGCCACTTACCCTAGATACATGTCTGGTAGCTGGCTCTCTGTTGCCACCTTATCATGCAGCACCCAGAGAGCACCTGGCATCATGGTTAATCGCCACAATTGGGCGCTGTCGAGATCGTGATTCATTCTTTGTTGCACTTTCAATCGTCCGTGTCCTTGACCTCACGATTGAAAGTGCATCAAGTTCAACCACCGCAAACTTGAGCAGGCAAGCAGAGAAGTTGAGAATGGAGGTGCGTGCACTCTTTTCTCTGCACTCTAGTACTATTTTCAGAAATGCATGAGGCCAGCCCTCAGGCGATCAGTGACCAGCGGAGACTGGTGTTTCCCGATTGATTAAGGGGCGGATCGAGCCGGCCGGCTGGTGCACAATGACGGCGAAGAGGTCAGCGCAACGGAGGCAGCACAGGCCAGCGCGCTATTGTTTCTTCACGATAGTTGTAATGCAGCCGTCTGATGCTCCGAGAGAGGCAGAAAGTGGCGGCAGATTTATTATTAGCCCATATGTTACCTTGGCCGGCCGTCCATTCGTCGCAGTGAGGCCCCGATTCGAACACCGCAACACCCCAGAACGGCATTCAATTGCCTATCGCACCGTAATATGGCACTTCGGCTCGCCCGATGGCGGGCCACAGTGTATCCACACTGAAAGCGTCTGATCAGTTTTTAGAAGGAGTTGCGATAGAGGCGCGCCGGCAGAGTAATAACGATTTGCGTCAGAGATGGGCCAGGTTCGTCCGTCTTACACCAAACAAGGCCAAATTTAGCCCCCGCCTTGTGTATTTTTAGGGTCCGCACGCTGAAAGACCCCGGCCGGGCTTGGCGATCAACATGCAGGAACAGGCTTCAGCCCCACCGAGATCACCAACTACACCACTCGGCGATGCTTTCGACTGATGGTAAGCAGGGCATCGTGGGCTCCAGCTGTAATGGCGATGGCTACTTTGATCCCAGCTGTGAGGGCCCAGATCGCCTGGACCACGAGAAGGCATAAAAGATGGCCCAACGCCGCCGTCTTTCCACGATACTTCTCAAGCTCACTGCCTCTCATCCTCTGAACAGTCGACACCGCGCGGCACAAAAAACATCACACTTGTTTTACACGCTCGGCGAGCCTCCGCAATCATGCAGCTGAAGTCATTCGCCATCTCCCTGGCGGCGGTGCTCCCGCTCGTCAGCGCCTACCCCATCACCGGCAACGATGTCAACTGCCGCGCCGGCCCTGGCACCGACAGCAAGGTCGTCAAGACCTACGCCAAGGGCACCGACGTCAAGGTCACCTGCCAGGCCAACGGCGAGAGCATCTCCGGCTCCACCATCTGGGACAAGACCAGCGACAATTGCTACGTCTCTGACTTCTATGTCAAGACGGGCTCTTCCGGCATGGTCGTCGGCGAGTGCAGCGGCGGCAGCAAGCCCCCCTCCGGCGGATCCTCTTACAACGGCAAGATCAGCCGCAAGGAGATTCTGCAGCGAGCCAACTACTGGGTCTCGCGCCACATCCCTTACTCCATGAGCAAGACCTACCCCGACCCTCAGGGCCGCCGCTACCGCACCGATTGCTCCGGCTTCGTCTCCATGGCACTGCACGCCAACTCCCCCGGCTACTCCACCGTCAGCCTCCCCGAGATTGCCAAGCCCATCTCCTGGAGCGACATCAAGCCCGGTGATCTGGTCGGCACTCTCGGACCCGGCACCGGTGGCGCTGCTGGCCACGTTACCCTCTTCAAGTCCTTCACCGACAAGACCAAGAAGAAGTACAACACCCTCGAGTGCCGCGGCAGCGCTGGCTGTGTGGCGCACGTGCGCGAGGTGGGCTGGAAGGACGGCAAGTTCACGTCCAAGCCGTACCGATACATTCGCGTCACGGACTAAGCATTTGGCGGTATTTGCATGGGTGTATGCATCAGCATGTGTTTATAGCAAAAGTCCAGCGTGATAGCGTTGGCGGCGAAGGGCGCCGGAGCTGCAGGTCTTTCATCACATACTCCCCGCAGCTTCAAGAATGTACATATACAGCTTTACTGTTTCAACTAGAGACTTCTCTGTTAAGGCATGAGTTCAACCAGTTACTTCCCATGTTCGATCGCAGCTTTCTATGGGCCGCGCAGTTTTCACTTCATCTGCCTCAATCTCTCCAGAGATGCTCCGGGCTGTGCTCTTCAACCTTTGTTGGCTCTTAACTTCTTCAATATACTATCTGAGATCCCTCGCTCTCAATCCCGGCCATGCTTTGTCCTCGGCATAATATTTTTCTCCTCCCATAGTCAACACCATGACAGCTGTTGGCGAGCCTGCCTTGTCAGCCCAGATCTGAGCATTGAAGCCAAGACGCACCGGCGGATGAGGTATCCAATGGATCATCTTGAGGCAGACAACACCCGTTTTAAGATGTTCCACGCAGGATCCGTCAAGGAGGAGTAAGGTATGCAGTTGTTGCAAGGTGCATACGAAGTGCATGCAAGCTGAGCAGCGCCCGGGTTTTTCGAGGAGCCAGTTCACATTCGTCCTAATTCTACAAGATGTGCGACAGCATTCGATGGCTAGCTGCCAACCTTCGTGGACGTTCAGATAAGATTTCGTATGAGGCGATACGACAATAGCATCCGGAAGAATTACGCAGAGTGGTTGTTGCGCGTCTAGTGTTGGTAGATCGTCTTACCGGCGGGAGCAAAATCCACTTGCACAACGCACTTTAGCTCGCAGCATAGAGTCACTGCAGAATGAGGGCCAAATAGTACCTTGATTTGGCTACAGGCTATGGAAGGCAGTGACTTACTTGAACTATCGATCTCCTATAAAAGGCTACCCCTATCCGCAAAGAGCTGCGGTATTCTTCCCATCTTTCCATTCCCAAACGACCAAAATCATACGCTCTTAACCTTGACTAAGCTGCAAATTTGCGCGCCAAGACCCAAGCCTAATGTCTAGTGTCAAAGCAATTCGGTAAGATGTGTCTGACGGTTCGCTTCTTCAGGGAATGTACAATCTGCCGCTCTCGGTGGTTTTGTGGAGGAATACCAGAGAGATGGTGCCAGCCGCATCGGGATGCGATGGCTGCATACGAAGCCCGGGGTGGTCGACAGCGCAGAGAATTCCAACCAGACTGCCCACGGCGTCGAGTCCAGGAGAGGACTACAGAACGCATCATCTGCCAATATTGTGGCATCCGCGAGGCACGAGCCAAACTGTAGTCGTTCATGTAGTTTCATCCGTCAAGGCGAGCGCTCGCTCTTCACAGCTTCGCAAGGAACCAGCACGTTGCCGCTTTGGATATGAGACAATGCTGATTGCAAATATCTGCATGGGTAGTAACGTAACTTCTTAGTAGTCTTGCCAATTGACTAAGAGCCATCCAAAGCCTGCTTTCAGACGGTATCTGAAGAGCCGCCCCCGCCCGCCATCATTCTGCGTATCATTGCACCCGATTGTCACTGGTGAGAGGACGTTCAATCAGATCCTCTTCCATCATTGCAGTTCTGCGGCATGTAGCACCAGCAACTCTAGGGATGGGCCCACAGAGGGGAGCAATGTCACCCGTGCACACCTGTTTCAGGGGCTGTGGTGTCCGCCAACTTGGGTGTATTCTGTCCATTCGCCAATGGACAAAGGGGTTGCCAATAAAACCTACGAATGTCTAATTCGGTAATTTTCCGTGATTTAAAGAACCACAATTCAGCTGAGGTCCAGCACTCAAATGATGTTTACTATGACCAAACCTTGTAGATATGCGCGCATTAAATGTGTAGTGCTGTTGGCTAAACCTGGCGAGTGTACAGTTGACCAGCCGTCATATGTCCTCGCACCCGTTAACGCACACTGGACGATGCCGTATTGCCCTTGCAGGCCATCTCCCTTGAGGACAGTCGAACGGACCGAGCTAGACGGAAAGTCGTGGCTCGAGTCAGCATTTACAAGTTGACTTTTGTGCTCGAACAGCATGTCATCGCATAGCACAGGAGGGGCCAAGAACGATTTGTCGTCACTATTTTCGTTGGCCCTTGACACTGGCAAATTTGAAGTGCAGCGACACAAATAAGTTCATGCATTCAAGAATCGCTAGTAGTACAGGTTCCTTGTTTTCTTGGGGATATGCCGGCCACTGCCCAATCCGCTCAGCATGACGGAGCTTAGCCTGAACCAAATTCTGGCCCCCGAAGCACGCAGATAACCGTCTCCAGCCGCCAATGAAAACAAGCGAAGCGTGAACTGTCAAACGTCTTCGTTACAGACATCTCTTTATCGCGAAGAATCCGATCGAAAGTAGTCTGTGATGTTCTGACTAAGTGGAAAGCTTTCAGCGCTCTCGAACAGATCATATAGCAACGGGGAACATATTGCCTGCTGTGAATACGCCCACGAGCTCCACTTAGACTGCCTTTTCTTCGAGCATGCACCGAAGGTACACGAGCCATACCGTCTCCGACATGGAGTATGCGTTCGCTACGATGTCTGACGGCCGAATTTTTTGGAATAATACGCCGGGAACGGTAGATGGTTAGGGCTCGGGGCCAATCACATAGTGGCCGTAGAGATATCTCGGGCTCGGCTCCGTCAAGAACTCTGGCGTGGGTGTCTGTAGCTGAACGCAAATGCAGTCAATCTCAACAGAGACAGTAGCAGAGCCATCCCTTCTAGGTACGAATGCACAAGTGCACGACGTGCATGGCTTGCGCCGTGGCCGAGGGACACGTGCGGCCTGCATGGCTGCTCTGCTGAACGTCATGGCCCACGGGGAGAGACTGTCCGATATTACCCAATTCCATGTGCGCCACCTGTCGTCTTGACCTTGCTCATCTGGTTCTGTGCTCTACGCACCAATATTCTGCAAAAAAGTTTCGTCTTCGCGTTCATTACACTCACTCGCCTTCTAGACACACCAGCCTATCGACTGACGCGTCTCTCGAGTGCGCAAGTCTTGGACTCCACGCCGAATAGAAGACATCTGCGGGGTTCAGCATGTCTCTTTATGTCGCAAACGTCCCGGAGGTGAGGCGTCGACATACCAAAACCGTTAGGTCTGACACGCATCGTCGCATCAGCACAAGCCTGGCTCAAGTGGTCCACAGCGACGGTGTCGCAGTTGCGCAGATTGCAACGCGCGGTCGAGTTTTCATTTTGTCAAAGCCTCCATGTCCCCTAATCGCCGATCGCGGAATGTGGGCAGCGATTGCGCCCGCAATTTCTCACGGCCACCGGGGGCTTGGGCCTGGCCGTCGCTCTCGCAATGGTCGCAACTGGCGGGCCCGTCTTGAAGACGAATTGCCGGGACTGCCCTGCACGCGCGCAACCACTTCGCTTCCCACCCTTCGCACTAACCAGGGGTTATGGAGCGGGGATGAAACGGCACGTCGAGAAGTAACCCTGTACCATGTCCATAAGACGGATGGAAGTTGCACTCGCGGCGCTCCCCCGAGACGGCAGATGCCTTCTCCCGCAATCCGTCGCAAAATATTAGCCGTACAGATGTTGCTGACCTGGCGTCAAAATCTTCCCCTGTCTGAGCATGCATCTGCCGCAACGTCCCCCGCTGTGCCTTTTCTTCAGCAATACATGGCAAATCCGATTATTGACAGGGATGCCCAGACATTTAGTGTAGCGGGGTGCCAGCCGTGAAGACGCATCTCCGGTATGGCAGTGCTGTGCTAGTCAGCGGGAGTTCGAAATAGGGGGCCCCTGCGATCCCTTGATGATGCGCCAAGGCTTGATGGCAGCCCTTGTGTCCGTCCAGCACAACTCAGGGCCATTGCGCGCACCTGCCTGGAAGCAAGGCTCCAGCTCCTTCATCCAGGGTACGCCACCCTACATGTCGAATCTTGCCGGCCCTTTTCCCGCAAAGCAGGGAACGATGCACGGCAGCATGCAAGCCAGATATCTGGAGCCGTGCCGGTCTGGCTTTTTCAACAGCCCAGCCTCGGCTCAATCACATTCACCCAAGACGCACACAAGTATCTTGAACCTGATTGCAATATCAGTGCCGACAGCTCTGTTGCGACTTTGGAATTTGCCCGCCGACCTTGACAGGCTCCCCCCTGCAACGCCTCCTCTTAGCATGACTCTTGGATGAGTCTTCGCCTCCCTACCCCAGACGATAACCCCGCGTTATGGATCTTCATTCTGCGTTCTTGTAGGCTTCAGGGTTGGACCAAGGTGAGCGCCACAGGAGGAGTCTGCTCCGTTCCTTGCACAAGTCAGCCAAAAAGCGGCTTGCAGCACGCCGATTTGTTGCCCCTGCCAGTGGCAAGACGACCTAGACTATACACGGTCGTGGCATGAGTCGTGAGAGACTCGAGCGGCTATCGACTTCTCGTCCAGTAATGAGTTCGCATTGAGTGAATCCGGTCAATGGGGACGTGGAGCGCAGAGGCCCGGCGGGAATTCCCGCTTCCCGCTGGACCGGGAACGCGGCGGGGGTGGCGCGAACGGCACCCGGGACGGGGCGGCCGTGGAACAGAAATCAGCCTGGACAACAGCCAACCTGCGAGGAGAAAGTGTCCCGGGCGGCAACTGCGGGATCATCATGAACTGGCTGTCAACGGCGTGCCCGACGATCACTCTGACAGCTGTATCTGACGGTTGAAGCCTTTTCTTTTTCCCGCAAGGGAACTCGTGCTCCACAGCTGGGGACGGAAGGGCAAGACTTGCTAACACCAACATGGTTAGCGAAGGCGTTGGAAATTGCTCCATTCACAAGCCATTATGCGTGCCCTGGCATCCTAGCACCCAGGTTGCTGGGATCCGACATCCTGCACTCCAAAAAAACCCAAGGAATCAATGTCCCCTGATGAGCCTTGGGGGCCAGGAAAACCAGGGCTTGGGGGGCGGTTCTGAGAGCACTGCGCACGTTCGGACGATACCAAAGGTGGAACTAGCCCCGAACATGTCTGTACCGCGGCAGGCGGCCCGGGCTGGGGTTACTGGGCGTCAAGTCTTGTATCGACCCTTGACAAGGCGTATACCAGACCCAGCAGAGATCGGCGCCCTGTCTTCAACTCAACCTCGACGCCGTCCCTTTGCTGCTTGCAAAGATCTTCCACTCTGCAACGGCAGAAACGCCAAAGAATGCGACGAAGCACAGGGGAGAAACTCGCTGTCTCCTGAAACTCAAGTGCCGATGGACTCAATCTGCCGCTTTCCTCAGCGACTACATAATCCAGCGACATCCGGACCGCTCCACCCCGGTGGGCAGCTTTCCCTTCAGTCTACTCACATGGGCTCCGAATCTCCCGTGTGAAGAGCCTCGTTCCTCACCCTTCAACCATGGCCGGCTTTCTGATCCCGGAGTGGTACAAGGTCTCTGCGCCATCCGTCGATGACCTCTTGATTGCGAGCATCATTTGGGGGTTCTCCTTGGCGGCTGGTATGTTCAGTTGCGTCAAGTGTGTCCGACAAACCAGGAAGTCATGGAAACGGTCAGGTCGAGTTAATCCATATATCGTCATGATATGGGCGGAGTGGACTGTCTGCACCGCAATTGGCGTCATCTCGTGGCTGTTTCTCAAGGGCATTCTGCTGGCAAGGTACGGGTACCATGTAGTTGTTGTTTCATCCGTGCATCGCTAACCACGACGCCAATGTAGCTTCTGGGTATTCTTCTCTTTGCGTAGGACAACCTCGCTCCCTCACTATCTATTCTTGACTTCGCTAATCAACTTGACCAAGTATGCCTGTGGGTTATTCAGATCCAATGCATCTGCGGGATCATCATCAACCGAATTGCACTCTTGATGATCGATAGACGACGTGCCACAAAGATCAAATGGATAGTGGCCGTTATCCTAGGCTTGGTCAACATCAGTGTCTTTTGCATCTGGATCCCCGCTCGCCTCCAGATATCCGAAACCTACATCCATGTCAACGAGATTTGGGATCGGATCGAGAAGGGCATCTTCCTCATCGTCGACGCTGCCCTCAACTTCTACTTCATTTACCTAGTCCGGACTAGGTTGATTGCAAACGGCTTGCAGAAGTACACGCCGCTTTTCAGGTTCAACATCTTCATGGTGGCAGTCTCAATGGGGCTTGACGTAAGTGCAAGACGAAGTCGCGAACTGGCCAACAATTGTTAACGATTATCAATTCAGGTAATTCTGATTGGCAGCATGTCAATCGGAAACGGTACCATGTACGCTTAGCCTTGGCTCAACCAAGCTCTTCTGCTGCGGGCACATGCTGACCACCAATACTCCAGTTACATTCAGTTCCACCCCCTCGTCTACATTCTGAAGCTTCACATCGAGATGAACATCGCCGAACTCATCGTCAAGGTCGTCCAAGCCAGCTCCGACAATAAATACTACGCAGACGGAACAGAGCTACAGCATTCCAAACGAGCCAGAGGTTTCTTCCAAGACGAGGGCTCTGGAGTTCGAACCGGCGCCAATGGGCAGCCCCTCGACCCCTTTTCTGGTTATCGCAACAATGTCGAAGCATCTTCGGACGGCTGCAAGAAGCAAACCACCGCAACGGGAATCACAAAGATAGTTCAAACCAAGGTCACCTCTAGACGGCGCGATGAATATGGGGATGAAGATAATGGGTCGGAATCGTCCACGCGCAACTTGAAAGAGTACGTTCCGCCACGGTCGATGACTTGATCGGCCGGGCCAGGCACCACTGCGCAGGCGCTCCCTTCCTGGCGTTTCTGGTCTGTTTAGGCGCCGTCATGCATGTACACAGTTCGACTTAGCGAAAAGCATGCGAGCCATATCACAATCGGGAAACACCCACCCTGCGAAATCTCGGAGACAGATCGGCGTTCCTTTGCCCTCGATTTGCTTCAGAATGACCGGCGAGTCATGTCAAAAGCAGCTGCGGCACTGGACAAGGTGATTGTACGTTCCATCAGGGCTGTCGCGCCGTTCGCCGGAATCCTGTGTCAATGTCAGACTTCAAGCGCCGCGCAGATTGCGCTGCGGCGTCGGTCGCGCCCCTGTCGGTCCGGCAGGTAGCAACCATGGTCCGGATCTAAGTGCCGACTCCAGCTTGCTAGTTTGCGTCATTGAGCATGAACCCTTCGCCCACCGGCATTCGGCTTTGACATTGGCGTTGTTCGGGATAAGCATGTGGAATCACGCATCTGAATGCTACAGTCCCAACAGTCAGCATCCCACTTACTACGTCATTGTCTCTGGGGACCGCAAGCTGATCTGCGAAGTAAGCCCAAAGCCTCAGCCCCAGATTGAGACAAGTCAGGGCAGGGCTGCGCCGTCGCCTGTACCTGAGCCGCGGTGCTTGAACCTAACCTCACCTGTCACGCACCTAAGTATCTGGAACGGCAGAGTGCATTGTAGGACACAGTTCGTCGCGTTTTTCACTCTCGCCAGTATTTTAAATTGAGCAAAAGTGGTTTCATCTGGCAGTCAGGTCGTTCATCATTCTGTTCCGTGGGGGAACAACATTAAACTTAGTCGATACCAACGTTCGCTAGCAACGTTCCCGTCAATTTAACAACGACGCTTCGCTGAACCTGATGCGTGGAACTGAAATGTTCCGGTGCTACCGTTGACGCGTGCTACTTCAGTGCCGCTTCCCGTGCCGTAAGACCCGACCGTGGATGGACATAGCCCGCCTCTCTTTGGGACATCTATAAAAGCGAACGTCCCACATGACAGACTGACTTGGACTCGACAGCTACCAGCACCGACAGTCACGAGCAGCCTCATATACTCTGCAAGCGCAACGGCAATGTTCTGGCAATCATCTTTGTCACTTGGGCTCGCGCTCATCGCCGCGAACCCGTTCTGCGGCGCCACGCCTACAGCAAGCCATCCGCCTTCACTCCCAACCCTCGCACCTGTCCGCCATGCAAACACCTCCGTCCTCTCGATAGAGTACTACGACTCTGCGCCACACAACTCCAAGGCCCCCGTCGCAATTCTCGTTCACGGCTTCCCCTACTCAATTGATACCTACATCGATGTCGTCCCCAAGCTCGTCGATCAGGGCTACCGCGTCATAGTCCCGTCGCTGCGAGGCTACGGTACAACGACCTTCCTGTCGCCAACTACCCCGCGCAGCGCCGAGCAGGCCGCTCTGGGCAAGGACATTATCGACCTGATGGATGCCTTAAACATCAAGAAGGCCATCTTTGCTGGCTATGACTGGGGGACCGTCGTCGTCAACGTTGCGGCCGCGCTGTGGCCGGACCGATGCTCTGGCATGGTCGCAGCCAACTCGTACCTCATCCAGAATCGAGAGACAGCATGGGCCATTGCGCCTCCCGATGCGCTCGCGCTGAGATGGTACTTTTACGTCTTCCTCACGCCGCAGGGCTACAGCTCGCTGGCCAGCGACACCAAGGGATGGGCAAACACGATCTGGAACAAGAACAGTATCGGCTGGAACTTCACCCAAGCGCAACTCGACGCCGCATCTCTCGCATTCTTGAACCCCGACTACGTCGCCATCGCGACCAACTTTTACCAAAACCGCCTGCTGTACGCACCCGGCGACCCGCAGTACGCGGATCTGGCCAACCAGCTGGACAAGCAGCCTCTCATCACGGTCCCCTCCGTCACCCTCGACCCGATCCAGGCCGTGGTGTTTCCGCCAACGAACGGAAGTGCTACCGCGAAGTTCTTCAGCGGCCCGAGGGTTCACCACGAAATTCCCGATTGCGGCGAGAATATCCCGCTGCAACGGCCGCAGGTCTTTGCGGACGCCGTTTTGGAGGTTGCGAAGCTTGCGAGCCACAAGTGAAGCTGACGGCAGGGCACCGCCGAACAGGATGGGCAAACGACGTTAACAGAGGGTGGGAAGAGTGGTAATTATAGAAGCAGCTCGGTATTCATAGACATGGTTCCCTCACGATAGATCGGCTCTTGAATAGGCTCTCTTCAATGATCCCGTAATTGCATACGAAGACTTCTCGATTTGCTCGCATACTTGCCGTCGGTGCCCACTGTCTTCTGGCGTTGAGCAGGATGGATATTGTGCAAGTCCTTCCCCCGCCCTCCTTTGCGTCTGCGCCTTGTTTCGACTGGGCTTGGTCGCGTGCCTGCTACGACCATAATACCACGGCCCACAAGTTGCTTTTGGCGAGCCCGCTGCACTAGTCAACATCAAGAATACGCCGACATTGGATGTGGGCAAGGTGGTGGAGTACAAGGTCGCAATCGCGCATGCGAAAAGCAAGAAGTGCATCTATAATTCTTGGCTATTTGCTCGTTCACCGCTAGGTGTTTATATCGTACATTGCAGTCCGCTCGGGCCTGAATAAGATGTGTATGTTGCTCTGGCCCCCTGCGCCGATTTCGCGCTCTTCTGATGCGCTGGGCCCTCAACGTGAGCAAGTGATAAAAGGGTATATAGAACATGGAAGAAAGTCCTCCTATACGAGGGTGGGTTTGTCGCTAAACAGACACTCCTGGAATCGTAGCATACGTCTACCAGTCTTTCTCGACCCTCCACTGGTCGTCCACCTTTAATCTTGTTCCCGTGAGCAAGTCACAGTCCCGGTGGCCCCATTTCCGCCGAAAGACCTCTCGGCCTGCCTCCGTCAAAACATCCACGGCCTCGGCGACGCCCCTTGCCGGATAGTAGAAGGGCTCTCCCAAGCCGCCCTGTTGCCCGAGCTGCCAGGTGTTGCGCCCGCGCGAGCCGTGCTTGTAGTGGAACATGCTATTCGCAGTCTCGCGCAGACTGATCCAGTAGTCGGTTTCGTTGGTCGGCACGACGTTGCCGGTGCGGTCGCTCTCAGCCACCTCACGCTTGCTCTTGCTGTCATCCTTCTTGTCTTCGGGCGGTGGGGGGTTGGGGTCGGTAAAGGTCGGCTTGACAGTCGGATCGCGGTAGAAGGCGCCAAAGTCGTCGAGCACGGAGCTCACGTCGGTGATGATGCCGGCGCGGGCATCGCGTTGCGTCCAACCCCCCATCAACAAGCGCGAATGCATGTCGCAGTCGTTCATGTAGTATGGGATAAAGGTGTCCCAGCCACCAACAGCCTCGTACGCAGCGCGGTTCACCAGCGTGAGGTGGTCGTACGCGAAGAATCGATCCGCCCATCGGTCCTTGTCGTCGCCATATCGCGTCGCGTTTAGCTCCGCCAGGCAAAGCTCGTACACGGTCTTGTAGTCTTTTTCTCCAGCCCGCGGTGTCACGCCCTCGAGTCCGTCCTCGTATGACAGCGCCAGTACGTCCATGTGGCTCCAAAAATACCATGGCCAATTGTTCTCCCTCGCGAGATAGGTAAAGTAATTTTGGAGCTGGGCAAAGTTCATCAGGACTGGGGCTCGGACGATGTTAACGCCGAGGAGCTGGAGCTGTGTATGGTTGAGGAAGAAAGGATTCTGCTGCGTGAGCATGCCTTCGGCGTTTGCATGTTGGACTCCGGTATTTTCGACGACGTGAATGGATGAGGGGGGCCATCCGGCAGTGATATAGGAGACAACCGCCTGAAGCAGGACCGGCCATGTGCGGGTAAAACCTATGAACAGAGGCGGCTGGTAGTCGAGGCCGTAGTGTGTGTGCAGGTCTGGTTTCGGTGTATTCCACGGAGGAATTGATGGGGCCGCCGTCGCCGTTGCGAGCGCGGGAAAGGGGTCCTTGACGGCCGGAGGAGTCCATGTCGGGGACGGAATGTATTTCAGCTCAGGAAGTTGTGGCTTTTCGCTGTCGGGTTGTTCTTTAGGTGCCGCATTGTCGACGCGACTGGTGCGGAAGTGGTAGCCATCCCTGAGTGTGAAGATGAGAGTAACTGCCATGAGGAAGGCGGCAACGAGGAGGGCGCGGGCGCCGCGAACGGAAAGTATGGCAGACATGGCCGAGATGTCTGCCCTGGCGAGCCCGTCTGCGCTTCACCCGGAGCAGCTGCTGTTTCTCGCGGAGGTGTAGATCTTAGGTGTCAGAATGTCTGAGCCTCCGGTGGGCGGCTCTGGTGAGGCACCAGACCGCGCCCTGTACTCGGCCGGGCTGCGCTGCTCAAGGGGCAGTAGTATGTCGAGTTCTGGCAGCAAGTAACGCAGCGGATATTTGAACTTCAGATAAAGTGTACCAGTACGGATGAGATCATCCGGTGGCAGCACTCTTGACTGCTGGCGGCATTGAGTGGATGAAAGTTACTCGAGCCCGCGATGGACCGTGTAAGGAGAGCAGGTGAACAGAGACGGGCAACCGCCTTGGGAGACGAAACAGCCCTGGGGGAGGCAGAAGCATGAAAACTCGTATCTGGCACATTGGCACACGTGGAAGGATTTTGCGACCCAAGAAGTGCATCCCCCGGAGCATTGAATCCGTCGCCCTTGGCGGTCTCGTCGATGCAGGTCGATGGCACTACCTCGCTTGGAGGACCGGTTTTACACTCCACACCCTCTGCCAGGAAGCGTCGACGCCCCACGAACAGCGCCGCGCTATGCCGGGCGCAGCCAACCCGCTTCACTCAAAGCGGCGAGGACGAGACCCGTCCGCCAGCCCAGCACGTACCGAGGCGGCAACGGAGAGAAAAAAAACCTGGAAAGAAGAACGTCATTTTGACCAAGCGGTGGACCCAACAGCAGCGTTTCTGTGGATGTGTTGTCTCGCCCTAGAAGGCTGCGCCCGATGTGCGATGCCGCCTTGGCACAGAAGCCGAGCAGCCGTTGGTGGGTGCGCGGTCAATTAGTGTCCATGGTGCTTTGCTGACCGTTGCCGAAGACCGCGGCCAATGGCGTCCGAGTATGGAAACAATTGTGCTTCTTTGGGATGCGAAAGACGGTTACGAGGTGCGCCCGACCGGGGTTTGCAACCCGCAACACGGGAGATCGATGTCAGGGGCCGCGATGCCTCTGCTGCGGATGGCGCTCGGTCAAGTGCCGTCTGAAGTGCGTGGCCCGACGAAGCGCATATTGATCAGTGTTTGCGATGATTACATTCCCATGACGGGGGGGGGCTGTGGAGAGCGTCCATTCAATGCCGATACCTGAGAACCATTAATTAATATAGCTTCATCTGGACCTGGCTGTAATGCCACAAGCCCACGTGGGAATTACTCCTCCATGTGGTTCGAGAGGACAGATACGAGAGTGGCATGAAATCATCTTTGGTCTCTTCTTTTATGGTCCTCTACCTTGTTTATGACGCCGGCCGTGGGCGCCTGAGCGCACATGGCGGGAACAGCGCTGCGATGCAAGACATGGATCAGTTCCCCCAGGCTCACCCGCACAAACTCTCGTCAATCGCTCTCATGACCTGGCAATCAACAGCGGACGATCCTGCCAAGTACTGCAGTCCAGGTCCCCGTAACCATTTCGCTAATTCTTGTGGTGCAGGAACCGCTCAGCGCCCCAGTAGTCGTCGTTGAAGCGCACAGGGGTGAGGCGGGTCGGCGTCCCCGCTGCATACGCCTCCAGCATGTTGCCGTCGCCCGCAAACATGGCGACATGGTAGATGGACGTCGCATCGGTGAGATTCGACGCATAGAAGATGAGGTCGCCCGCCTGAAGGTCCTCACGCTCGACGGGCTTTCCGTGGCCGGTAAAGTATGCTTGGGGGCCCGCGTCGCGGCCGATGGTGATGCCGTGGGAGTCGTAGATGGTGTGGGTGAAGCCGGAGCAGTCAAAGGCGTACCCGGAGGTGCCACCCCACAGATAGGGGCGCCCGAGGAAGATCTTTCCGGTCTCCACGAGGTCCTCTCCCGTGGGGTAGGGGATGTCCGAAGCCTTCTTGTAGACCTTGGCGTCGTTACTCGACAGATATGCCGATCCACCGGGCACGGCGACCCGAATGGCCTTGCCGGTCCGGCCGACCTCCGGCAGACGGGTGTCGAACGAGACGTCCATGATCTTGTGCTTCAAAGAGGCGTCGCGGTACAGACCGACGGTCGGGCCCTTCTTTACCAGCGCAAAGGGCCGGGTCTCTTGCAGATGCCCATACTTGCCAGCATCCGTCGTCACCTGGCTGCAGGGCACCCAACCCGGGTACCCGAGGTCATTGCTTGGTGAGGGTTGGCCGGTGACGGCGAGTTGGCACCAGGTGTCATTTCTTCCGGTAATGTACACTTTCGTGCCGTACAGAGCTTGCGTCTGAGTCCGTGAGCTGCTCGTCAAGTCTCTGAACTCGTCGACGGTCATCGAGTCCAGCCACTTCTGAATGTCGACAGGGCTCTCGAGCGCGGGCTGGTCCACGGGACGAGGCTTGCTTGGGTTGGTCCACAGAGTCGACACCGAGACGTTGACGAAAGCGACCTGGTTTGAGGACCTCTCATCGATGACACGCGCTAAGACAGTTGCCCCTTGGAAGCCGGGAGCGGCGACGGCGGCGGTCAGAGCCGCAACAAGTGAGTGTGAGCGCATGATCACGACTGTATTTCTCTTGGCTTGACCACTAAAGCTGTATTGATTGCATGACAGCCACTTTTGGATATTATATACACCTTCGTCGCGATGGTGGCGATATACGGCGAGAGGGGTCAGTCGGGAAACCCGACCGGCCCCTGGTCAGCGATAACGACTCTGGGGTTGGGGAGCGGAAAACCCGATGGATATCAGCCAAAATAATGCGGCCTAAGAAAGCCACACACACTCTCGCCCAGCGTAGTGGTTCACCGAAACTTGACCTGCGTCGTTACGTCTTCGAGAAGCTCGATGTAACAATGGCGTGGAGGTTTCTTATCACAAGATAGCTTCCGCACAGTCACTTCCCAATCGCCGACGGCCGGGCACATATCGCACCCATGTTTCGGGACAGAGGAGTTCTACAACGCCTGGAGCTAATTACGGGTGCTCATGGAGGATCTTTCGTCGTGTGTTGCTGAAAGACCAACCCCATCGTTTGCACGCGGTGAATGGAAGCGCGTGGAGGTGATGCGAGCGTGCAGCACACTCCGCATTTCTCCGCATTAGCTTCCTCCGGATTCCGGGGTAACCAAAACGTGTCATCGGACACTCGGGAGCGAGTAGCGAACGCTGCACTGCACACGGCAATTTTATGCCGACACTAACGTGCATGTGCAGTGCAGCTCAAGGAGATCGAGGAGGCCTCGTCGCCAGGACTAGACTTCGGACCACCAAAGCAGCTACAAATATATACGCCAGTGGCAGTTACGGTCCGTGGCAGATAGTAGGCCCATATAGAGGCATCTCGCGTCGATAGTCTACTGGTACACGTCGGCCAGTCATCTTGCCGAACTACGGACTACGTCAGGATTCAGAACGCTGCCACTGTGGTGAATATTATGCACGCCATAATGGGCTATAGAGGAATTAAGCACCCAAGCGCTAAGTACCTATGATGCTCATCCAGGCACTTCAGACCCGACGTCGTCAGCCAAGTGATCATGTCGTTGGGTCGTAGAACGGATGACGGCCAGAGAACAATGGTGACGCGAAGTCCAAGCGGCACAGGCTAAATTTGAACTCTCTGACGTTAACACTGGCGGTATTGTCTACCAAACTTGTTTGGCCTTCAATCAGCTGCACAATGTTGGCATATACCAAAGCCAGAGTCGTATGGGTAGTTCTTTTTGTGTCGCTCATAGTTGAGGATACGGCTCGGCACTGACCCCATGCGGACCATGGCAGCACAGACCTTCGCCTTTTGAACATGACCATCAAGGTTGTGTCGTGGGACCAACTAGACAAAGAAAGGATGCGATGCCTTGTAAAAATAAAGCCCTGGCTTTTCGAGACTCCGAATAGCTGGGAAGACCCGGACTGCATTCCCAACGATCAGCTCGAGTCGGCAAATCTATCTCGCCTCTTTCCCGACTAGGTTCTGAAGAAACGCGTGTCGCCCCCCTTGGCGAGACCCTCTCGAGACCAGATCCTCCGAAGCAGCTCGCATTGCCGAACCACTGTAAAGCGCTTGAGGCGCACGTTGGAGAACCCACAGCCGATGAAGCGAGCGATGTATGAGCATTCGCCGCACTCTGTTTGCTCCGCATTCAAACACCTCTCTTTCAGACTCGGTGTCACCGGAGCCTTCTTCTTCGCTACATGGTAGAGTGCTTCGACACGATTTCTGGTCCTGATTTTGGCCCAATTGCCGGCGAAAGATGAACACTTTAACGAGCGACGAAAGCGACTATCACAATGGAGACTATGACGACGAAGAAGACGACGAAGAAGACAAAGATGACGATGAAGAAGACAAAGACAAAGACGACGAAGACAAAAACAAAGATTACGAAGATCAAGACGAAGATAAAGACTACGAAGACAACAAAGACGATGACATGTTTGGCTCACAAGGCGAAATAAAAGCTCCTAGCGATCTCGACAGCCGACTGCAGCGTTGTTTAGGTGATGCCAAGTCCGTAAGTGACAGAGACGATGCGCGAAAGAATAGATCCTTGCCCTGGCCTGATTCGCGCAGTGCTCAGAATTCTGCCTGCGCAATGGCACAGGGTTGCTGAAATGCTGAGGCACCCTTGGTTCAGATGGCTTGTGCGGAAATGAATGAGCTTCACGGGACGGGAAACTCCATGTCGAGATGAAGAGCTCGGTCCGGGATGGAGAACCGCATAGGCGAAAGTATATTGACATGGACGGGATGCATAGGCTTGATGCCGCGAATCTCCCTTGGAAAGCATCAATTGAAGCTAGTTTGGACCATGTACGCTAGGCCGTCAAGGTATAAGGGATCAGAAATGAGGAAGTTGCTCCGAGAGCAGCACAAGACAAAGGAAACAACATGTCATTGTGCATAGTCTTGATATGCTCAGCAGTCTCCCTCCTCTACAGCCGTTTCGTTCGGGTATTGCGCCTTTGGTGCCAGACGTGACATGTACCTCCATTCTCTCAGCAGCTGCATCCGCAGCTACTACAATTGTCGCCCAAACCGCAAGCCTGGTCCGTACTGCACGCGCTGTCGCTGCTGCAGGTAATCCACGCCCCATATCCCCCATTGTACGCCGTCCAGCACCACTCCCCGCTCGCGCCGCACGACTTGAAGCAGTACCCGCCGCTGCAGCCGCTCGACTTGCCGTACCAGCACGTCCGCTCGAATAACATCCGAGCGCTGGCCGCGTCGTTATCGTGGTGCTGTGCCGCCGCGCTACGGCGTGCCGCGCTGGCCTTGCCCGCTGGATGGTTGGCGCACTGGCGGATGTTGTTTGGGTCGACGTTGAGGGGCAGCTTGGACGCGTCGACTGTCATGACTCCTAGTTTGCCGCACGCCTGTTGGGTAGACTGACTGGCCGGTGAGGCGGTGGCTAGGCCTAGGGGGATGAATGAAAGGAAGATGGTGGAGAGCTTCATCTTGTCGGTTGAGAGGGTTTGGCTGCGCACAGGAGTTGACTTGGATGAGCACAGGGAGAAGAGCACAAGGGGAACGCGTGGGCTTATATGCCGACCCGGTTCCCAAGAATACTTGAGGGAGTTCGCCACATAGGCCCACGGTTCGATCCGAAATCGCACCCATCGGGCCGTCAGGCAGAGGCAGGGACGGGCTTCCCCAGCCCAAGGCTACTTGTCGCGATGCACTACGTGCGGGCATTCATGCCGTGCCACCATGCCAAGGTTGACTGCCCCAGGGGTTCGACTCCTGTTGGGTTACATACTACTGCCGCGGGAAATCGAGGCTATCGAGCCATGCCTGCTTGCCTTAACGTCGCGACTTCCTCATCGCTTCGCCGGAGAACGTCCTTTATTTCGAAAGCGTGAAAGTGCGCGTTCAACCAGCTGTAGAGCCTGGAGCAGACGGACGGATCGAGGAGGAGACGCGCTTCCCCTTGTTACACTTTTCGTATGAGTCTTCGCCGCCTGGTGAGGAATACGCATGCTTGCACCTGAGTTGCTTGTACGCAGCATATCCGCCCACAGCACCGTCGACTGCTGGCCACCCCTTTCGAGCCCGTCGGGTCGGGTGGCTTCGACCCATCATTGTCGTATCTTGCATTTCCGACGGCGATCGGATCAGCAGCCGTTGGTTCATGGCACACGTTGAACGAATCCAACCCACCTGCCAGAGCTGCATTACACGAGGCCGGGAGCGTATGGTCACGAGACCGTCGATATTTGAAGATTCGGTGCCTTGAAGCTCAGTCCAGGGCTAACAGCATCCTAGCACATGGAGCGCCTGCGCCGCTCGCCTGAGGCGTGTCTGAGTGCACGTAGTCCACCGCCCAGGACCTACCTTCCCCATCAGCAACTCAAAGCGTGTTACCATCCGACGCACCGACAGACTGACCTGCAGCCCCGACATGACCCCAGCGCCCGTACTTCGTACGACTCGACCGTTGCCCGAACCGGTCGCCGATGGCCCGGACCCGGTCTCGCGACTGCTGTTAAGTGTCGAAGGCTATTATCAGAGTGTCACCCTCTTCGCTTCTAGGCACAGGCCAAGCTCGTCATCCTATATGCTGTGCATCGGCCCGCAGTGCCCCAAGCTGACGCGGATCTGCAACTCGCGAGCTGGGGCCTGGTGCATCGGGCGTGTTGCCCAGAGAGGAGCAGTCAGGTTGCACAGACGGATTACAGCTGAGTAGGGCTGACTACATAGTACGTTGCGCGAGATCCCCCAAGGTCAGCTCGTAAACCCAGCCAACCCTTTCATTCCCTTCCTCCCAGTCCTTTGACCTGAAGGATCCTACGCGGCTTCCTCGCCCCTGCATCCTTCGCCTACGACGATGGGGCCGGCGGCTCCAGCTCCCTGGCGGCCGAGGACGTGTACGACGAGCAGTGGCAGGAGCAGGAGCCGCGCGCCGAGGGAGGGTTTCCACGCCCGAGCAAATCACCCATCTCTCTCTATGAGGTGCAACGGGTAGGGACGCGCCCCGGAGCCAAGATGGGCGCATACTGCCACACGGTATACCCCTTCTCAAATGTGATCCAGCAGCCTCCTTGGAACAGCCGTAGAAAAAAAGGTCTCACATCCTACCAACATCTGGGCGTTGGGCACCGCCGCCCCTCCTTCATCAACACCTGTAGCCCCGCGCCGCCCACACTCCTCCCTTCCGCCTCGTGGGTGGCAGTTGGGAGGGGGCTTCGGGGCTTGGACGGGTCTCACCACGAAACTTTTCTACAGGACATGTCTTAGAATCACGAGCCAAAAACGGGAGATCGCTGATCTTGAGACGTAACTAAACCGGCCCCCGCCAGATCCATAAGAGAGCAGAGAAAAAAGACCAACGCACACACACACAGACAAAGGAGATAGCGTACATCTAACGTCCAGGGGATCGGCAATACAAAGTGGTATGTGATATTCGGACCGCTGTCGGCGTATAGGTAGTAGACCAAGCAAGCAAAAAACGTCAGGCAACTCTGGTGCGCCGGCACCCACCGCCCACCAAACGCATCCCCAGCCGCCCGCACGTCAGCCTTCGGGGGGGAGCACAAAGCAAAAACACAGAACGAAAGAAACGGATGAGTAGGTTAGAAGCACATTGGGAAGCCCCCTTTTCCCCCCTTTCAACCCGCCAAGCTGGGGTTTGATATCTCCCGCGGGCCCTTGGGCCCTTGATCGCCGCATAAGCCATGATATAAGACCCATTGAACGCCTGTCGAATGATGCCAGATTAAGAGTTGTCCCACCGTGACAGAAAAACGGAAGCCGACCGAGGGCGTGTTCGTGCACGCCTGCCGCTCTCATCTTCACTCCGCTCCAATCTCGCCGCCCTCCATGCCGGTAAACGCTCCGTTGAAGTCGAACGGCTCGTTGTTGTCCTCGTGGAGGAACGAGTCGAAGTCGAAGTCGTTCAAGACGTCGCCGGACTGCAGGGGGTTGGCCAGTTCCATGGATCCGAAGTCGACCTGCGCTGTTTTTAGCCAATTACCATTGCGTGATGAGGACACTGCGTCACATACCATGCTGCCAAAGTTGTCCATGGACATGGCGTTGTTTTGGTTCGGGTCGCCCTGGCCCTGCGGCGGCATGGGAGCACCTTGAGGAGCGGGCGCGGGCGCCGCGGCAGCTTGCGCAGGCGCAGCTGTTGTCGTCTGGGCGTTTGCCGCGCCGTTCTGCCCGCTCTTGAAGCCAGGGTTGACAGGTGTGATGGGCGTGGCCGGTGTGGGGGCCTCTTGATCGCCGCCGGCATCGCCTGCGGGAGTGGCACCAGCGTTTGAGGCGTTCTGGCCGGCCTTCTTCTGGGCGGCAGTTCGCTGCACAATGTCAGTTCTGTAGAGTTAATAGACGCATACGAAGAACCAACCTTGTCCTTGGCGGCCTTGCTCTCCTTCTTCTTCGGCGCGGCCTTGTTGCCCTGGTTCGGCGTTGGCGGTGCCGCGGCAGGCTGCTGGGGGGATGCAGTTGTGCGGTTGTTCGCGTTGGCGCCGGCAGCGGCGGGCGCAGATGGAGGAGGCATCGATCGCTGTTGAGGGGTGCCCTGGGCCTGTGGGTTCTGCTGCGGCTGTTGCTGCTGCATACCTTGAGGGACCATCTGGCCGTTGGGTCCCTGCTGCCACTGCTGCGGAGGACCACCCTGCTGGCCCTGCTGAGGCTGGCCTTGCTGCTGTTGTTGCTGCTGCCGGGCAGCCATCATCTGCTGCGGGTTCATCTGGCCCGTGAATGGCTGTCCGGGATGCGAGCTGGGTGGCCGCATGCCGTTCATCTGCGCCTGCGCGGCAGCCATGTTGCCCTCCATACCCTTGAAGAAGTGCGGCGCCATGTTCGGGTCGACGTGGTTGCCCATGAAGTTCATCGCCGGGTTGGGGGAGCCGCGGGACTGTCCACCCTCGGGAACCGGCGAGGGTACGCCAGAGTTGTTCATCTGAGGCGTGCCGCGCTTCATCTGCTCGGCAGGATTGGGCGACGCTCCGGTGCGCATCGCCTGGGGGGACGCGTCGGGGAACGGTTGTCCGTTGGGACCCTGGCCAGGTCCTCCCGGTCCACCAGGGCCACCCTCCCGTGGCATGCCAGGCATGTTGTCCTGCTCCTGGCGGGCCATCATCAGCCTCTTCTTGTTCTGCTGCTCCAGGAGCATCAGCTGCATCTGATAGTCCTGCAGGGCGTGGTTGCTGCCGGGGTTCTGCCCCTGGGCTCCCGGACCGGCTCGGATGCCGCCTGGGCCGATGTCGCCAGGGTTGTAAAAGGCATTGAGAGCGGTTCCGTCAGGGCCCTGAGGCATCATCGGTGAACCCTGGCCCTGCGGTCCGGCGGCGTTGGGCATCTGCTTGTTTCCCATCTGCGAGCCGTGGTGCTGCTGAAGGTTCTGCGAGTACGTGGCGATAGACTTTTGCTGGGCAGCAGGAGGCGCGTTGACAAAGTTCTGGAACTGCTGAGGGTTGAGGGAGTTGGGGTTGATGCCATTCGCGGTCAGCATCTGGTGCGCGGCGGCTGCATTAGGGTTATTAGCCAGCTGCTGGCCGGGCATTCCCTGGCCAGGGCGGCCGTTCATCATGGCGCCGGGCTGATTCGGGTTGAACGGTGCGCCGTCGATACGGGGCCGCTTAGACGGCGAAGGCGCGTTGTCGCCAGACGCGGGGGACGCGGGGCGATCGCGGTTCTCCATGCCGGAGGGATCCCGCTGCATCTGGTTCTGCTTGGCCTGCTGCATAATCATTTGCGGGCTGCGTTTGCGCCGTCAGCAACACATTCGAGGCCACGGACGGCGGGCGTCGCGGGCCACTTACTTCTGGTTGTTAGCCATGGCGGCTCGGGCGAGGTTGCCCTGCTTCATAGCCATGTTGCCGTTCTGCATGTTGCGCATCATGTACTGTTGCTGCTGGGGCGTCATTTGGCTCATCTCCATGCCGGGGCGCATTTGACGGAGCAGTTCCTGTTGCTGGGTCTGCTTCAGCCGAGACTGTTGCTGCGCAAGGGGGAGGGGACGAGTCAGTCTGGGGTCCACGACACACATGCACGCATATACCGACACGACGTCACGACATGGACGGCGCAGACGCATCGGGCCAAGGGGATAAGCCGTACCTGTGTGTGGGCGACGTATTGGTTTACAGTCCCGTTGCCGCCCTTTTGGCGCTGGGCGTTGTAGATGTCCCAGAAGAGACAGAACCACTCGTAGAGAAAGGACGAGTCGGAGGCGGGCATCGGCAGCTTCGGAGGCGGCAGGTCGTCGGGCAGCTTGCCGTCGATGTCGTCCTTGTTGTCCGTGTCCATGGCGTCGTCGGCGCCGTTGACGGCGTTGCCAGACTCGTCGCGACGGCGGTTGGCGCCGTCCTTGTGGACGTTGACCTGCGACTCGCTGTTGAGCAGGCTGCGGGCGCAGTCGAACATGCCGTATCGGATAAAGTATTCGTAGATGTAGGTGTTGAGCACGCCGCGCTGATTGTCATTGATCTGCTGCTGCTGCCTCGCGGCGGCGGCAGCGGCGGCGGCAGCGGCCTGGGGGTTGTTGGCGACGTTGTTCATCATGGGCATTGGCGCGCCGCCGACAGGACCGCCCATGGGATTCATCGTTGCCGCGCCCACGTTGGGGTTCATAGCCATGACAGCGGCTGCGGCGAGGCGGCGTGGCGTGGCGGCGTGTGCGATGGCTCGGCGGTTGGCGGAGTTGAGGGGAGAAATTTATGTGCCAGGGCGAACCACGGGGTAGAGGTCGTCTGGGACGCCGCGGGAGGCCAGCAACGCGAGGGCGTTGGAGGAGGTAGCCGGCGTGGCCGTGGGAGGGCGAGAGGGGCGATCAGTCGACCGAGCGGCCAGCAGCACTGCAGGGCAGATTGGCGGCTGCACCTGGTTGCTTTGTCGCGAGGCGTCGGAAACAAATGACGAGGGTCGGGGCGCGAAGGCAATCGGACGTGGCGGATGCGGACGCTGGGGGAGCGGCGGCGAGGGGGAGAAAATTGCGCGAGAGGTCGGGTGCGCTTCCGGGGTGCCGCGAGGCGGGTCGGTGGTGATGGTTTGAGGATGGTAAAAAGAGAGGGAAATGGGGAGAGGAAAGGCGGCGTGGGAGGATGCGGACAGAGTTGGGAAGCTTGGGGGCTGGGGGTCGTAGGTGGTGGTGGTGCTGCGCGAGCAGAGAGCAGAGCACCAGCGCACAACCTCACTGAACAGGCGGCCAGGCACTGCACTGGGACTGATGGACTGAAAGTGGACTGAGGCAGGCAGGCCACTGGCCAAAGAGGCAATATGAGGCGCCGCTTCGAGATGCTGCCTCGCGGGCGTCTGACGGCAGCCGGGAAACGATTGCGCGCGCCCGTTTGGCGTCGTCGTCGAAGTTGTCGCAGGCGTCTGTCCGAGGCCGTCAACAGTCGCGCCGAGCCGTGGAGACGATTGTCGCGATGGACATTAGATTAGGCTGTGGAGGCAAGCGTTGCAAGTTCCATTCCCTGGGCGAGCGAGGCCGAAGCACGACAGGGGGGCCGCCGCTCAGAAGAGGCGCGCCACGGATGGCAGTCGACCGCCACTGGCACAGTGCGGGCGGCCGCGGCGGGTGACAGCCCGCGTCGCGTGTGGCAGGTGTACGTCACACGGTGCACAGTCACAGAGCTCTTGGCCCAGGCCGCAGCGTCGTCACCGTCGAATAGAAATTTTACGCACGGAGCATGCCATCTGCGTTTGCCCCGCGTACAGTGCATACCCGTTCCAAAGACTGTGCGAGAACGGCGGCCCGGTGTCTGGTGGCGGGCTCCCACTGCCGAGCGCTCCAGGTACGCTGCACTACAGGGCCCAGCAGGCACCTGCAGCACCTGGGGAAGCGATGTGGGCTCTGCCTCCGGGGCCGCGTGCAGCCCCCCCGGCCCTGCGTTTTTCGACTTTTCGGGGGGCTCGCGCTGGGTTTTGGAGCCGTGAGGCGTACCACCTGGCTGGGCCGGCTGCGTAAGCCTCAGACCAGGCGCGTATTTCTGGGCCCGCCGTGGTGACAGCTTCGTGCCTCAGGCCAACGGGCGGCGACGGCCCAATCACGCGGCGGCACCCTGGCCACACCACACCACACCACACCACACCTCGCCAGTCGTCGTCTCGCGTTCCGAGCCCAGCGGGTGAGAGTGAGTGCGCGAGCGACAGAGACGATGGCCGCCCGCCCATTCTTTTTTTTCCTTTTCATCAATCGCGCTGCATTACCTCAGCTTCGAAATTCCACCGCCGGCCAGTGATGTGCGACGCGACCCGTTGCAGGAGACGGGGAGTGGGTTCTGGCAATTTACTGCAAACCTGCTGCCTCTGAACCTTGCTCAAAGGATAACCTTAAAAAATGCCCATTGTCATTGTCCGGCACGCGCGCGTTTGTTGGCATTCGATGTTGGTGTTGGTGCCGGGGCTCTGCTGTTGCTCGACCGCACATACTCCGGACAGTACGGCAAACTGATAGGCGCCTTATTGTGTGGCTGTACTGTATCCTATTGCGCCGCTGGTATAACTGCCTAACCGCCTGCTCCGTCAACACATACCGCATAAGCCGGGACACTCGGCTACATGCCATGGCCGCGAACGTCCGTGTTGGTCATCTGCCCAAGGACCTTCCTTGCACCGGAGGCCGCGGTAAGCCCCAGGTTCGAAAAGTAAGCTTCGTGCCAGACAATGCAAAGTCGATCTCGAACCGGCGGACCGCCAGAGTCGCAACTGGAAAAAGCACCGCGTACATGTCGTTCGCGCCAACGCACCCAAGCGGGCATATCCCCAAACACTAGAGGCGTCCGTCATTGTGCGTTGGCACGCGTTTATGGCATAGCCGTGAGTGAAAATTCTTTCCTCTACATTCGTACTCTGTACGACGTATCGCGGCCCTCGTCGGGCTCGCCACCTGGCCAACCGCAATGGAGAGCAGCCGCTCGACGAACATACACTGTACCCATACAGACTGGGTCGTCCGCCGCAAATGCCAATCGCTCGTTGTGACGGGTTGCCATCTACGTAAAACGCCTTGTCAGATCGAGTTTGCCCGAGATGCGTCAGGCTGGGCGGCCAACGACGCGTTGTGGTGTCTGTCCGGTCGGGCAACATTGCCTCGGAAATCTACTGCATGACTCAATCTCGGGCAATCCCGCAGTGATGGCTTGCTAGATTCACGACACCTGTCAACATTGCGCGTCATTGTACGCCATGTACATGCAGTTTTGCCGTTTCATATCCCCTTGTTGGCGTCGTCTGCGACTTACACCGCCTGGGTCCAGGGTAGGTGGTCCTTACACTGCCAAGCCCCAACTCGCCTTGATCAACGCGCCACAAGGCTCCGCCAGACCACGAACACGGCTTTCCCATGATGACCATCTGTCGCATCACGAATGCATGAGTATAAGAGATGGTCATGCTCTATGTTCGCTCTATTCAGGGCTGCCAAGGGCATCCTCCGGTGTCTGGTCGCGCTCTACATACCAACCACTCCTTCCAGGGTATCATTACAGTGTGGCCCCCAAGTCTTGGTTCCTAGTAGTTTATCTGGGCGCCAGTCTCTATTCCGCGGGACATGGCGCAGCGTGCATCCCATCGTGACAGGTCGTAGGCTGACCTGTATCTGGACAACATCTCTCCATGTGCTGTCCCTCTTATCAATCGTCCTCCGGAGGCAACTCGTCGTCGATGTACCGGATTAGTGAGACCCTCATCTCCGTCGTGTCATTCCCTCGGAGCACATCGCTGATGAAGTGCGCTTCCACCTGCATCTGCACCATTTCGAGGGCGCCGCGCAGGACGCCGCACAGAATATTGGAATACCACAGCTCGTCTTGCGCGCGTCCGTCGTCGGGCAGCTCCACAAAGTCGGCAAACGGGTTCTCGTCAAAGACTAGAGAGAACTGGTTGTTGTCGCTTGTCCAGTTGGTGACTTGGGGTGTGATGTTGAGGAATATCTTGAACCCGACCTGCGCAGCGTCAGCAGCCAGCCCCTGGGAACAACAGCCGAGTTTCGACGCACCCGTGCAATCATGTCGGCCGTCTCGCGAAAGTTGGAACACCGCTTCATGGTATTGGACTTGGCCAGGTAATCCTCAATGAGGCGCAGGCCGATGTTATACCCCATCTTGTCCAGCTGCTTGTTGACCTCGGCATAGTCGCTGTCAAAGTCCTTGCAGAGCTGAGCGACAATCGTACCGTACGTCAGCGTCACCAACTCGGCGTTGACCTTGTCAATTCGCGTCCTAACGGCGTTAGATGGGTTCGAGACAAGGGCAAAGAGTTTAGCTGCTTACTTCCAGATCCTGGTGCAAGTTAGTGACTGGGAAGCCAGCGTCATAGGGGAAGGGGGGAACGTACTCCTCGCCCACGCGGGAGGCCTTGCTAGCTGCCATGGCGGCGGCGGGTCGGCAGACCCCTCGTAGGAGACGGCGTCGATGAAGGCCACGAGACGGCTGGAAAGCAGCTCAGCGTTGGTTCGAGAGTGGCCGTATCGTCGTTGGGGCGTCGCGGCGCCGAGGTGAGTGTCGTCGTCGTGGTCGGGACGTGTCCCCGGTCGCTGACAGTCGCTGTAGTGGTCACTGGCGGCGGGGGTGGGACGCTGCCGATCAGGAACAATCAACGGTCCGAGGGCCAATGGCGCCGCGACCAGCTGTGCCGGAGCTCGCAGCCTCAAAAAGTTGCATCGAGCAAACCACCTCGCGCAGGCACCACCCAGCACCACCGTACCGCAGAACCGCAGCTCCAGGACGCCGACCGGCATCGATCCCGTGCGACAGAAACCGTGCAATACGTCAATCTCACACGTTTATTTGCGCGACCGCCGAAATGTCTGCCGAAAAGCGACCCGCCGACGACGATCCGTCGTCGCGAATGCTCGTCAAGAGGCAGAACGTGAGCTCGTCGGACGGCGCGCTGGCCCGACTCAATGCGTCCAGCAACGCCCTCGTGCAGACGGTAAGTGTGAAACCCCCGCGTCACGTAGCTGGGCTGACAATCGTAGGTGCCGCGCACCAGCGGTTTGCAGTCCCCAGTGATGGAGCTGACGGGCCACTCTGGCGAGATTTTCGCGGCCAAGTTCGACCCAACCGGCAATCTGATCGCGTCGGGATCTATGGACAGGAGCATATGTATGGTCGCATTTCGAGCCGAAGTGGCGTCGACTAACGGGGAGCAGTGCTTTGGCGGACATACGGCGACTGCGAAAATTACGGCCTGCTCAAGGGGCACAAGGGCGCGGTCCTTGACCTGCAGTGGTCACGCGATTCCGAAATACTGTACTCGGCGTCCGCAGACACGCACCTCGCGAGCTGGGACCTCACATCGGGGGCGAGGATCCGCAGGTACATTGGTCACGAGGAGGTGATCAACACCATGGACGTCAGCAAGCGCGGCGAGGAGCTCCTCGTCAGCGGCAGCGACGACTCAACGATCGGAATCTGGGACCCGCGGACGAAGAACGCCGTCGACTACATCGAGACGGACTTTCCCATTACGGCCGTGGCCATCTCGCAAGCCGGCAACGAAATCTTCTCGGGCGGCATCGACAACGACATTCGGGTGTGGGATCTGAGGAAGAAGTCGGTCGTCTACTCGATGCTGGGCCACTCGGACACGGTCACGTCGCTGAGGGTTTCGCCGGACTCGCAATCGCTGCTGTCGTACGCCATGGACGCGACGGTGAAGACGTGGGACATCCGGCCGTTTGCGCCCACGGAGCGCCAGATTCGCACGTTTGACGGATCAAACATGGGGATCGAGAAAAACCTCCTCGGCGCCAGCTGGGACGCGGAGGGCAAGAAGATTGCGGCGGGATCGGGCGACGGCACGGCCAACGTGTGGTCGAGCGAGACGGGCAAGCTCCTGTACAAGCTCCCCGGCCATCGCGGCACCGTCAACTGCGCCGAGTTTGCGCCGAGCAAGGAGCCCATACGTAAGCGTCCCGATCCAAAGCTGGAGATTGTTCTGGAGCTGACAATGCTAGTTCTCACGGCGTCCTCGGACCGGAAGATGCTCCTCGGCGAGCTCAAGTGAGACGACGGAGTCGAAGGACGAACGACGTCTACGGGATAACGTGCAGCTCAACCGCAGGCATGGGACCGCGACGCCAAGCGAGGTCGAACACATCTATCGACACGCCAACCCCTCGATCGTCCAGGCGCCGTTTCCCCCGCATCCGAAAAACGGCATGCTTGCCCTGTCGGTCTCGAGCGGCGCGCAGAGGCGGGCTGGTTTTGGCATGCCACCGACAAACGAGGACGGCCCGGGAGGCGCAGGCCGGGATATCCGTGGATGGGATTATGGCATGGGCGTGCCCATGCACGGCAGGGCAGACTGCGTCGACTTTCATGGACCAAGGAGCCAGCGAGGCTGGGGGCAGCAAGCTCGGGGCATGAACGAGCTTTGCACGAGGCGGTCACGCCCAGACGAGGTTGACGAACGATGGGGTGGGTGCATAGCAGCAGCGGCACATGGCCGACGGAGACGAACTCGAGGCGGACAGGCCTGTCTTACGAGCTGGGAGCACCCAAGTTGCCTCGTCCATGCTGTAGCATAATTACTTAGTCCCCCTATCTTTGGCAACTAGCGGCCAGATGATCATGCCAATCAAAGTCTATGAGGCCGCGCGAGGCCAGAAAGAGCAGGTCAGTTTTCCGAGCACGACGTCGCGCAAGGGGCGAGGCGTGTCGAGGGCGATGACTGAGCACCTCGAGACGGCTTCATTACTTCGCGCATTGTGCGTGTCGCGTGTTTTGCGCGCGTCGCGCCATGAACGCCAATTTGGCGCAGAGTCAGTCGTGTGCATGCAGCATTGCAGAGCGGTTGGCCGTAAGTGAATGAAAAGAAGACTGCACAAGGGACGACTGCACAGACGAGAGGCTTTTCTCGTATCGTCCATCAGGCACAGGGCTGTACTCGCAGGTACTGTACCGTACGAGGCAGAGTCGTAGTGGCGTTACCTGCAAGGCGGGTGCCTGTGTGTCAGGCCAGGGCCCCCTCAGGGACAGGCCCAACTGCATCACCCGCAGAGCCGCGCGCGTCCAGTCCCCTGGCTGCCACGCCGGGTTCCTGAAACGCGGGTGGTCCCCTTGCCCGGGCACTGGACGACGTTCCATTGGAGAGTGAGGGACTGTCAGAGGGACAGGACACCCTTGGTTTTTCGTGGGTGAAGCCGACAGGGCACCTCAAACATCCAGCGCCGGGGCCACGGACCTTCTGTTGCCAATCCACGACGACACCGGCGGCAGGTCCGTTTCTGATATGCGTTACTGTACTTGCGAAGTACTGCAGCAGGTCTAGTAGCTGGGCCATGCAATCAATTCTCTCCACGGGGGAAGGCGACGACGGG